TGATTTCGCCGATGATTCACCAAGATAGGGAAAGTTGAAAGCAAGAATTCAAAGGTATGAAAATGATGAAAAACAGTACATCCATATTGAAGCCAGAAAATAAGAATTAGAATAAAACCTATAATTGAAATAATAAGAATGTCTCCAATTACAATAAAAGTAATTCAATATTAAATAACATAGGTTGGGAACAGCAGAGGATGACTTTAGAAAAAAATAACAGGTAATCTTAGACGAGTTACAAAAAACTATTGAATCTAAAACTAAAGAGAATTCTTCAAAAGATTCAAAGATTCAAGATCTCTAAGAAAATTTAGTATTATTGTCAGAATAGATCAAAGAGAAAGATCTAAAAATAAGAGAAGTGTAGGAAGCAGAGTAAAAAGAAATTAGTGACATTGCTAAAGAAAGAATTAAGCTAATTGGCGATCTTCATAAGTGCTAGGCTGAACTATAGGAATTATAAAAAACTAATGCTCAATAATTTTCATAGATCTAATAATTAACCAATAAAGCAACTCAAATTTAAAACTTATCAAAACTAGAAATTGATAAATTGAAATAGTTAAATTAAGAATAGCAAGATAAACTCTAAGAAAATCAATCAAATATAGAATTAATGAATAATAAAATAAATGAATTGACTGAATTAAATGATCAACTCAATTAACAATGTGATTAATTACTCAAAAACAAAGAATAATTAGAAAAGGAATTGGTACAAAGTAAAAGAGATGTTGAAATTGAACTTAAGTAAAATCAAGAATTTATTCATGAACTTTAATATTAAATTCAAAATCACAAAAATGAACAACTATAACTGGAATCAAAGTTTTAGAACGAACAATTCGAATTAAATTAACAATTGACTAATTTAAATGAGTAATTACAATCCCTTACAAATGAAAACTAATAATTAATAAAAGATAATTCACTTTTAAATAATGAATACACAGGTTATAAGAAGGACAAAGATCAATAAATTGATTAGCTAAATTAACTAAATAACTAATTAAACAATGATTTAGATTAAGCTAGATAACAATTTAATTTAAGTTAATAGGAAATAGAATAAAAATATAGTGATCAAATACAAAATCTGAATTCTACTATCACTTAATTAGAGGATTAAAAATAATCATTATTAAAAAAGGCAAATGAAGAGAAATTACAATTGCAAAAAATTATAGCAACTCATCAATAGGAATTATCTTTAGAGAAGGATATAAATAAATAAAATGAAATTAAATTTACAAATGAAATAAGCCAACATAAAGATGATTTATTGTAAAAACAAATGCTAATTTAATAACTCAATGACAAAGTACATATTTTATAAGAACATTCAAAATCATAAGAAACTAATATCTCAAAAAATATTGATGACTATAAGATTTTGTTGGATTAAAATAATTAATAGATTACTTAATTATCTGAATAAATTAGATAACTAAAAAAATAATAAAAGCAATAAGAATAAGACTCAAAAACAACAATCTCTTAATATGAATTGCAAATGAAATAATATTTGTAAGAATTAACATAGACTAAAATATAGAAGAATGATGCTGAAAGTGAAAAATAAAGTAAAGAGGCTTAATTAACATAAGTGATTGAAAAATAAAAATCATAATTGTCATAAGCCAATACCACAATTCAAGATTTAAATTATTAAATTTAACAATTACAGCAGAATATAAAAGATTAAGATGAATAACGTTTAAGTATCGTGTCATCAAAATAGTCAGCAATTTATGAAAAAGAACATCAGATAACCAGTTTGGATAGTTAAGTATAGAAATATTTGAATGAAATATAAAGCAAATAAGAAGTTATTTCTGAATTGTAAAGGTTATTAGAAAAATAAAAGTAAGAAGTAACTTCATTAATTTTGGAAAGGGAAAGGACACAGAAAAACAGCAGCTAATAGGTTTATGAATTACAAGCATAAATTAAAGATTTAAATTATGAGATTAATCAATTGAAGAATTCAATGGTTTAAGTAGAAAATGAAAAGAATATCAACAAAGAAGAATACAATCAAGCTACTGATTAATTAAAAGAGTAAATTAATAGATAGAGTACAATGATAGCAGAACTTTAAGAATTTTTGAAAGACAGTAATTAAAAAGAATTAGTAAGTACCTAAAAAGCCACATAGCAAAGTCTTGAAATCAATTAGTTATAATTGGAATTTGCAAAGTTAAAAAATGAACAGACCCTTTTGATGTAAAATAATTAATCTCTAATTGAAGATTTATAATTAAAATATCAATAATAGAAATAAAAGGATTAAGATGAATACAACAAGACATCCTAGGTAAATCTCTAAAAAATTCAAAATCTTGAATTAGAATCAGAGGAATTAAAAAATGAGAATTTGAAATTGAAAGATTAAATTGAATAATTAAATTAAACCATTAACCAATTAAAAGATGAATACCACAATCAAAACAATTTAGTTTAATAGACAAACTCTGATTAGTAAAGATTGCAAAATGAAATTAATGAGAAATCTCATAGAATTGAAGAATTAGAATTATTAAATGAGAACTCTAAAACTTAGATTGATTAATTAAATTAAACTATGTTAGGCTAATTAGAAATGATTCAATTTTAAAAAAATAATATTTAAGATTCCTAAATTAGGTATAATTAATTATTACTTGAAAATTAAGAAATTTAAGCCAAATTGGAAAATTAAATATTAAAAGAAAATTCTTATTTTAAATAAATTGAAGAGCTAAAGGTCTCTTTTGAATAATTGGAGCAGGCAAATTTATAGTAGAATGATGAAATCTAGAAGCTATAAAATTAATTAGAGATTGAAAATAAAAAGAGAGAAAATGTTGAGCAAGAGTACAAGTTAGTAACTGAAGAATTTAATGATTATAAGGAGTAAGCAGAGAAATCTATCAATGAACTATAGAATACACTTATAAGTTGTAAAAATGAATCAAAATAACATATTAATAACACATTGCTATAATAAAAACAAAAATCAGAACTAGATTAGAAATTAGCTAAGTTATCATAGTAACTTTAAAGTGAAAGATCTTAATTTGAATTTGATCTTCATTAAATTTAAGAGAACTTTAATTAAAAAAACAAAGATTTACAATTGTTAATAAATCAAAAAATTGAAGAAATTTAAAAGCAGCAATAATAATTAAAAAAATAAGAAAAACTTGAAGACATGATTTTTGAGTTGACTGTCTAAAAAGATTAATTTATTTAATAGATAGATATATCTGAAAAAAAACTAAAAGATTAAATTTAAGAGAACTAAAAGCCTTAATCAAACATTAGAGAAATAATTAGAAATCAATTCAAGCTAGTTGGCTTAATTCTAAAATGAGAAACTCAAACTGTAAACAGAAATTAAATAATTGTCTAATTAAAATTAGTAGTATTTAAATCAGATATAAAAATATTAAGAATATATTTAGTAATAATAGAAAGATTTAGAAAAAAACTAATTCATAAATAAAACTGCAGTCTTAAATGATAATTAAGGTTAGATTTTAGAAAAGGAATTGACAAATCTTTAAAAAAAGGTATTTAATTTTTATCTAATATTATAGCTTGTGTAAAAATTGAACTTCTATAAAGATTTACTTTCAGACAAAAAAAACACTGATCTTAAACAAACTGTGAATGAGGATTTAATTACTATTAAGAAAGATTACATTATTGCATTTGAAAAGGTGGGAATCGTTGTTAGAGGAATTGATGAATTAGAGAAGATTTCAGGATCAAAGAATGCGTATAATAATTTTATAATTTAGGAATGAACTTAATAAGCTAAATAGAATTTTAAGAGAATTTATATAAAAATTTGCAAATTCAGTATAATGAACAAAAAATGAAAAATTTAGTTAAGATATATATATTATCAATTAAACATTTGTTTTTTTGGATTTACATTCCTCCAAGGATGTGAATGGTCAAAATACAATTAATATTTTTCCGAATCACCAATATTATATTAGTCGAGTGTTTCAAAACTCTTTTCTGTATCAATTAAATCTACATAAATCTTTTTTCTTGAAGTACTCCTGATAGCTGGAAGAGTGAAAGAGTTTTCACTCGAATCATCTCCAAATCTAAGGATTTAATTTTTCTTTAAAGCCATTTGAGCTTACCTTTAAGTTTTTTGGATCTAATTTTCTTCGACTTTAATTAAAGTCTTTTTTCTCTTAGCAGATCTACACCTAATTTTAAGTTCTTCATATAATTTAATTGTTCTCTTAAACTCAATTTTAGTTTCAATAAGTTCTTATTCTTGGTGATGTACATCCCTAACATCATAGACTCTTTCTTCAAACTTCTTCATTCTCCAAACCTATTTTTATTCTTCTAAATTAACGAAGTCTTCTAAATTATTATTTTCTGCATATTTCTTAAAGTCGTAGTGTGAGAATTCATATAAGCTGGAACCATCTGAAGCACACCTCAGAGAGAATTAATATTTCAATTCACTGGGATGTTGATAAAAAATTTCAGATTCTTAAAGCTCGCTTAATATTAATTATTATCCTTAAAACTGTTTCACAACATGAAATACTCCATATTTGACTACAAAAATTTAAGAGTTATCTGCTCCTTCTCTAACGGCTATTGAATTTCTTACATAATGCTTCAACACCAAATAATAAGACAATTGTTTAAGATCTTCATCATTCCACTACTTCAGAGGAGGAATTGTTTACAAAAAGACTAGTTTTTCATGATGTAAATTCTAAACTAATTATAATAATAACTTTGCTGATTTTCCCTAAAATATCTATATATTGTTTGCGAGTTAAACAACCAAACTCACAATCTGACTTAGTTGTGACCGTTGCTGTTGCTTTAAGGTTATCCTTTATTAAGGCTAATTCTCCGAATGAATCACCTTACTCCAGTGTTTTGATTTCTTAAAGACTGAATTATTCTTCTTCGCCTTTTAAAGACGGTTGAGTGTGTATTGTGCCAGTTGTTGAGGCTTATTATATTTACTATAGACTGGAGTGTTAAGTAATGTTATTGTTTTAAATGACTTTCAAAGAACTTTTCCTTTAACCTTTTTGAACATAAATGCTGATACTTACTTTGCCGGATAATATTACATAAAATGTCCTGTTTTCTTTATTGATTTAAATGACTAAAATTTTATTAAAAATTACTCTAAGTGCCTGCAGGGATTCTCATATAGGATAGGTTTCTACATAAATCAGCCACAATAAGTGGTCCATATTGTGTTTTCAATTTTTATACGAAACTTAAAGACAGCATAAATAATTCAATTTATTCTTATTCCTTTTTAGTTTTCTGTTTTTTTAAAAAGGCCAACCTTGCCTCATTCAATAAATCGTTTTATGAAGGTTTTTCAGGTAGGAGACCTTTTTAATGTATTAATTTTTTCATCCTATTCATATTTTTAATGATTATAAAATAAAATATAAATTTAACCAATTTAGAGTTATTAAAGTTGTATGCTCTCAAAATTTGAAAAAAAACAAAAATCATCAAAATTTCCAAAGAAAATGGAGTCATTCTTCTAATTAGTTCATAAGCTCTCTTCTCCCTTGTAATTTTGCATACTTCAATTGGCAGATTTGCTTTTATAATAAATATCTTTGTCTACTTTATCATTTATACTCCATTTATTATTATTGTATTTCTTAAAAAAATTGAATACTGTTTCTGGGTAAAGAAAATTGACAAAAGCATAACCTAAGTTTCCTTCTTTCTAAGTATAGAAATTGTCTATTTACATTGTTATCGGATGGCAAATAGAGAAAATCAAATTAAGATTTGAAGTCTTTGTTCAAGAGATTCCTTAGATCAGTTGGCCTCATGTATTTAGGAATATTCTTAAGCATCAAAGTAGTTCTATCATCATTTAGTATCTACTATAAGGAACAACGAAATACATCTTGCTCTTAAATGTCTAAGCTTTAATAGAAAGGTTGTAGTTTTGAATAAATTTACCTTTCATCTTAATCTAATATAAACCTCATTTCGATTAGTTCTTAGGTAAGTAACTTTTAATTGAAAATGCTTCCTTCATCAGGCATCAATAATTTAAAGTCTCATAATTACTATATGATACCAAAAGAGCACAATGAGGCTTCAAATTTTTCATCTTGACTTAATAAAGGTCTGGGAATTTGTAGTTTAGAGATTTATTTTGATTCCACTGATGAATCACTAGAACTAATAGGAGAAGCTGTAGTATTAGGAAAAGAAATTCGTTCTTTTTAAGGAGGTGTACGGAGTGCTATATTAATTATATCACAAATCATTATTTAATATTAAAAACGATGGTTCATTAATTTTCTAATTTCTTTATAGTTGCTCTGGTTTTGACTTATCTCTCGAAATTGCTTAAACAAACTAAACAATTCCACCTTCCCTTAGGTATCTCTTTAAGTCCCAAACATTTCGCGTGAAATACTTTAGGACAGGTATCACAGCAAATAACCTTCCCTCCTTTTCCACATTCCTTGCATTAATCCTCCCACTTATTCTAAACCTTTCTTGACTATGATTTAGATTTTATTCTCTATCTTAAGTTTTAAACCTTAATTTCTGGCTCTTTATCAGCTGCTAATTGGGCTTGTCTGTTGTTATGCACTTCGTCTACTTTAGTTTTTTCAGGTATTTGAGTTACTACTTATTATGTATTTTTTCTATTTATGTAGTCTTATACTATTTAGCCAAGAACTTCTAAACATATCTTCAATTTGACCAGATTATAATCTTATTTTAATTATTCTATTAAATTCAATCTCAATGTTTCATAATATGTGCCAAATAATTTCATTGGCAATCTTCTAACCTTCACCTTTCCCATTTCTAATTATTCTAAGTATTAAATTGCAGTTTGTATAGGTTATTCAGCAGATGAATCATCTTCAATCACTTTCCTTTTTCTATTCAGTTGCTAATGTGATTCATCATCCTTAATGAATTATGATATTTTCTCATCTCCATTGATTTCATCTTCAGGTTTTATTTCTAATTTTTCCTGTATCGTAGTATTATTAACAAAAAATTCTATTGCCTTGCAAAAAGGAGCAAGATTCTATTCATCATAATTCTTGTCTAATTTTTTTTAATTTACATTCTAGAAACTATTTAAAAAGGAGTTTCTAATTTCACTGCTACACCACCTTGAGCTCCTTTGATTTAGATATTCAGTCAACATATTTTCAATGTTTAAAAATTCCTATTACAACAAATCAATGTCTAAATTCTCTAAACTATTGATTTTCTACTCTTTAGTACTGCTGCTTTGATTTTATTCAATATCTAAATCATTATTTTTATCAGAAGTACTAACTTTCTATTCCTCTTCTTAATTCCCTATCAACAATTTAGCTCTTTATAATTCTAATATATTATTTCTTAGTGAATTTTCTCTGACTCCCTTTTAACAAAGTATTTCCATCAAAGCATTGATATCTGTAAGATCATAGAAACCCCATTAGGAAATATCATCATCTATTACAGAATGCCTCATACAGACAAAGATTTTGTCTGATTCCCAAAGGAAGAAATAATATTAGCTATTCTTATTATCATATCCCAAGAAGACTGATGGATTCAAGACCAAAGATGTAATTGATATGATAGCCAATTCCTTTTATTATAAAATTATTTATACCTTTTCTTATTATTTGTATCTTTATGTCAAAATTTTAATATCTTTTTCTATATTCTAAAATTATTATTTTAAGATTTGAGATTAATTATTAGCATTTTCCATTTCTTTAGTTAACTGCTATGTTTCTGCACGACTTAGTCCATCTTATAATAATTTAGACTATAATGAAATTAAAATTATTTTACTTTCGCAACCTAAAAATGACCATCCGATTCAGTAACTTCAGCATTTATTTCTATTTACTTGCTTCTCTACTCCTTGATTTAAATTCCCAACTAAGTTTAGATTTTATTATTTGATAGTATATATTCAATTCTTTATTGATAGAGAAATTAGGTTTTCTTTAAAGATTCTAATCCATCAACCAAAACTATAACAAGTTTTGCCAATTTGTTAACATTTGAATAATCAACATAATCAATCAAATCATCTGGGAGATTTAAGACACCTTATTTAGAAATGTTTGTTGGTAATGATTTTATATCATCTCGAAGCAATTGATAGTACCTCTATCTATTGGTGTGCCACATGTATCCCATTAGTTGCCAATAAGGTATTTTCTTAACTAGATAAATATCATACATATTATTATTTTTGCATTTGTTCCATATCCAAATCCTCAATAATTTACTTCAAATAGAAATAGCAAAAAAATAAAATTAGCTCCTGAGGATTATGCTATAAAGTGAAATAGATTTCCGATCTTGACTTTTGACTATATAATGCCAGATTATCTCTAAAATGAATCAAAGTTCCAATATTATTCGATTATGATTAAGCTAAAATAAATACTATTTAAATGTCTATACCTTCAATTTATTGTTCTTGAAGAATATCACTTATAATTTTGTTCATGTTATTGTAAGCATCCCAAATTTTGAGGACATCTTCAAATATTTCTTAAGGAATTCCTGGGTCTACACGAAGGGCGGGCTTCTTTTTGGGCTCTATGTTGAATAATCCTTGGTAGGCTGTTAAATATTCATCCAAAATAGGGAAGGATACTCTACCTTGTTATACGTAAGTAGGATAAAGCTATTAAAATTCAGTAAGCTTTTTGATTTTGTCTCCTTATGGTTGAACTGTTTTTTAAAAGAAATCTTGTATTTAATTGTACTGTTTCTTTTTTTCAGGTATTGAATCCTTTATTTTTCTCTACTCAATTCTCTCTAGGCAAGAAAAGCAGTGCCATTTAATTCCATCCTTAATTTGAGGCTCTTTGCTCTATGTGCGTATACATTCCTAATGGTACTTGAAATGACAACGAATGCAAATAATAGTAGGCGCAGTCATTGTCAATGCTTTACATAGTCGACATATAGACTTATCACCAAACTACAGTTTTCCGTCAATAGACTTTTTGGGTTCTTACTTATAGTCGAGTTTCATTTGCTTAAGAACCTTCTTGCTTGTAGCTTGTTTTGAATCTTATGCGATTTCATTTTCATGATTTGTTTTTTGAGGTGGTTCTTAACTGCTCATTCTAGCCGAAGCCTGTGAATTATTTGAATTTATTTACTAGATTCAACGAAGCGCTATAAATAATTCCTATAAAGCTAATTAATTTTATATTATTTGCTGAAAGTAATTTAAGAATTCTCTAAAATTTTTGGCCACTTGTTGAACTCCTTTTAACTCTTAAGAATTTGAGGTTTCAACTTATTAAGTATCACCTAACCAGCATATGTATTTAAGTGGTTTTAAAATTATATATTTCTAGTACTATTTTTATTATAAAATGCTGCGAAATTTAATGAAGATAGTTATGAGAAGTTCAATCTAAAGAAATTCAAAGGGAAACATGATATAAGTTGTTAAGGTATTCAATAAATTTGAAATAGAGAGTTCAAATAGTTGATTTTTGATACAAGACAACAATTCACTTAATTAAATGGAGAATAATTAAGTTGCGTTGTAGATCTAATGAAGCAGGATTAATTAGTCGACGATGACAACACTGACTATTTATTGATAACAATTAAGAATGTTGAAGATGAATAAACCAGATATTAACTTTTAGATAAGATAATTATGCCAACTTCAAACTTGGCAAAAGAATAAGTGAAAGAAATAGAATAGATCATTGAGAGTTGCTAATAACATGCCATGGGATTGTCAATTATGGGCAAGATGATTGCATTTTATAACTATTAGAACAGATAAATAATGAATAAATTTGTTAATGAATTTGGTGTAACTAAAACAAATGCAGAATAATTGGGTGCAGCCTCTATTGGTTTAGCATTGGGATAATATAAGGACAAGTGATTATGGGAAGATATAGCCTCACATTGCTTAAAGTTGGAGAAGGACTTTCATTCTTATATGCGCATAGCAACAGGAATGGGATTGACAAATAATGGTAATGTTGAATTTTGGAATGATTTTATTGAATAATTTAGAATATAATTAAAAACTATAAATGAAGATCTATTCACTTAATCTCTACAAGTTATAACCCAATAAAATGTTACTTCATTAGAATTATACGAAGCAGAAATAGAATACTATATTATTAATTCCACATTAGAATTGAAAACATAATGTCTATCTATGTAACTATGGCGAGAAAATAATTAGGATCATAATAATTATACTCCAAATTAGAACAAGATATCTATGAAATGTAATTGTCTGGAGATGATCTAATTTTATACTTGATTGAGCTGATGTAAGTAAAGGATAGATTACCAAATTAGGCTCTCAATGTTTTAATAGCCAAGGCATATTCGGAAAGTTAAAATTAAGAATTAATTGATAAATTAACAAATTTGATAAAATGAAGTTTAGTTTTAATATTTATATGAAATTTACAACAGAATTAAATCATCATTTAAAGTGATCCTTAATCTTTGAGGTAAGTTCATCACAAGTTTTCTTAGCATCACCCAATAACATATTATTATTTGGTTTATAGAATACTGGATTGTCAATGGCAGCATATCCAACACCCATGGATCTCTTCATAACAATTGATTATTTAGCAGCCCAGACTCTCAATACAGGCATACCTAAATATTTGAATTAATATAATACCTGCAATTGGTGAATTTGGATTTTCTTCAGCAGCTGAATTGACAGTGTCATTAGCACCAATAACAACAGCAAGATCAGTATCAGGGAAGTCATCATTAATTTCATCCATTTCAAATACAATATCATATGGTATACCAGCTTCAGCCAATAAGACATTCAATTATCCAGGCATTCTACCAGCAACTGGATGAATACCAAATCTAACCTTAATTCCTTAGTCCATAAGTGTCTTGCACATGTCAGCAACTGGATATTAGGCTTTAGCAACAGCCAAACCATATCCAGGAACAATAATAATTGATTTACTGTTGACCATCATTTCAACAGCTTATTCAACATTGATTTCAGTGTGAGTACCTTCAACTTTAGTAGCTTGGATGGCTGCAGGATTAACATCAAATCCACCGAAGATAACACTTGTTAAATTTCTATTCATGGCCTTGCACATAATATAAGAGAGAATGGCACCTGATGATCCAACCAATGCTCCAACAATAGTTAATAATGGATTGTCTAACATAAAACCTTCAGCACACAATGCCCATCCTGAATATGAATTCAAAACTGTAATTACGACTGGCATATCAGCTCCACCAATAGCATTTGTTAATGTAACTCCTAACACTTTGCTAGCAGCTGTGGCTGTTAATAAAGCTGTCATTCCAACAGCAAAACTACCTGTTTAATTATAAATTAATAAAGATGCAACAGATAAGGCTGCCAATGCAATGTTTACTTAATTGTGATAAGGAATAACTGTTGGATTTGAGGGCAAGAGATTTTACAATTTAGCAAAGGCAATGAGTGATCCTGTGAATGTGATACCACCTGTGAAAATACCAAAGAAGATTGATAATTTATGAACAAGTGCAGCTGGATCTTCAGCCAAATGAGGGAATACATGTAAATAGTTACCAATAGAAGTTAAGACTGCTGCCAAACCAACAAAGGAATGGAAACAAGCAACTAATTAAGGTAAATCTGTGATTGCAACTCTAGTAGCAACTGTACCTCCAATGGTAGCTCCTAACATAACCATTGATGCCCATTAAGCTAATAATTCTGGAGAGTATCCTTTATATCCAAGAGTGGCAGCTACACCTAATCCAACTCCCAAACAACCAAAACTATTACCAATTCTAGCTGTCTATTATTATGCTAATCCACCAATAGCTAAAATACAAGCGATGGATGAAGCTAAATATGAAAGATTTGTCAATGGTTCCTTTGGAATTCCATAGTAGAGTCCACCATAATATCCTAGTACTCCTGTAGCACCTGCTAATGCCATTAAATAATTGTATTCAGCAGGGTCGGTTGGTCTTCTAAACATATTTAACATTCTTTGTGTGACTAAGAAACCACCTGAAATGTTCAGGGAAGCTATGGCAACAGAAACAGCTGCCAATAATCCAGTCAAAGATCCTGGTAAATACTTGCCATCCATCAATTCCATACCACCAACTATAATTATACCAGATACTGCATTTGTAACTGACATCAATGGTGAATGTAAGGCGGGAGTCACACCCCAAACGACTTGATAACCAACAATTCCTGCCAAAGCAAAAGTATTCAACATTTTTAAGAATTCCATATTAGGAGATTGATAACCTAAAGCCATCATTGCCATTAGAGATGCTGATGTATTAATTACATTCTTCCAAGCTTATTTATATGGATCTACTTTGACTTCTTATTTTTTATGACCAGTTGCAGCTTTAGTTGTATCAGCTTATTAGAGTTCACTCTTGGATGTAATGATGGGAGGAGGTGGCCATTTCAATTCTCCATTTAATGTTACTAATGATTATCTAACGACATCATCATTCAAATCCACTTGAGTCATGTTTCCATTTGGATCTTTGATTGTTCCTACAATGTATTACATCAATTTTCCAATGTTATTAGCATATAATGTTGAACTCTAAGTAGGTAATCTGCTTGGTAAATCAGTATATCCAATGATCTTAACTTTTCCTTAGTGATTGTATAATTCTCCTGGTTTGCATAATTCACAGTTTCCTCCAGTTTCAGCAGCCAAATCAACAATAATAGATCCTTATTTCATGTTTTCTACTAATTCTTTTGACAATAATTTTGGTGCTGGTCTTCCTGGGATAAGTGCAGTGGTGATAATGATATCAACTTCTTTGGCTTACTTTAAGAATAAAGCTAATTCTGCTTCTAAATATTCTTTTCCCATTTCCTTAGCATATCCACCGATACCTGCACCATCAACTACTTCTCCATTTATTTTGACTTCCAGAAATTCTGCTCCACAAGATTTTACTTATTCTTTAGTTGCTAGTCTTGTATCAAATGCTCTAACAATAGCTCCCATATTCTTAGCAGTTACAATAGCTGATAAACCAGCCACTCCAGCTCCAATAACCATCACCTTAGCAGGTGGTACTTTTCCTGCTGCTGTCATTTAACCAGCAAAGAATCTGCCGAATTCATTTGCTGCCAACACAACTGCTTTGTATCCTGCAATATTAGCCATAGAACTTAAGGCATCATATGTTTAAGCTCTAGTAATTCTAGGTACACATTCCATAGCAAATGTTGTGATCTTCTTTTCTTATAATTAGTTTAGTAATTCTTTATTTGATGCAGGGTAAATGAACGATGTCTAAGTTTATTAAAAATGAATACAAGGGTTTAGTTTTCTTTCAAGGTCTTTGTATTTTCAGGAGGTCTTATTTTTAAGATTACATCAGATTAGTCATAAACTGAATTAGTGTCGACTACTTTTGCTCCGACTTCTTGATATACATTATCTGCAAAATTAGCCTTTAAACCTGCACCAGACTCAATTAGAACCTATTTAGATATAATAAGTATCTACTTGATGACCATCTTTGACTAAGTTTTTAATTGATTCAGGTGTTGCAGCTACTCTATTTTCATTTGGAAATGTTTCCTTTGGAACTCCAAATACAAATTTGGGATGGCTTGGTTTCTTATCGCCTTTACTTGAAAAACATGTTCGAGCACTTAAGGAGCAATTACTTTGTAGCTTGACGATGGAATGAGAGCATAAATAAATATCTTTTTTATAAAATATATTCCTATACAATTTAAGGGAATTCCTAGTAATATAATATTTTCAAATATAGTTATGAGAACCGCTAATTCAAATTAGGCATAATCATCTCTCCCAGATAGTAATGAAATCAATGAATATATTAAGGAGTACTTAAAATACTCTAATTATTCCAATACCCTGGAATGCTTTGAAGCAGAAATTAAGAGCAAATAGGTTTCCAATAAAGTACATAATTAATATTGAACTCTAGATGCTAAATAAATAATAAGTTATTAAACAAACAGGAGAGGATTTACCTCGTATATTTTAATTGTTAAAAAGTGATAATATGAAAACAAAAAGGGAAATCAATTTAGAAAAGGAATAAAAGCAATTTAATAAAAAATACTAATAAATTTTATAAGCAGGCAGATAGATATTTTCAGTCAGTATAAACCTATTGCAATTATTGCATTCATTAAAGGAGACAGCAAAAAATGAGAATCTTAGCGAAACTTTAGAGAATTATAAAATTTAGTTAGGAAAATATCATAAAGTAATAATTAATGAAGGTAAGCCTGAAGGAACAGAATTAATTACTGAATAAGTTATGCATGAGCATAAAACTAAGCTATTTAAGAATTATTAGGATAAGAATGTTGATGGCATGATAGAGGTATTGCTTTCATTAAGGGTAAATGCATTATAAATTGCACCAGAATTAAGAAAAAATTTGGTCTATGAATTGATTAGAAATGATGTATTTAATATCGAAGCCACTGAAAAATTTGACTTTGTAGTTAATTTATTGGATATTAATAACCAAAGCCTTAGACATGCAATAGCAAGTTTAATTAGTGTAATTAGTAGTACTTTAAGGGGAGTTGAATATTTAACCTATAATGGAAACATGATAATAATAGAAAAAATAATAAAAATTTTAAAGGAATAAGAAAACGGTTCTGTGACATAAAGATTTTGTTTGGCAATTTTGTAGAAGGCTAGTATTAAAGACACTGTAATTCCAACTTATGTACATAATGAAATGATTTAATGGATTGTGAACTTAATTTAAAAGTCGGTTAATGCTAAGATTCATGTTTTTTGCCTTGACTTTGCTTCTGCTACTTTAGCAAATATTATACACACTCCATATACTTTATAATATTTGGAACATTAACCTAGATTTTCACATCAGGTGATGGAATAGTTATTGAAATTCATTAAAGATTAGATTTAAGTTTCAGTTTTGATGCATGTTTTGATTTGTTTGTCCTATCTGAGTAAAGAGAATTTTGCTAAATAAATGCAAGAATGCAAGTTTGTAGAAAGGATAAGTGAATTTGTTGAATATTACAGTGTAATCAATACAGGTAATTTGATAAATTTCTATTTCATAAGAAAACGAGGCAGCTGAAATTGACAAAAAAACAGTTTTAGACTTGTGTGCTCATATGTTCCATCCAAAAGATACTTCCCTTGATAATTCTGAGACTTTGGAATTAAATGAGTTAAAAACTGAAGATAGGATTAGAGAATATGAGAATGAACAAGGTGAATTAATATTCGAATGTTTTCAAGATGAAGTAAGTTGAATATTTATATTTAAATTTTATTAAAATATTCATTCAATATTAAAAAATTATTATTTTATAATATCTTACACTCTTCTTAAGATTTCATTAAACCTTTACATTTATACATTTTTTAAGAATAAATATTACATTTGTATATTATAGTATTGAGATTTTAATTGTTCAAATATTAAAAATGAATAATGCTAATTTTTTCACTAATTATTTTTTTACAGATTTGTCTGCCTCATGAACTTCCCAGAAAAATAAAAGGATGGTAAGCTAGTGTAGTAAGCGGATCGAGAGACAAATTAAATCAAAAAGAGAAAACCTATTGATTCAGATACCAAAACTAATCTGATACATAGTGTAGTTAAAGATCACTTACCAATTTATTAAGTATCAATTTTATTATCATTGCTTAGGCAGCCATTATTCATAAGGTTAAATATTCATCTGCTAAACATATATTAAGAAATTACTACAGTGATACTGCTAATTATTTCTCAGCACAGAAGAAGAGAAGAAGAAAGATAATATGTGGAGGAGCCTCGATCTTAGTAAACTCTAACACTGGAGATATCATAATATATTCTTAGTAAAGTTAACCGATTCCATATTTAAACAATGGTGTCAATGCCTAAATCAAATAAAAAGTCCTTGATAATCTAGGCTTATCTATCAATTCAGAACTCACCTACAAAAACTCTTAAAAGTTTTTAATGAAATAAAATTTTAAGTCCATAAAATAAGATATTAAAGATGAGAAAATAGAAGACAAACTATTGTCTCTTTTGAGGACACTTAATAAATAACACAAAGAAATGGTTTCATGATATCAATTACATACCTTTATAATATATGTTCTATTTAAATATATTAGAATTTCTAATGAATATGTTTGGATTTTGATTAATAAAATAAGATATTTTGTGATGAATATAAAAATGATTTGTTAAAAATTCAATAATAAAAATTAGCTATACTTAATTATATATTATTGTTAAAAATTCATATTAATAAAATTTCCCATTCTTCCCCTAAGTTTTTGAAGCAGTTTCAATCTCGGTAGATTAGTAATAAGAATTTAACTTATTCCTATACTGCACTTTATTCACAATTTTAATAAAAAAAATTTAGTAATTAGTTACTAATTTCCCCTTAACTTAATTCAATTAATTGTTAAATCAGCTTACATCATTTCTTGATAAGTTCCAAAATTTAATAAAACAATTCTTAAATTAATCTAAAATTTAATAACTTTGACTATTCTATCCGAAAAGAAAATTTTGATTATTTCAATCAAATTATGGTCTTAGGGTGTTTGTATCAAAATAAAAGTTCTTTTATCATAGTTATACCACCTTGAAAGTAACTTTATAAAATATTAATTTATGATTTATATCAGTTCTTATTTTATATATTATATTTGAATAAGAAACTTGAATTTATGGAAAGATCTAATATTCAAATAAAAACAATTTACAGACAAAAGAATTCATTATTAAATAAAATATATCATATAGCATATCAATATCAATATGAATTTTGTTTTATAGAATCTCATCATAGTTAAGAGTACAATATTGAAAACCATGTTTTTTATGAAATTGTTAATTAACTTTACTAAGTAAATCTAACCCAATCTCCGTTATAGTTCTCTAATTTTAGCCCTCCTATGCTCAAACCCCTTTCTTATGCATATTTATAATAATTTCTATCCTGAAAATCAAAGATTAAATCTTAAGCATTTATCTTTGAATATAAACAAATATTTTACATACTCAAAATACATTTCCAGCTGATATATGAATAATTTTTATCTAATAAACTCAACAAAAAAAGGTCTTCCGATATTTAGTATTTTATAAGGGTCTTAATATAAATTTCTTTTCTTTGAGTTTATTAAATAATAGTAAAAATTATAAAAATAATTATGAAAGTTGAAAATAAAGTGAAAAATTTTATTAGGTACATTTAGCAATGAAATATATTCCATTTAGAAATGCTGGCATATCAGATTTAATTAATCAGAGTTCAAATTTTTAAGGTTGAATTATTATTCGAATAAATTCTTTTTCAGAATAAAGATTTCTTTTAATTAAGTAGCATTATTAAAATTTTTAATGATATTTTATTGCTAAAATAATAGCTTTGAGGCCATTTTTTATTGAATTATTTTTTAGTTTTATCGCTACTAATACTAATCCTCAAATAAAAAATTTGTGGGTATTGCATTTGGAAATAAATATGCATACATTGGTAAATAAGCAACCGAACCTGGTAATAGAAATATGAATAGGAAAGGAAAAACTTTGAACAATTCTCTATCAATATGAAATTTCAGGTATAATTAGTAAGCATTTAACCTGTCTCCAAATGATCTTGTTAATTAAAAGTCATTATAACAAGATTTGACGCCCTAATGGATAAATTTTATGTTTACATGTTTTAAAGTCCCAAAAAATAGTTGTCCACCCACTTTAATTTTATCTACAATTGTTTTGGGTTCTGAAATTGTAACAATTTTATTATAATTCAAGACTTAGAATTGTAATTTCCTAAAATTTTTAATCATATTAATGAATTAATTTATATAGGCAATTAATATTACATGCCAGCAGAATTTCCAAATTCTATTTAAGTATGTAGTTAATTATAATTATGGTTGATAAGGTAATTGAAATAAATAAATAAAACAAATGTTAATGGAAGTTTAGATAAGTAACTTTGTATTTTTTATATATTATATTATTCTTAATCAAATAAACCTGATATTCATATAGGAACAAATTCTATTATACATTTCGATACAGATAATCTTTACAATTATAAAAGGTTCTAGTGTTTGAGATTTCAATCTAAATTTGACTTTTTGTCAATTATTATATTTTTTGTTCTTCAGTTATTTTAAATGAATGAACTATCAGTCTAAAGTAATGGAATTTGATTTCTGTAAATTCAATCTTTAAAAGTGATAATGTCCTAATTTTTAGTTTCTGGAAAAGCGTAAAAAACAAAGAAATAATTAGCAATATATATTATTAATAAATTTTTATATGTCAATTCGTTAAGAGTAATATTGTCAAATTTTATAATAGGTCAGATCTTAGTTGTGAACTCCTGAGGTCCACATTATAGGATATTAATAATAGATTAAATAATTTACAATAATGTGTTCCAAATCCTCATAATAGAAGAGATAAAATGTAGAAAGAAGCAACAATCCCTAGATTAAATTTGCACAAAATCAATTCAGCGTACAAAGAAAATTAATTACCATTAAAGAAAGTGACAGCCACTTTTGGTGATAAAATAGAATAGGTTCAAAAAATAGATGAAAAAAATTTAGAAGAAATATCAAAGAAACCTTAAATAAAAATGATGGCTTAATAAACGCCATAAAAATTAAGAAGCCAATCAATCAATGGTTCATAAAAAGCACTAACTAATTAGAACAATCATTCAATTTAATTCAAAGTATCTAATGCATCAAGATTATAAAATTCTTATGATTTTTAATATTACTAATCATTACATCAATCTCATGAGAAACCTTTAAAATCTTCATTTATTGGTAGTTAATACAATTAAATAGCATAAAAAGATGAAACTGTTGAATATGTTCAACCAACTCTTCTATAAAAACCAATCATTTTTGATTAACAGTAATAAAATGTGCAAACTAGAAACAATTCTTTATTATCTACACCGGTTAAGTAGGTAGCAAATGTTTCATAAGGATAAACTCCATTAAGAAGAGGGAATTCATCTACAAATTAAAAACTGATGCAAACCAATTTAAGTTAGAATCAATCTTATTAGTGTTTTTAAGTTTAACAATAGAAATAATAATAATAAAATTCAGATTTAATTAAGTAAATTATAATAGTATTATCATAGATTATTGTAAACCCATTCTAACGGATATCAGTAATCGTAGATACAATATCATTCAGTTTAAAATCCTATGAACTCTTGCTTAAATTCCTAAAACATGGCCCAATTCAAGGTATCCCATCATAGAAATGCTTCAAATAACATGAGGGTTCCAATGGAATAAATGCTATATGGAAATTCAATGGTTAGATTATGATTTTATAAATACTATTTCTTATCGTTTCAAATGATTATTATTCTTTTTGGGAATTGATATCTTATGAGAATTATTGTCATTTGATTTATAATAAAAGTACATAATATAAATCAGAATTTTCAAAAACGCTTAGTTTATTAATTAATGAAAATTTTAGTAGCATTAGTAATTGCCTTGTGCTTGTTTACACATCCCATTGTGTGTAAGAAACATTACAATGAGGAGGAACACTCTGCGTTTGAGAAGAGTAAAACTTTATGAGAGATCATAGGCCACAAAAAACTGTCACTATAGGACGATCCTTCATATTCTAAATTAGAGGAAATTTAAGACCATCCACTTGGTTCAAAAATATTACAGACAATAGCCTTGTAATTGAGAGGAAATGAATCATTAAGTGCTGTGAGTAAATTGCTAAACGACTTAAAGGGAGATTTGGAAGTACAATTATATTGTAATTTGAATAGGGTAAATAAATTGATGCTGACAATGAAAGAGCATAGATCGGATCTTAATGCAAGAAAGATCTTTAAAATTATAGTCAAAGAATCAGTTTGTCAATTAATGAAATTAAAGATGCTGAGTTTAAAGCAAAGAGATTAAATGAAGCAATAGCAGTTTATTAGGCAGAAATAAATGAGAAAGCCAGATAAATTAAAGTATTCTAAGCCAAAGATGATACCTTAAGAGACATTAGAAGATAAGATAATTTAGATTTCTCAACAAGAACAACTTAAATGAAAGAGATGGTTCAAGCATTCGAAGTTATCCTTCCAAAATTGCATTAAGTTTGGGATGTAGCTGCATAACACAAAGCTGGATCATTCATTGAGGAAGAGGCAATCAATGAAGCTTTAGTTTAATTAGCCAAAATTGGGTATCTCTCTTATATAAGTTTAAAGTGAAGAAAACCCAATCACTGCTATGGTTGCATTAACTTCAACATTGGAACCAACAGCTGTTCAAACTTTAATTGAAAAAATGGAAGCAATCAGAGATTCAATTAAGGAAAGTATCAAAGCTGAAGAAGATGCAGAAGCAAAGAATGCCAGAGTATGAATATTCTCAATGTTTTTAGGATACAGATACTATTTTAGCAGCTATCTTTAATGCCATTGAAAGTTTGACAAGAGAAAAAGCAAGTGATGAAGAAGCTTTATAAGAGACAATTAGAAATAGAGATATATAAGATAAGAGATCTAGAGATGCTCATGCTGTACTGAATATTTTAATTTAATAAATTAGGAGTTCAATGCAGCCAAGAATGGAAATCAATAAAGAAACTAATAATGCTAGGAGTATGAATTACAATACCAATAAAATACTATCGAAAGAGATAAATAGATTGCTATCATTAGAGATGTCTAAAATATCATCGCAACAAAGATAGAAGTAGTAACCTGCTTCGTGGAGGAGAATAATTTATTCTGAATAATATGATAATTATTAAGCATTAATCAACAGTACCTAAAATTTTCATTAATAGTAAGCTAAAGAATTATTATATGATTCCCATGGTTGTAAGGCTTCAATTAAAGAAGGTTCAGTTATTGCTTAAGTTTCAACAATTTTCGGTTTTTGTTTTTACTTTTATTTTTATTTTTGTAACAATTATTATGGTAAAACTATGTTAAATTCTTTTTGAGGTTATGTATAATGCTTATATTGTTATCCGTAGTAAATTGATTCTTCCATAGATTCAACCCTTCTTTTTTCTGGAACTTAGTTGATTTATTATTAATTGATTATGCATTTATTATAGGTCTGTCGATATGTGTTGTTATAATCATATTTTAAAGAATTAGATCTTAACTTATATTTTTTGTCACCATTAATTTGGGATTTTAATTAGCAATTTAATCTTGGTGATTATTAAAGGTTCATCTTGCTCACATAAATTGGACATCCTACTTTTTTGTAATTATTGGCTCTGATTTAAGTTTTTCGAATAAAGAGTTAATAGGTTACACCTGGGCTCTTTGAAATATTCTAAAAAGTCTCCATAAGTTTCAATTTCAAAAGGATAAATTGTAATTTATCTATAATTGTTTTTGAAACAAAAAATATAAAGTTGAATAATTAAAACTATGGACATCTATAATTACTATTCTTTAATCAATTATATATTTTTGATACAATAATTAAAACAATACAGAATGACTTTATTATTTGATAATATATGAGGATCTATATAATAAGTTAAAAATGTGAGTAACATTTTACCAATTACTAGCAAAATGTAAAAGAAAATCTCAAAAGATAAACTATTAAGAAAGAGAATCAAAAAATAATATTAAAGCTAAATTACAATAGTTTAATACAAATTTATACTCAATGCTTGATTTATAAAGCATCTTTCAGAACCTAAGGAAAAATAGGCTTGAAAACAATTTAATCTATTCCAGCATCCTAACAAAGTTATTTTGTGTCTTCATCTTCATGAGCAGTGCAAGCAATAATCTATAATGGCATAATTTTCTCTCGATCTATTAAATCTGTTATAATTTATGATGCCTATATACCATTCATGACTGGCATATCTATATCCATTAATATAGTTCTTATGCATTTTTATTAAGATACTAAATTTACTGCCTCTTACCCGTTGTAACAATGTATAATTTTATGATATCCCAGGTTATTTAAAATCATTTCCAAAGTGATATGGTTAAATGGTTCATCATCTACTATTACTATATTTCCTGTTTCTGATAATAAATTTTAAGTGCTTCTTTTTTATACCAAACAAAGCGATGGTATTGATTTGTGACTTTTAGATTTTTGTCTGGAAAATGATCGAGAAATAGTATTGACAGTCTTTTCCTTACTTGGATTAATTCTATCTATTTTTCTGATTTACTAAATAACTACCTGCTCATTACTAATAGGATCTGGTTAAATAGTAAAGAACTCTTAAATTTGATTATTTGATTTCATTGACTCATTTTTCCTTTGTCTTGAAGCAGATTGCTGTTATGATGCACTAGGTAAATCTAAATCACAAATTGAAAATTCAAATTTGCATCCTTATCCAGGACTACTCTCAATTATAAGTGGACAAGCCCTATTTAATTAATTGATTAATTTTGTTGTTATTTTTAAACTAATGCCAAGCACTTCATTTTTTAAGTTCATTGATGAATAGCTAATTCCTCGATCAAGAGATTGAGTTTACAGAATGCTTTACTACAATAAATAAAAATATAACCTTTCTGGAACTCTGAGTTAGCTATTGATGAATTTGCATTTACTTATTAATTTCATCTTGGGCCTATTTACTTAATCCTATTCCACTATCCTATACAACAAATTTAATCATTCGAGAACTTGCTGTTTTAATTTCTTTGACTGTTAATTCAATTTATCCACCTTAAGGAGTATATCGATAAGCGTTATTCAAAAGATTGACTAAGATTCTCATTAGCTTATTGAGATCTGATTAAATAAAGCAACAACTAAACAAATAATTAAAATCTTACATCTCTTTTTTTTCAGCTTGAAGTTAATTGATATCTTCATTATTATATTTGATTGTAAATTGAATGCCTTTTATGCTACATTATGTCATAATTAAGTCTTTGATCTCGAAAAGCAATTTGTGAATATCTATATTTTTAATTGTCAAAATAGGTTTTTGTTAGGAGTAGATCGATACATATTCAAGGATATCTTAAATAAGATACAACAGAATTTTTGAATTCCAATAGCAAGGTTTGATGAAAGTTTCGATGAGATCTTTTGGAAGAAATTAATTGCTAAGGCAATTTTCCAAATAAGTAATCACTGAATTTAAAGGCGTTTTCAATTTATGACTGAGTGAACTAATAAGACTGTTCCTAAACTTGTAGTCTTTTTTAAATGCACTATATATGGAGATGTCATTAATTAACTAAAATAAATTTGATTAATACTTAGAAGGTAAACAAAAATAATGGCTATTTGTTATGAGTTATCTAAGTAAACTTCAAATGATACTTAAACTTTTCGAGGTTTTACCCAAACAATTTGACTTTGTAATAAATTGACTCGTATTCTTATTATTGATTACCATTATCTATTATTTATCTTATTGAAACAGTCTATTTATTAACTGTTTCATTTATGATATATTCGGATACTTTTATGTCATCTAAGAATTCAACATTTGAACTTTAATTTCGATTATGATATATTAATCTCATGCTCTAAGAATTTTAAATTTCGGAGCGATTTGGGTTATCCATATTATTTTCAATTATTTGATTAGGTTCAATCATACCTTGTATAAAATCCATATATTAACCCCGATAAATTAATTTTTTATCTTAATCGTATGCAAGAATTCCTAAATTTAGTTTATAAATAATATCACTCAAGAGTTCTAATTGTTGAATTTTCTCTTCATATTAGCTTTTATAATTTTAATTAAGCTTGTGTTCTGATATTTGAATAGCAAAATCATTCATCAAGGCTATTCCCAAAAAAAATAATTGAAACAATAATGAATCTCGATTCTTCTCTATTTTTTAGGGTATTATCAAATATTGAATTAAAAATCCACAGTATAAAAAAGGCAAAGCAATTTTACAAAAGGGGGATCTCAAAGTACCTTAAAATAAATGAAAGAGAATGGATATGTAAAAATACCCAAAATAATTGTTTGTTTAATGAGTGTTAAAAGCTTCGTAGAAACACTTAGCAATAAAGAAAACTATAAAAGTAATATCCATCACTAGCGTTTTATGTTCTTATTTTTTCCGAAAATGCTATCTGATGTAAATAAATAGTCCTATTAAAATGTCTACATTATATTACCTAAAAGTATGAGATGCATCCCCAAGTTCACCCATAAAGTTGTCTAAGTAATAAAATCGTAAATAAAAGTGACAAGAAAAAGAAATAGAAAATCGAATGAGCACGTTATTATTAAAGCTAGATATCTAGTATCGATTATATTTTCGACTCTAAACATTTATAATTTTCGTAATAATTAATATTATTGGAATCAATATAACTTTCAAATCAATCAATTCTAAACAAATTTATTATTCGATCATATATTGGAGTGTTAATTTATTCATGATTCTTCACTATTTGAAAAGATACCAAAAATTTTTTGAAGCATTATTTCTAGAAGATTTATTTAAATGAGAAGTTATAGTGTTGATTGAGAAATAAATAATAAATCCTTGAATCAGTCTTCTTATTTAGCTTATAATTGAAAATAAGAATGACAATCTATGGTAAAAATATTAATATTATTTAATATTCTAAATAAAATATAAAATTATTGTAATTTTCAATTTCCATTAGTTTTTCTTCTGATCCATAAAAAAGGTAACACTTAATTTGAATCTTTTAAACAAATTTAATAACTTTTATCCTTATGTGGAATTTAATAACGTGCTGCTTTATTTGCTTTACAGCAAATGATAATCAGTGAATTATGACTCATAAACTTTTCAAGTAATGCTTCATAGTTTAAATAATACAAAAGTTTTTTTGAAAATTCATTATGATATTCTTTATCTGGTCTTTATATGATATACAAATTAATTGTTTGTTATGCAAGATTATTAAAATAATTAACATAATCTTAATCTACATTTGCTTCAAAATATTCAAATTTTTCATTTTTAAAATTTTGTGTCAAATGTTGAATCAATTTTTCATCAATCGGAGGTACAATTTATCTTTAATTTTTTTAAAATTCTACCAATAAACATTATTTTTCAAAAGGAAAATTCCTAATATTTGAAAATTAAAAAGAATTCTTTATTATTTCACTTGATTAACTATTACTTATTTATGATTTACTAAGATTTGCATGACTATCTTAATTATCAAATGGACTTTTGCTTCTTGGTAAATCTTCGAATTGGAATTGATTTGTTTATTATGATTGTTGTAGTATTAGATTTTACTGGCTAAAATCTTCATGTTAAAAAGATAAAATTGTTTATTATTATTATTAATTTTATTATTATTATTATTGTTGTTGTTGTTATTAGTATTATTATTATTGTTATTATTGCTGTTATTGTTATTAATATTATTGTTATTATTGCTGTTATTGTTATTATTATTACTACTATTATTGCTATGATTGTTATTATAATTCAGATTTATTATTTTCATTTCTATTAACTTTTAGTTAATCATTCTGATATATACTGTTAGAAGTAAGTTTTTGTTACCAATCTTCAAAAATGTCCTAATATTATAAAAAGAATGATTTGCTTTAAAAGGATGAATTCTCATTTTTAATCATGGAAATATTTGAAAACTATTCATTCTATTCATTCGAATATTACAAATATCGTGATTCATCTTCTTCAGCCATTTTTGGGACTAAAATGGATAATATTAAAACTAAAAATATTGAATTAATTACGTGCTTAAGAAGGTCTTTTTGATTGAATTATCCATTTAGTTTTTTAATCATCAACTTCAAAGCCTTTTTTTTCGAAATCTTATTTTAATTTTTTTTTGCTTTCTGCAAATTGTATTATATTTTGAAAATTACAAAATTAATCAATATAAATACTAAATTGTACAATTTGTTTTTGGTTCTCATTAAATTTGATTAAATTTTCAGATAAATCTTTGAATATTTTTTAATTTCCCAACATAGTAATATAATAATCACTGTATTATTATTTGAATGTGACATAAATTTATGGATTTTTAATAATATTTGAAAATAAAGCTTTGCCAGTTTCTTGATCAGCCTTAATTTCAAAAAAGTATAGATTTTACATCATTAAAATTATATCCTCTTATAATTGAATTGTTGCTAATTCCATTTTCTATGAATTAAAATTGTTTCTCTAAATGTCAAAATTTAAATGGAAAATACAAAATGCACTTACTTCTTATTCTTCCTTAACTTCTATCTCCTCAATCCGTATATTTTGTTATTGATGATTCATTTTTTTTATAAAGTCTCCCAGAATGTATTTTGTATAGCCTATTCTGGCTGAAACTAATTAATAATTTTCAGGTTTTTCTTCTTAATTTTAAGACTTTAAACTATGCATCGTTATAATAAATCCTCTATAATTTTATAAGCTGTGCTTAACAATTTTAATAGCATCCATGCTTCTTGAAATAAAAATCAATCCATCAGATTCCACTTTGTAATAAACACCTTTTTTAGAGAATTCTTATTTTTTATAACTACTAAATTCGAAAACTCTTAGTAATTCTTCATTTAATGTTACTTTTAATGTTACAAATTTGGAGAAATAATCCTCAAATTATTTTATCAGTTAAATGTTTTAACATTAAAGTTTATATATACCTTCTTCTATTTTAACAAATTGAATTGAAGAATTTTTTTGAACTAGTTTTTCCTAAAATTCTTAGTAAAAGTATTCATAAATTACGCTATCCAAATATTTAGGCTAATTATAAGTTATTTTATACTTTCAATTCTATGATTTTGGAATGGGAAAAAACACCTGTGTTGTTGAGAGATATATTAATCGTCACTTAAAAATTATCAGTCCTTCCATTTTAACAACCAACTTGAGAAAGAAAAAATAATTCATTATCTAACTTACAAAGTTGACTTTTTTATGGATTTTAATCAAATTTTGTATAAATAGCTAGGAGTTTCTTTTCGTCTTGGTTCTGCAATCGAAAATTACATATCGCTACCAGGACTTTCACTTTAAATAATTAATATTTTATTACATAGATAATTAAAGCTATTGTTTGTTTAATTCTATAGGATCAAATCTTGAGGTGAACTTTAAATTTTTTTATATCCACTTTGATCCAAGATGTTAACAAAGGCGTCTAAGTCAAAGATTTTTTGAGCATCAAATGTTGGCTAAAAAAGGTTTTGCTTATCAATAACTATAGTTGTTTAAGTGATTTAAGTTTATTATGTTTATCCTTTCCCAATAATTTTTTGAAACACCCTTATAAGGTCAACTGTGTTTCCAAACAAGAGGAATGAACTTCCCTTTCTTAGATAGACAAAATTTGATTATCGATCTTATACTTCCTCACTAAACCATGCATCTATCTACCTTTCATCAGCCATATTGCATTAAGGTGTAAATTTTATTAAAAAAGGACTTTTTATATAGCATTGAATATATTTTTTAATTTATTTTTCAAATAAATCTCTATTTTACTTAATCTGACTAAAATTTATCTCTAAAAAAAAGCATTAATCATCAAAATATTGATTCATACAATATTCTTTAAACCGTTCTGACAAAAACTTTTCATAATACAGTGATCTACATTATGTCAGATCTTTAATTTATAAACTTTCTTACTTATATGGTTTTAATGATGAAAAATGTAAATAAATTCCCCTATAATTTTTATTTATCATTTGACTTATTTCTTAAAGATAAGATAGAGTTTAGATTTTCGAAACTAAATAGAAATTATCAGCTATTTTAATTGGAAATATTTCGAAACGTCTTAAATATTCATTTATTTTTGATTAGGCTATCATCGTATAATTGGTGTAATAGCAAAATTCAATCTCGACATAAGAAATTTTATTAATAAACTCTTCTAGGCCGTTTTAAATTTGATCAAGATCTAGATTTAACTAAAGTTTGTAAAGATTCATTTATTTTTACTCCAAATTTAATTATTTAATCAATTAAGTCCATTCTTATAAAAAAAATTTTTCTATTATTTGTAATATAAAATTATTTTAGAGTTTAATTATTTAAGGATTTTACAATCCGAGAATTTTGATTTCTGCATCATTTCCTTCTCGTGAAGCCAATTCACTATTACATTATAATTTTTTGCTTTCCTGATATTCTAATTCATGAATAACTTCACTTTTTAATTCTGATTCATCATTATCTTCATTTAATTCAGAAACGAGTTATTATGGATTGTCATCTTCAATGTTGTCATCCCCCATTTCTTCAGAAGACACCCTACTTTCCTGGTCCCTTAAACTATCATCCTAATTATATTCCGCATGTTAATTTTTTTGTTCGACTTACTATTACACAGCCATTTGAGGCTATTGAGATACGAAAGTCCTACATTAATCTATACTAATAGTTTGATCATTTGTTTTTGTTTAATTAGTTTGCCTTGTATCTTCACATTTCATCTTTAAATTGGCATCTGTAGTGGATTATACATTGCCTATGAGATTTGTGAATTTAAGTTTGAAATCTGGGAAGCTTTCTTATATTGTCTAAAAGGCTGATCTGAATGAAGAAAATTTTTTGCCTTGCTCCTAATCTACAAAATGAAATTCTCCCTTTGTAAATTCACCATTAAGCTTGAGAAAGTTTACAAGCTAGTTTATCTATTCCTAATTTTAGATTTAAAAAATTTTGGAATTGATTGACAAACTCATTCTAAAATTTTAATTAATTATTGAATGTACAAAATTTAATTTTTTGCATTTGCTTCAAGCAGATTGTATAAAATATTCTTTTTTTAATAAGACAAGTTATTACTATTGAATAAGATATTGATCTGTATACTATTTGATAGGTGAATTGATATTTTTTGTCATTTAAAAAATGGATCTTTAATTCAAAATAAATATGAGAATTAAGAATGAAAATTGTAGAGCAACATGTTTATTTTAAATTAATTTATGTATTGAAATTTTTTATAATTCTTAAGAGATGGAAATTGAAGCCAAGATATTTGAGCAATTTATTAAATTATTGGTAATAATTACTGCTATTTATCGAATTAATTAGGCATATAAAAATTAAAATAAATATTAGCATGGGTTGTTGTTAAGGAAATCCAATTGGTTTCATATTATACACTTATTTTAGATATGAACTAATTGAATGAATCGGTGAAAGAATTAACTGAATACTAATAACCAGAATATAAAGCAAATATTGTAGATTTGAACAATTAGGGAAAGCAGATGGAACGAGTGCAGGAAAGAATTGCAGATGTAGAACAAACACCTAAGAAAGAAACCAATTACTCTTAGGAAATGAAAAGTGGCAAAAAGGATGACAATCAGGAAACAAGATCTCTTGTTCAATAACAAGGTTAAGAAAAATAATGGATCATTAAATAGACAATGTTTGTCAGGATTAATTCAAAAAAGAATGTTAGTGAATTTTATACAATAAAAGAGATGATTGGGTAAGGAGGTTTTGGGAAAGTTTATAAAGTAGTTCATCGATAAACAGGTTGTAATTTATTGATTAAGGATAGGAATGATTAGAGCTATGAAATTAATATTAAAATCAAAATTGAAGAAAGAAGATTAAGAGAAATTATTAGAAGAAACCAGTATATTGATGGATATTGATCATCCCAATATAGTTAAATTATATGAAATGTATTAAGATGATAATTCGTATTTCTTAATAAGTGAATATTGTGATGGTAAATCTTTAAAAAATTCATATGAAAGGTGGTGAACTATTCGAAAAAATCAAATTCGTTCTAATTTTAACTGAAAAAGAAATTGCATCTTATATGAAATAAATATTATCAGCTGTTTCCTACTGTCATTCCAAGGGGATAGTTCATAGAGATTTAAAACCGGAAAATATTTTATTTGATTCCAAAAATTAAGGAGCAGCCTTAAAAATAATTGATTTTGGTGCTAGTGCCAAATTAGTAAATGATGAAAAACTAAATAAAAGAATTGGAACAGTATTTTAAATTTTTATAACTATTTAGCCATTCTATGTAGCTCCTGAAGTTCTGAATGGAAGTTATGATGAGAAATGCGATATATGGTCATTGGGAGTATTGCTCTATATTTTGCTTTGTGGATACCCTCCATTTTTTGGTCACAGTGAAGGAGAAGTATTGGCTAAAGTGAGAAAAGGTACATATCAATTTGACAGCAATGATTGGTCTAGAGTGTCAATGCAAGCCAAAGATTTGATTAGAAGGATGTTATTTTATGACCCATCAGCCAGAATCAATGCTTCTGAAGCTCAGTAACATGCTTGGATTTCAAATAATAAAGCTAAAGGTTAAGTCAACAATTTAAGTTTAAAGAGATTATAAGATTTTGATTCTAAAAATAAGCTCAAGTACGCTATCCTCTAATTTATAACTGTTCAAGTGGTTTCAAGTCAAGAGAAGGATGATTTACTCAAAATTTTTTAAGACATAGATAAAAATGGTGATGGGACTGTAAGTAAAGAAGAATTACTTGCTGGTATTTTATTCCTTAAATTAAGCTTATTTGAAGATTTATAAGGGAGATGCTTTAGCAGCTTAACATATTGTTGAAGAATTGTTTCCTTAACTGGATGCTAATAAATCTGGGAAAGTCGATTTTAGTGAATTTGTTACTGCTTCCATTAATAGAGACAGAACCTTAAGCAAAAAAAAGATTGAATAATCATTTAAACTATTTGATTTAGATGGCAATGGATATATTACGAAATAGGAAATAAATGAATTATTTGGAAATGAGATAGATGAAAAAATGTGGGAAGACATTCTTAAGGATTGTGATACAAATAAGGATGGAATGGTTTTTATTATTATTATAACATAGATCTCACTGAATGAATTCATTACATTGTTGGAGTCTAAAATTTAACAAAATCCAAAACTTTTATGAAAATACTCTATTCTATTTTTATAATTTTATTTTTTATATATGCATCAATGTTTTATAGGCTAAATTCTGCAAATGATAAATTAAAATATTCAACTTAATCCACTTTAATTTAAAAATTTCCAAGTGTTAAGAATCCATTTTATTACTCTTTTGGCTTTCAGAAATTTATAGAATTGGCACTCTAAAGGAGAATATCAAATTAATTAAATTAAAAATACAAAAATAATTTGCACCTACCGGGACTCGAACCCGACCTAGATGCTTGGGGGGCATCTGTACTAACCTCTATACGATGGGTGCAAGTTATATGATTTCGGATAATATTTGAAAAAATATAAAATTCTGCATTACTAATATTCTAAAAAAAACTTGTTTTTTAAATTATGTAAATAAGGAGATTTGATATCTATCACTCTCTACTTGAAGATTAATCAGGAAATTCTGTAGCTTGAATGACGTAAGTTTCAACTATTATATCTGTGCTATCTTATCTGCCATTGGAAGGTTAATTTAAAGATTTCTTAGGCCAAAAAATTATCAAAGCAGCATAGTAAGGTAGAAAAAATGATAACATCTTTTCTGAAAGTTCTAAAGCTGTATTAATAATGTTTGTCAAAGTAGGATCGTCTTCTAACTAATGTCTTGATATCGATTTACTTTAACGTAATAACATGTATATCTTTCTGGTTGATTTCTTAAAATTTCATTCATCAAAACAAAATAGACATTTTACACAAAACTAACAAAAGGATCCTATTATATTTATTATTACTAGAATCCTTATTAAATATTATTAATTAATTACCAAATTTAACTCAATCTTTTTTTAATCATTTTTTCAATTTTATCAGCCTCATCATTAACATTTTCCAAGTTCTTCATATTTTTATTAATCTGCCTTGTAAATTATCTTATTTGTAGTAAGAATAATCCTTAAAGTAAAAAGCTAACAGTTGTTATTACATTAAAAAATTAAGCTATGTATTATGATTTAATATTAACCTTAACAAAGATGATAATTATTTTATTAGATAAAATAATCAATGTAATTTAGTATGAAAACTACAGTAAAAAAAAAAATTAATCCAGCAAACATCAATTTTGATAGCTTTAATTGGATAGTAGAGTTAATTTCTCTTTAAATATATGCCAAATTAAAAGTTGCTAGCATTATTGACTTTCTTCCAAAATAGTAGATTATGTAGCATATAAACATAAATTAAAAATATAGAATGGGAAAGTATACGGCATCGTCTTTAAAAGAAAGTTAATATGCAAGATAAACTTAATTAATCTAAAAAAGTTACAAATCATGTCTATGATTAATATAAGAAAAATTTTCTGCTTTCTTGTAACTTTAAGAAGTGAGTTGAATTTTTGTTAAGCAAAGTAGATGTATATTGATAAAAGTAACAATGTGATTGCTAAAAAAACTTTAAAGCAAAATCTAAATAATAGCCATTATCATACTAAACACAAGAAGAATTCCTAGATTAATTTTAATTCATCAAGCATTCATATAACTCTATTGCTCCAGGTATTTTTGTCATTTTGTTTTATTTTAATAAAATATTACAAGGAATCAAATTTTATTATTTATATATAAATTGCTTTAGAATAATTGAAATTATAGTTTCTGTATACTAAATATCAAACTTCTTATTATATATGTCAAATATCTTAACAGTTATTATTTTAACTAAATATTCTTTTTGTTGAGACGAAATGTAGAGTCATTCAATATAATTTTAGTAAATAAATAATTAATCTTTAAATTATAAAAATTGAGTAGAGAGATATCATCTCTTAAAAAAATGTTATAAAGTCCAAATAACCATAAAATTATTCTTTATTGGTTATATGACCTTAGAATTTCTAAAATTGCAGTAATATTAATTATATTAAAGTATTTTTGATATTAAACTTATTAATAAATGATATCAACAATTTAATAAAGTTAATAATTTGCATATTAATTCTATTCAAAAAATTTTTATTGCTTTACCATTTTGAAAAGGATATTGTTTAAGATATTGTATTGAAATTTCTAAAATGAAACTGCAAAAATATTAAAATTTAATAGTATTCTATTAAAATACAGAAAAATTGAAATTCCAATTATTAATATTCTATTATCATCTTCTTAAAGTATGTATTAAAATAATAATAAAGATTTGTACACTATTCAATATTTAAAATATTAATCAGCATTCTATTTTGTTTATAATTAACTTAGTTTATTAGCACAGTTTTTATTGAGATATTAATTTCAAAATATAATAAAATAAAATAATGAATAGCTAAGCCCTAGAAGCCACGAAAACCTAGAGTGTGAAGGACTATAAGGCACAACATAAATTGGAGGACAGAAAGAAGAGAGTGTAACAATACAAAGAAAAATATCCAGAAATGACACCAATGGTTGTTTAAAAGCATCCAAAAGCCAAGATTATGTCATTAACAAGACCTTAGTATTTTATTTGAATAAAATAGATTCTTGGTGAATTAAACTGTCAAGTTTTCTGAGTTTAAAAACTAAATCAGAACTAAACTCTAATTATCACCTTAATAAACATTGTTTTTCTATTGTGGAAATAACATAATATCCGATGGTAAATTTTCTTATTAAAAATAGACATTTCACTTCAAGAATTATATAATAAATACAAAGACAGAGAAGATGAATTTCTATATTTGAATTATTCTGATTGCGAAGTTTTTGGAAATTAAATTGATTGATATTCATATAAATAAGTACATATGTACTATTGTATATTTAAATTTATTAATTGCTTTATTGAAGTAGATAGGTTGAAGCTAAAGCGTTCTTTAAAAAAAGTATGTGAAGAATTTTTAATTAAATAAATGGAAAACAAAAATTTATCAATATATTTGTTAAATTTTGTGACAAATGCTCTAATAAATTTCGATCACGGAATAATACCAGCATGCACAACTGATATGAAATTAGATTTGGGGATAGATGACATTGGAGTACTAATTTAAATATAAATCTAATTTTAGTTAGGTTTTCTGGGGTCATCAGTTTATGGAGGACTTGTAATAGGTTCATTTTTAGGCACAGGCATATTTGGCAAATTTAAAACTAAGCATATAGTTACAATCAGTGTATTATGTTGCATACTAAGTTTATCTCTATTTATTCTAACTAAAAATATATTTCTCCTATTTTTATCGAGATTTTTAACAGGATTCTTTTAAGTACACAATATTAATTTATTTGGTGTTCCTAGTAGTTTTTTTCCCTGTTTGGATAGACTTATTCGGTGAAAATCATAAGACTATGTGGCTAACATACATGTAATTAGGAGTAGCTTTAGGAACTGTTTCAGGATATTTAGTGACTTCATTATCACTTTATTTTTCATAGAGTGTAATTCAAAATTTAATAATTAGTGGGTCTATCCATATTATTTGTAAATACTACTGCTAATACCGTGTTTTTTGGTTTATAGTTTGAGTGATGAAAAAATGTTATCAAAATAAGATTAGGGGAAAACAGATGAATAAAAAGAGGATTTTAAGACAATATTTTTGCAGAATTTAAAAACATTTTTTTCGAATCCTATTTTTGTATTTTCTATGCTCTCATTAAGTTCTTTGTTTTTTGTTGTAACAGGAGTTTAATTTTGGATAACAGATTATCTTAGAAATGTGTTACTGATGCCTTATGAAGTTGTGTTTAAATCATTCTTGATAATATCGTTGACTGCTCCTCTTACAGGAGTATATTTGGGTGGCTTAATCTTAAATAACTTTGGAGGGTATGATGGATCGATGGCAATTAAAATAGCAGCATTTGAAGCCTTATTAGCAAGTATATCAGGAGCATTCATTCCAGCTTTAAATGATGGAGCATTTGCCTTACTTTTCTTATGGTTCTTACTATTCTTTGGGGGAAGTGCTGTTCCTGCAATCATGGGTATCATGATCACTTCAATTCCAAGAGAATAAAGATCAAGCGGAAACTCATTAAGCCATTTATTTCAAGAACTTTTAGGGTATTTGCCTGCCCCTGTACTTTATGGCTATGTATAATAATCAACTGGAGGTTCAACATCCCGTTGGGGAATGATTCTTTTATCTACTGTTGGATTCTTTGGTTTTTTCTATATAGTTTTAGCAATCGTTTGGAAATCTAAATAGACTCTCTAATAAAGTCCCAGTTTAGATGAATCAGAGTTAAGAGACAGAGTTCCATAGTTAGATATAGTTGATAAGAAAGATACTATAAAAAGGTCTGATTTTGCTTAAATCCGAATGCAGACTTCTATATAATCAGGAAAATCGATTACGATTCCTATCCAATAGGAACAAATTAATAATGAAGGTTAAAATGAAAATTAGGTTTCTTTGATACATAGAAATCAAACATTCAAAACAAGGGATGCGTATCAAAGGTAAGCTTCGGTTTTTTAAGCTGTAACCAATTTTTCTATTCTTCTTGGAAGAGGCAGTTTGGATAATGATTTATTTTCTATTAAAAATAATTAAGAAAGGAAATAAATTTAAGACTAATAAAAGGAAATTGAATTGCAAGTGGCTGGTGGATACTATTTAGTAAGTGAAGGGAGATATGTAAAATTTGAAGAACATTGATTATTTAGATATATTTTTATCCAAAAATACATTAGATTAATCAAAATTATTTATGATTATTTTGAAATAATAATATTAAATCCATAATTTATTTCAGATTTTTTTACAAAACATATCAATAAATTCTAGATAATCTATTTCTCCATCATTGTTTTTATCAACTTCTTTTATTAGACTTTCACAAAATTGCTTTGAAATATATTTAAATTGATCAACAGATTTCAACACATTTTAAAGATTGTCTACTGTGATTTTTCCTGTATTGTTCAAATCAAATTATTTGAATGCCAAATAACATTTCTCCTCTTTCAAAAATAATCTCTTCTCATAGATTTAATTAATAAAGTCTAATTAGTTAAATGATTACTATTGTAATTAATTTTATCATCCTGAATTTCAGAATGCTATAAAATTAAATTTATTTCTTCGTATTCTGGCTAATCTTTTAAGGTATCTTTAATTGATGAAACTGAAATGAATCCTTTTGAATTAACATCCAATTCTTCAAATATTTTCTTTAATTTTTCTAAAGAATCCTTTTGCAGCTATTCAGACAAAAAATTCATCATAATCTAAGTTTACTTTAATATTATACTCTTAATAGATGGTTTTAATTGGATAGTTCTTTCATCTATTTGAAGTTTGGATTTAAGAAAATAGTTTTATCAATAGGAGTTTAAATCCAAGGATGTTTCAATATATCAAAGATTGACATTCTTTTATAAGGATCAATCAGAATTTTAGACAATAAATCTGCAACTGGTTTTTCAACTTTTAAAGTTATTTCATAATTTTAAATTTGTTTGTAGATTTCGGCATCAGTTTGACCATTGAATGGCAATTCACCTGTTATTAAAACATGTAAAATCACTCCAACTGCCCATATGTCACATTTTTCGGTTAGTCTACCTTCAAATATTTCTGGAGCTGTAAAATACAACTTACAATTAATAATGTATAATACTTTCCCTGATCTTGAGGATTCTACAACTATTCCATTCTGTTTCTTAATGTAATCATCTACATAAAGCAATTAAAATCCAAAATCAACTGCCTTAATCCTCATATCTTCTGCTTTTCGTTCTACATATAAAAAAGATTCAGGCTTAAATATTTCAATTATTTTACTCTTAAATCTCGATGACATAATGCATATTTATGACAAACATTTATGGATTGGATCATTTACAAAAACAATTAGCGAGCCTCTTCTGCTGAAAGTACGTATTTTTCCAATATTTTTTCAAACAATGAACCACCTTCGCAAAGACTTAACTAGATTAGTTTTGTTAAAAATACTCAATCACTATATGTATGTTCCTATCATCCTCGTATAGTTCATAAATTTTAATAACATTTTCATGATTCTTATATATAAGGCTATTATTTTTTACAATATTTTTGAGCTAATTAACGTCTGATTTCAATTTTTCCTTATGCTTTACTTTAGCTTTTGGGATGCTACGTATGGCTCTATAGATTTTTGATAATCTCTCTTTAACTTTTATAACTTAACCAAATTTTCCTGACCCAAGAACCTTGATTAATTTAGTTATACTTTCTTTGTTTCCATTTCATATTTCTAACTTAAATTTTAGGATTGACTCCACATGAACCATAATTATTTTGAATTCTTCATATTAAATATTTATAATCAAATTAACAACAGAACATAATTAATAAGAAAAAAAACGAGAAAAGCCAAAATAAAAACATTGAATGCAAATTAATTTCCTTCTCCAACGCATTTCCCAATCCATATACAATGATGATCGTACCCTCTTATACAAATATTACAATCTTTGCAATGTATAGTTCCTTTTGATTTGTGCATGGAGCAAATTGAACACCAATCTAGCTTAGATTTAATAAATACGTTCTGTAAATGCTGTATTTGATTATTTGTAATTTATGCCTTAGTTTTTTAATGCAGTTATTAGGAAAGTTAATATTAAAAAGAGTCCAGAGCAACTTTGTACTATTCTAAATAATATATCGCTTTTATAAAATATTAATCCTATGTAATAAGTTCCTAAGATCAAAACTATGGTTAGAAATAAAGGAAAAGGCCCTTCTATTAAGAAATATCAATTTACAATGGGGACCTATAGTAATTAAAGGCTCATCATTTCTAAACCAAAAGCAATATTGGCTTCCCTTTTTTCGTTTTAGTTATTTCACTTCATTTGAACTTAAAGGAACTTCTTCATCCTCAATTTATCCATTTTCTATGTCGTTCATTTTAATTAACAATATTAACAAATAAAATTTCACAACTATCATCGTAATTCAAATATATGAAATTAATGAAACTTATTGAGCATTTAAGTGAATATTACAATCTGTGAGTTAGATTAATTTAAAATATTTTGAGGATATAGCCCTTTATATATATATATAATAGTAAATTCACATTGAAGATGATAGTTTACTCATAAATTCTTTGATTTTATTTTCTCTAAAGACTATAGCATTTTCTCTTGCTTATAATTCCTGCTATTTTTCTTAGATTGCTTTATATTCTTTATGGATTCTTTTTTCAAATAAATGCCTAGCAATATCGATATCAATTTATGGTTCTGGCTCTACATTTTCCTAATTAGACTATAAAAAAGTCTCTTCCGTTTATGTTTGTCTATTTACTAATGATAATTCTTTATTTATCAACTCCATTTCCTTTTCTCTTATTTACTTTTCAAAATTATATAATTATTCTTCTTTTTACTTCATTTCTTGATAAAATTAATCTAATTGATTTTAAGTGGAATCTATTAATTTTTTAGCAATTTGAACATCACTTTTTAGTGATTCAATTTCTTCTGCTTATTTTGAATTAATAAATTGTTATTCTAATAGTTTTTTTTCTAGCACTTATATTTATTGTTAATGCTCTTCATAATAATCTAAGTAAGTGGACTAATTTTTAATATCGCTTAATGGAGTTCGTTGATTTAGAAAAAAAATATCTGAAATGCTTTTATTAGCAGATTTCATTTAATTTTATAAATTAATTAATAACTAATTACTAATTTCAACCACTAAATTTGATAAGAGTAAAATGATGAGAACTTAGTATCATTTAAATAAATATCGATTAGTTCTTTAGGACCTAAATAACAGTGTGTGTATTTAAATTTAATTTATATTCTAACAGATTTTTAAGTAATAATAAATAAACAAAGAGGTATTACTAGAAAAAATAGTTTGGTTGTATAAATATAGAGAGAATACGTAATTGTCAAAAGTCATAGAAATTCCACTCTTAATATGGTTATGCAGGGTTGATTTCATCGTCTATTTGTGTTTCTTTCCAATCGGAGTTGAAAGTTATTGATGTGAATTCATTTTCATAATTGTGTTGATCAGTTTAATTTGTATTTATAAACTGATCAATATCTATTGATGCTTTCGAAACCTCGTCATCTGCTTCAATTATCATATTATTCCAGCTATCATTTTATGAAGTATTATGCTCTTCTTATATTATTTCTGGGGCAGCAACATTAAAAATGGGATCCTTCCTTAAGAGTTACCTCAAATAACCCATTTTCATGTTCAAACACTCTTTTATATTGATAATTTAAGAAGCTTTCCTAATTATGCTGTAATAGTCTTCTAAAGTTTTCTTTGAACATCCAACTAGATTGGCTGCTTCTTTGAGTGAAGGCTTGATAAAATGTCCAGCGTAATCACGATACCCATTCTCAAATAAGTCTCTCCATTATTGAACTAGATTGTTAGCTTCATAAACAAATCTCTCTTTAGATCTTCTTTATTTATCAATTAATGATCCCTGTTGCATCTTATGAATGCTTTTTAATAATTTTTCACCTCCCTAGATGAAATCAGCAATTTATTATCCTATAATAGTATTTATCAGAATTCATACGTATTCATTTATAACTATGTTTTAAGTAAATAGTATTCATCTGTCTCTCATTAAAAATTGACCAATACTTCATCGTTGGCAGTTAATTTCTATATGATTAATTTAATAGATTCTTCTATAAAATAAAATGACAATGTTAGTTTTTTGTATTATAGAATTTTGATTAATCTATTGAAATTAATGTAGAATGAAATGATTTTCCTTACCCTTTACGATTTAAGATCTTTCCTTTAATATCCTACTTAGACTTCAAAAAAATATTATTTCGATCAAATAGGTTTTTTATTATTATATTAATTAACTTTACTCTATCCAGGTTGTCTGTAAATCAACAAAAATGAGAATACATTAAAACACTACCTTCATTGAAGATAGGAAATGAAATTATAATTAATATTTTAAAATAGTATAAAAATAATTTTATAAATATTCTTTAAAAGATGAAAATTATTTTTTGCTCGATATATTAGGAAGACCAATTATTAGAATGTATGGATTATAACAATTACATTAATAAACTTTTTTTTCAAAAATCTTTTATGGAAATACTATAACATCTTTAATTATAAACAGTTAAATTAGGTAGAAACTAAACTTTCCTTTATAAATTTAAAAATAGAAGAAAAAAGTTTAATAACTATTTCAGAATTGAAAAATAAAATTATAAAAATTGATTCATTCTACTTTATGATAGCGGTATTCATTAGAAATTCATTAAACAGAATATAAAATGAAAATTATTGATATTATAACAATTTATTATTGAAAGGAGATAAGAAAGGATGTAAAATATTTATGATCAAAGTCATTTGAGTAAATAATAATTAACGAAAATGATGAAATCAAATTTAAACGTACCTTAAATGTTTTATTTTAATGCTAAAGAAAATTTATAAAAGATAGGTTCATTGTCATGAGATTAAATATATTTAGAATTTATAATGCATGGTCAAAGGATTTTTTTTTATTTTAGTTCTTCGAGAATTTAAGTCTGAGTATCCAAACTACTGATGAAAGAAAGAAAATAATGTGAATCATAGAAGAATTAATTTGACCTTCCATTATATCTAAAATAAATTAAATAAACACTTCAGATGTTTTGAATCCTTATCCAAATTGTTTTTTTATCTTTTATGGTTTTTTAATCCTAACTGATTTTCCTGATTGAAACTCAAATAAATTATTCAAGCGAAATCACATCGAGATGGATTCCTTTTTACTATGTTTCAAACAAAAAGTAGCAACAGAAGAGTAATAAACTAAAATTGGCTAACAATTTCTATCAAATCTAAACAGAAATTATTACTAATCTAATGTTTGAGGTCCGATAATCAGTTAAATTATGAGATAAAGTATATATAAATCTAAAAGTCTTATGAATTTATAGATAAATTTGATTAAGAATTTTTTTATTTTCATTATTATTAATAGTCTTGAATCTAAAGGCTTATTGTAGGACATATTTTAAATAGGGGACTTAAATAAGAGCAGCAGCGAGAATTGAGTTTATTATAGCTTGATTTTATTGAATCGTAATTGAATTAGTCATAATATATTATTGAATGATTAAATTAAGTTATAAAGATTTTATTTTTAAATATTACAATCAAATTGTATTAAGGAATTAAAGTTGAAGTATTTATTGCATTAGAACTGAAAATTTATTCCTGAATATTTTTGATCAGAGATTAGGATTTATTGGTTCTATAATTATTTTATTATAATATGATGTATACTCTAACCCCTTAGTAAGCCTAGATTTCTATAAAAATTGACAAGCCTAGCTATTATCCTGGGGAGATTATAAAGGGAGTGGTGTATATGAAAATCAAAACGAAGGATATTTAAGCTGGTCTTTTGTATTTAAAAGTAAGAATTCAAATAAAAGTAATATAGCTCTGCGGACAAGAGAAAGTCAATTAATTAGACTCTTATAACTAATTCTTTAGCTATAAATAGTTCATATATAAAAAGCAGAAAAAAATAGCAGACTTTGGAATGTATAATAAAGCTGTATATTTAGAAAAATGCCAATTATAGCTTGCAAAAAATATTTTGAATTAGAAGTTCCCTCATTATACCCTAGTTTCACAGTTAATTATTACAAACTGGTACAGTGTAGAATTCTTTATTTTCTCTCTGTGAGTATATAAAGCGAAGATGAAAAAAATTTATATAAAGTACCCAAAAAACATAGAGTAGTAGTTCATATATTGTAAAAATTGCCAATTTAAAATGTTATTCCTATTGAATATTCAGAAGTTTCAAAAAATGACAAAAGGTGTTGCTTTTCAACAGGGGTAAGAAAACAATTAAATTTAGAATACAAAAGTCAAAATTTAATTAAACAAAGCATAATATGTATTTGGAGACAGCATCTAATTAAATATTTCAGTTGATAATAGTTAATCAAATGTTGCTGTTTAGAAATTTGAATTGAAAATTTCTTCTTAATTAGTAGTTTTATATAGACAATAAAAAAGAAAGTTATCAAATTATTTTGATATCTATTTATAAGAATTAAATGGTAATAGATTATTTTATGTTAGAATAAATTTAGGCACATTCCTAAAAATAGATTGCCACTAAAATACATCTACCAACAGGGAAACCAGATAATTATACGTCTATTTTCCCTTAAAGTACAATTAAAACGAAAAGGGTAAGTTATTAATATATTCTTACTGTGAATGTAATTTTTTCAAGGTAGTTATTTTTCAAAGTGGAGAATCTTGTTGCCTCTATCCCTTTAATTTTGATTTAGCATCAAAAGAGAGAAAAGAACAATATTATTCAATCGATGGATAATTTAAGTATGCTTGGATCAATACTTGAAACGAATTAAAAATTAAATACTAGTTAATTAAAAAAATTTATTTATGGAGATCACAACTCTGCTGGTTATGGTGAACAGGATGGTTATGTAGGACCTGAAAGAAAATATAACCCAATAGAAAGTCTGGATGAATTTGCATTGAAGGACACAAAGGGAGCATTGGAATAATTGATGTTTAAGAAATAATATGAGGAAGATAGTGACATTGATGAAGAATTTGAAAACGAGATTGATGGTATAAGTATGAATGATATCAGTATCAATCAAATATAATCATCTCAAGACTAATAATAAAAATAGAGGACAATTTTTAATTAAAAACAGTAAAATGAATTCAATTGTCCTAACTCTGAAGAATTTAAATAAGTAGAGGGTATATAGGAGCATTTGCAAACAATAAAAGAGGAGTAAGAAAGTAAAGGAACTTAATATAATCTTAACAATATCTAACCTTCATTTTAAGTCTAAAAGAATCCCTAAAAAGCTTAGAAAGATTCTCATCAAATTTAAACATTTGGATCAGTAAATTCAGGATTAGATAATTATAATTATGAAGATGTGAAAAGTCCAAATGAGCAAACAAATCCTAGAAAAAGTACAATTTTGAAAAAAAATAAAAATACTGAATAAAATGATTAAAGAGAACAAAAATAGTTGAAAGTTTAGTTTGTTGATATTACTTCAGTGGATACTCTTGATGGAAAAAATGGAGACAAAATGACTACATAAAAATAAAAAAGATGATATGTTATGACCAATTTTGAAATGAAAATTTGTAATTCATTTTTATATTAATTTGTAATATAATTATTTAAACAATATTCATATTAATCTTAATTATATTACTATTATGTTTATCACAAATCAGATTCTAATTATTAATGAATAAGTTTGTCCTCCTCCTCTTCCTCCTTCTCCAAAATATGACTTAACTCAGCCAAACTTGCATCGTTCTAAATTTCTTAATATATGGATTGAGTCAATTTGATGAAATAATAAATAATTAATATTATGGTTATAAACATTCCTAATTTCAGCCAAAATGGAACATAGTTACTTGTGTCTCCTGATTATAATAAGTCAGATAAGGATTCCAGGTTTGACCCCATGTATACCCAAAATCCTGCCCAAACCACAGTACCAAATATTGTAGGATGGATGAATTCCCAATGTGTAATTCTAAACAATCCACAAGCATATGTTTTAAAAATGGTAGGAATTGCCAAAAATTATATTAAATACATAACTTTCACTGGTTTTCTTTCAGTCGCCAAATAACATGTAATGAAGTAAATGTTCTCATTCATAGCCATATAAATATAATTTCTTACAAAATATCTCCCTATGAGAAATCCAAAATATCTATTGTGAAATCAATTAAAATGTTACTTTGCTAGAAATTTAGCTATAGATACTGTTAATAGTGCAAACCAAAATGGTTGAATCAAATATCCTGCCAAAATATCATACAATACTACATTAAAGCCTGTTAATACAAACCATAATCCAATCATTCCTATATATACGGCTCCAATGATTTATCCTAGCTAGAATATTGAATACCTTACTCGCTAAAATCATTCAAAATGCCATAGCAAAAATATCTGAAATCTCTAACCCAATATAATAACAAAACAAAAGTTATAAGTATAATTGAATAAAGAATCATAATTAACAACAATATTCTCTATGCTTTATCTCTTTTTGGATTATTTTACGAATTGCCTAATGTTGCTATATATATATGAATACTCCCTCCATCTTTAGCTTTTTAATATTTTTCTCTTAATTCTCTACTTTGATCTTCATAGAATCGTTGTGAAATTGTTTATTCATTCATTCGTTTTTTTCTTATTAATTATGAAAATTATTATATAATAAATAATTAAATATTTGAACTTTTTTTTATTATGACTAGTACCAATTATATTTCTTTCATGAAAATTTAAAATCATAAAATTATGATAGATTTCGATTTGTCTAGAGCAAATATGAATTTTATAGGGCATCGGTTAAGATTCCCTTTCTCAAAATTTTGTGCTTTTGTCATAACTTACATTTAACTATATATATCATATATATATATTGAATCAAATCTAATCGATTTCTTTAGTTGTTTTCACAAGTTATTCGCTATATGGAGTTTCTGGTTCCTCCTTAATTACACCTAGTCGTTAGGAGAAACCAATTTTCTGCTGTTACTGTTGCTACGCTTATTTTTATTATTGGGCTTGTAATTATTGTTTTTCTTCTAAAGACTCAAAGGAGGAACTGCTATCACAAAAGTTGATGACATCAAAGAGGTCTTTGACATCATCGGTACTTGGTTTAGCAGAGCACTTGGTAAGATTAATTGAGTGGATTGATTATTAAAAGTGAATCGATTTCTCTCTGATTTGCTAACTGGTTTCTTTATAAGCTATAATGATTTATCCATGGTTTTTAGTTAAATCTCTTTTATCAATAAATTATTCATTAGAATTAGAAACAGATTATTGTAATATTTTCATATTTGCTTACATAGACCTTACAATACCCAAAAGAGGTTTATCACTAGACCCAAGAACGATGTCATCCTTTGATCTCATTTTTATATGCTTAGGAAATATCTTAGGTTAATAAAGCCAAGGATGGAGTAAAGCCTCTGAAATAAATTAATAAATCTATACAAGCCGAAGTGATTCGTTTATCTGGATTCCATTTCAGTATCCTTTTGATAAAGTCAATGACCAAAGAGGGCAATTGAAGAAATTCTGGTTGCTGCAAATGTCCAGTGTACTCAGATTAAGTGGAAAAGCTTTCCATCTGATTCTCTTAATCAATAGGTAATTTACCACACAACAACTGATAGCAGACAACTCCAATGGCCCAGACATCAATCTATTTAGAATATCCAGAACCAACCCATAATTCAGGAGCTTGATAAGGCATGGTTCCTGTCACAGTCCACAGGAGATTGTTTTTGATGTCTTTGCAATTTTTCTCAGCGACAAGGAATCTTTTTGAAACCCCGAAATCAATTAACTTGATGGTGTTTGTGTCATTATCAAAGACGATATTATCAGGTTTGATGTCTCTGTGACACAATCCAACTTTGTGAATGTATGACGCAGCCTCGAACAATTATCTCACGATTATGCATGTTTCATTCAGATCTAAAGTCTTTCTCTACTTCAAGATATGCTACAGACTTGGATAAGGTAAATAGTCCATGACTAAATAAGAGCATTCCATGTTTGGATCAATGTAAAGCATATTAGTTTTGCAAATGTAAGGATGATTTAAAGACACAGTATTAAGGAATGTCTATTTCATTATTTCTGTGATTTCTGGATCTGCATTCCTTGAAATCTTAACAGCATATGTTTCATCTGGGTTTGTTATTTGCCAACATTGTCTGACAACTGCATGAGCTCCTTCACCCAGAATTTTTCCAATTTGATATATATTTTTGAAGGATTGCTTCATTTATTCAAGTTGTTTCTTATTGGACAGATAATCGATTATTTTAGGAGCATCATCCTTAAATTCACTTTAACTTGAGCAATGAACATATTCTAATATTTATGGACATTGATTGATAATTTCTTCGACATTCTATTTTTATTAATTCTCATTCTTAAATAAATCACTTTTCAATTTATTTCTTATCCTCTCAAAGTTACCTTTTTTGTCCATTTTTATTGTTATTTATATTTATATAATTATATCAAGTAAAATTTATTTGTTCAAAATCAATTAATCAATACAAAACTAAATTCTCAAATCCCATTACTCTGTTCTTTCTATTAAAATATCATAAAATTCAGTAAACGTTCCTACTCAGATATAATTCTCATTTCTCTTGCTTACTCCCTTTAAATGATCCCTTATTTTTAAACTGTCTTTAATTAATTAAATAAATTTCTACATACCAATAAATTCATTCTGTAAAAAAGTAAATGCAATAATTTTGTCATATATTTATTAAAATTGTATTCAATTTAAATTTCATGATATATCAATCAATCAAATTCAAGTAGGGAGCACTCCAACCATATTTAAACAGGATCTTATTTTTTTATATATAATCAAATAATCAATTTATAATAAGTGTAGAAATGTTATTAAATCTAACTGAAACTAAACAGCCACAAAATTGAAAGATTAAACCCTGATATTACTTACATTCATAGTTAAATGCTTTAATTAGTACATAATAAATAACAATAATGAAATTGTAAACCGAAGAAATTCCTAAAGTCTGCGCTCAATTTAATATTATTTATTTATGAAATAGTTTGTTAAACTCTTGATAATTTTGGGAGAATCAGAAATCGACATAGAACTAACGCGACAAGAATTATGTGCACAGAGACTATTCGAACCCTTCACAAGTTTTAAACGATTAGATTAAAACAATAAAACTAAGCTTGGAGTTAAGGAATTTTATGAATTTCTGCAAGACAACCAAGAAATACATTTAACCAAGTAATAATTAGATACTCTTATCAAATATTTGGATTATGATAAAGATGGCTCAGTATCGTATAATGAGTAAAATATTACATCCAATATTCAATAGCTTCATTAAAATAATATTACCATAAGAACACCCTGAATTAACTGAATTGGCTATGTTAAGATCTAGCTACCAAATTGAAAAGAATGTTCTTTTACCATCAGAAATTGAGTCATTGTTAAATGAACTATTATTATGTATTCTTACTTGGAGAGATTCCTTTGAAAAGGTTAAAGTAGAATTGTTAAAGGAGGATTATAACAACTATATGGATTACCTATTTCAGAACCATTAATAATTGAGCATCTAACAGTAATACTTTATTCCTAAAAAGATTTTATAAAATAATAAATGAAATTCAGCCTGTCAAACAAGAAACAGTTTTATCGTGTTTCAAATACATAGACTAAAATAGAACTAGATTTATTACCAAATCTGATGTTATTTTGAATTTGCTGGGGATTCCCTTTGAACAATTCACACACAAACAATAAAAGTAATTATAGGATACTTAATTCTCATCATACAATCTATCTCCCAGACAGACTTACCTATAAATTTCACCCAGATTTACTTAATTACCAAGAAATGAGAGAACTATTAGTAATATCGAAAATATATTATCGTTGTCAACATCAAATAAGAATAAAAATGGAAAGATAATATCATTCAAATCACGTACTTAACTATCCCAACTAAATTGATATATATACTATTTATTAAATAAATATAGGCCTCAATATTAAAATTATTTATTTTAATTAATTATAATGAGTGAAGGATAATAAATTAAGGAAAATACGCAATAAAATGAAATCCTTATTGGAATGCCAAAATCTGGAAATCCTTGGAAGAAACTTTCAACAAAGTATGAAATCATCATGTAATTTTAGATCAAGTACAAGAACCAAAAGATTTCATAAAGTTTCATGGGAAGAAAAGCAAAAATAAAGATAACAAAAGAAAGAATTATAAGACTATTTGAAAGAGTATAAAGCTGAGAAGGAGAAGCAGGTATTTTTTAATGTGAATTAAGATTTAAGAAGAAAAATTGAGAAAAAAGAATAAGAAGAAATAAGATGAATTAAATAAATATAAGACAGCTGATCTTTAAATTATAAAAGAATCCAAAAATATTAAAAAATGGACCAAAAAGGCACGTAAAACCTTGGTCAAATTGCCTGCTGAAATATTTGAAACATTGCTAGAAAAACAAAGAAGAAGATGATTAAAAATAATATTGTTTTTATATTTCTAAAATTATAATGAATTAAGATTCAAGCTATTAACATGATTACACAGTAGATATTAAACAACTAAAGGCGATAAATAGGAAATAATCGTAGGTATGGGATACTATGATAGAATCTTATCAAAAAAAAATTTGTCATCTAAAATAGAAAGTTAAGATTGAAAAAACATAACAAATGCAATCAGAAAATAAATAATAATTGTATCAATAACAATGTCTTGCAGCAGCAAACGCTTACTAGTTGGATTTATTTGAGCTAAGAAAAAAAGATCTTAAAAATCAATTTGAGTCAAACAAGGCTAATTTAAATGAATAGATCGATGAAATTAAAAAATCGTATGAATAAATAAGTAAAAATCTATAGCCGCTTCCCTAAGAATAGCCAAAAGAATGTTCATTTATTGCAGCTGCTAGTTCTGATTACACATTAGTACTTGCATTAGTTAAAAAAAATAATTAGAGAACTTTCATTTCTTTATAAAGCTTTTACCCTGAATGTTACATATCTAATTATTAAGATTGTGAAAATATATCTGTGATTGCAATAAAAGATATCAGTTACTAAGCATTCAGAAACTAAATTTAAAATAAATTACTATTAGCAAATGCTGATAATAAGACTATTAACTGTTATATGGTTAGTTATGACAAGGATAAGCTGTCCAAAGAATTGATTTTTTAATAAGAGTTAGAACATAATATTGATTTGATTCATATCACTAAGAACTTATAAGTTTTTGTAATAAATATTAATATAATAGGTAATCAGCAAACTGGGGGGTTTTGTTTATTTATTGAATAAGAATAAGAAAAAATTAATTTATTAAGTAGGCCATGTGATTTGTGAATCAATATATCTTGAAAGTGATGATATTTTAAGAGTTTCAAACCAATTTATGATTATCACTATTTCGAATTTGTCATCAATTTAAGAAGATTATGAATATGTTGAATTGAGAACAGAGGAGTTTTCAGCACTGCTTTATTTTCATACAAATTTACCATCTCGTCATTTGAAGTATATCTCACACCCATAGATTATAAATAAATAATATTTTGTTTATGTGAAAAAGAATTAAGTTAGAGTTTATGACTATATAGCCAAAGATAAGAAAAAGTTTAATGTATCAACTCAAAACATTCAAATTGAATTTCTCAACTACTTTGAGAAGACTAATAGATTAGTATTTTGTGATAGTTAGGGATAATCATACAAAGTGGAAAAATTTACAAATCTAATTGGGTGAAATATTATATATATATATAAAATTTTAATGGAATCAGGACTAATTTCTACATCAATATCTACAAAAATGATTGCTCCTTTAAAGGTATTACTAATTTCATTGATCATCTCAATAATTGTATGTTTTGTCGAAGCAATAGTTTTTAGTGTAAAGACATCTGAAATAGGTAAGGATATTTGATTAGCAATAGATCAACATTGTGGTCCAAACTCCGCTGCAATAGTCTAAACAATATCTTATTATTTCACATTAATAGCCCTATTGGTTTTTGCGTTTGCCATTAATAAATTGAAAAAAACATACATATTGGTTACAACAATCCCTTCTATAATTCTAAAAATCGTTTCATTTATAATGATGATGACTTAATTAAATAAACTGTGGGGTACTTGCTATATTTAAAGCTCTTAAATTTCAACCTTCATTATGAGTGACCTTTTTTGGATTTTAATATTGATATACTATTTTAATGCATTATCCAAATTATAGTAAAAGTTTCCAGAAGCCTTTTACCATAGTTTTAAAATAAATTTACTATGGGCTTGATGAATGATAATTTATGTAATATAATTTCATATATAATAACTTCTTATTCATATATATATATAAATCAAGGTTTAAACTGATTAGAATCTCTAATTGCATCTGAAATAATATGTTACATCTATTTTTATAGAAAACATTCTTCAATTTCCATTTTATCTTTATTTTATGCATTTATAAAATGTGAATTTATGTCATCTTAATTTATACTTTATTTAAATTATTTAAATTTATTGTCAACATTGTTTATTGACGAAGACTTAAAATCAGAGTATTGTTGATTTAAAGTTGAACTTTATTGGCCATTGAATAAATTACTTTGTATTATCCCATTGTAAGCTTATTGCATAAAAGTTCCTTAATTAATCCCATTTTAAGATTATACCATAAAAGTTCCTTAATTAATTCCATTTTAAGATTATACCATAAATGATGATGGAATACTTTATAATACAGATAATCCTTGGTTTTAGGAATTCAAATTTATTTAAGCTGGTTACATAAATATTCTGTTATCCTAGTTATTGAAGCTTTGAGTGTTTTAATTGAGATTATTATTCTGATTGCAATTATTGATCAAATTCACTCCATTGTTTTAAGAAAACATTTCCTACAAGTTTAAAATTGTTAAAAAAATAAAATATTAATGATTTATATTAAAAAAGATATGATCATTTTGATCTTGCAAATCCAACCCTATCATTATCTCTATCATAAACTGAATAATATTTGCTTAAGAAAGTGTCACCCAAAATCCAGGCTGGTCCTTGAGGATGTGGAATGTCTAGTGGCATAAATGTTCCAACGCATTCACAACCTGCTCCCATTTCTAAGAAGCTGTCTGTAGATGCAAAAGATCCATATGCAACCTAATCAAATTATTAATGTATTTACTTCATTTCCATATGAATCTATCTTCATAATGTAATCATGTGCATCAAGATCATAATGAATTCCATCCAGGACAAATGTTAAGGTGGGTAATTCTTTAACATTCTTGCAATTTTCATCTATATTAAGAGCATCAATCACATCATATAAATCATCAGATGGACCTGTTATTAATGATGTTCCAGTGTCAGCTATCACCTTGCATCCTCTCTTACATATTCCTACATCCTTTCCATTAACCAATATATTTTCTGCTTCCAAAAGCCAATAATACTTGTTTGCCACATTGTGAAAATGCAAATCCCCTACAAAATGCTCTTAATTCCATCCTCCCAATGTTAGTTCTGAGGTTCTGGTGCCTTCTTGTCTTGAAAAGTAAAATGAAAACACATTCCTGTCCAACAATTTTTATTGCATGATATTATCAAATAATGGATTAAAATGATAGGCAGCCATTGTTGGATATGCTAAACCAACTATACCATCAAAATCTGAATAAGCGAACACATCTCCATTTTCCCTGACTATTTCTGCAAACTCTTATTTCCTTATCTAAACATTTCCAACGTAGGCGGTGTCTGCATTAATCTTTTAATTGATTGAATTCTTACTTCTCCCATCAGTTCACCAGTTCCAAACTCAACATCTAAATCATAGCCTAAATGCTCATAAGTCAAACTCTTTTAACCATCGTATTATTTATGATTCTTGCAACCATAATCATTGCATCTTGCAGAGTTCAACCAAATATTAGCTGATCCAGTATCGAATATAACCTATCTTAGTAATTTATTCTACTTTAAATTTATTTTCTTAAGCTCCAAAACTAATTTCACCAGTATATTAAGTATTTTTAAAATTATATAATTTTATGCTCTCCTTCTGTGTAGTTTATGTCAAAGCAATATCATCCATTATGTCACTCTTAGATCTAAAATGTTGCCCTGTTGTTATGAAATCGAAGAATGATTTCCTGGCTTAAGATTAAGTTCTTTCCAACTTTATTGAATAAATTTTATTCTGCATTCCTGGTTGCTCTTCTAAAAACGAAGCACATTAAGCAGATATGATCAATATAGAAATCAAATATACTTAGTTCATTTAATATTGAATTATTCCATTTCAAAAACGATAATTTTTACTTTAAAGTGAATTAACAGATTCCATTTTAGAAAATACTAAATTTATTATCAATTCTCGAATCAAATTATAAATCTTATTTAATCTTCAATGTTTAACATCTCTCATTCAACAATACTGTGTATCTTGGAATGATAGATTCAAAATTGAATTCAAATAAAATTTGTTTTATATAATCAATACCAAATAGAATCAAACTCTGATTCCATAAAATTAATTAAATAAATATTAGAGTTAATTAACAACAATTATATAAAATTAAACTGTATATTTTAGAATAACATAACTTTTACAATCCTCAAACCTCACACACATTTTCTTTTTTATCTTCACTTTTAGCCTGCAAATAGATCTAAATGGCTGAACTCATTAAACCTCCTAATGCAACTAATCCTCTGTTAAATCTTGTATTTAACTATTTTCAATAAAATGATCATACTATTTGTTCTGGTATTTATGCTTTTTACATAGCACAGGTTAGATCACCTATGATTCTTAAAATCAGTAGTCCATATTGATATCTTTCATTTGTCAAGGCTTTGATTTAAGTAATAAATTCCTAATTAGATATCCCATTTTAAATTTATTACTTCATCTCAGACTCTCTCTTTAGTAATAATAATTATACCTTCTAAAATTGGTTCTTAATCTATTTAAATAGAAAACTAATTATGTTAACAATCCTAAGGTCCAAAAAGAATGAGAAATAATTTTCAATAATTGATGATTGAATGTTTTCTCAAAAAATCCCATTTAATGTATGACCATAATACTCTCTATTAGATGGAAAAAGAAATAAAATATATAGACAGAATATGTTGACATTTCATTAACAGCATGAGGAATTTGATGAAAATGCTTTTTTGGATTATGAATTTATGATTTTTGTAAGATATTAAGAATAGTTTATAAACTTTTTCCTAACCTAAGCAATCTCCTACAAACATATATATGTTCTATATTAGAAATATCTGCTTACAATATATTTAGAATTTCTATTCAGATTGTTGGTTGTCAATTCCAAGAAGCATGTAGCTTCTCAACAATTCCCAATTTTAGAACATTTTTAACATTTTATCCCTATTGTCTCTTGATGATCATAATTAATACCTGTAGATGATTAAAACGAAATGAACTTAGATAGCATCAATAGCTTGAATATATTAATAATATAATTTAGAATATCATAACTATGAATTACAATAGATTGATGGAATATAAAAAGTAACAGTAGATTAGAAAAAAGATTCAACATATATATATATAGGTTTCAAAAGTTTTCGTCAATATAATTAAGTTTGGCACCCGAATTAAACTAAGAAGCAAATTGAGCAATTAATTTTTGAGTGTCATTCCTTTGTTTTTTGAGTCTCTAACAATATAATATGTAACATTACTTTGATTTATTCATTTTCTATAAAATTTAAGTTCTGTCTTGTGATTTAATTGTGCTCTTCTTGTTATTCCGTTTTTAGGTGTTTATTTTACATTCTTTTACTTTTACCGAGACTAAAAGCATTGTTCATTCTAGTTTTATGTACATTTAATAGCCACTTATCTTTGTTCTGTATTGTGACTTTTGGTGTTTCTAATAGTTTGTTGTTCATTAGATGGCTAGATTTAAAATTTTTGTTAGGGAGATTAGGAGTGAAATATTTTAGTTCATAAGGAATGTTTTTGAGTCTTTTGGCTTACAGACTCTCGTACTTGGGAGTATACAAATGAAGTTAATTGGAGGTGTTCATTTGTGTAACTGTATGCTTATGTACTATTCTCCTGTCTGATTTGGGAGCTTTGGAGATTGACAATATTCCTATTAATAGCTAACAGTCTTTACTTGATCTTGATGTTGTGGTGTATACATCAGATTCAAACTAAGCACATGATTCTAATTTAGGCAAATGAAGAGTTAATTTCACTTTTCTTTCGGAAAACATTATTTATTGATTAAAAGATGATTTCAGTGGATAGTTATCAATAATATCAATTAAATATGGTCAATTCAAATTGTGTGATTAAATTATATGTATATAATTATATTATGAATAATGGAGTGATCTTATTGATGAAATTACTCAAGTAATCGGTGGATTCAATGTCCTAAGCGATATGAAACTATTAATATTTGTAAACAATTCTTATTATAAAAAATTAATAAATTTGTTAAATTATGTAATACTATTGCTAACTGCATTAGTCAATCTTTACTTCAGTTTGCATTCAATAGGATTGCACAAAAAAAGGACCATTGTGTGATAAATGTACAGATACTCATAAAAATCATGTTATGCAAAATTTAGAAACATATTTCAATGACTACACAAAATACTTGAATATGGAGTATTAAGCATAAATATTGTAAAAATTAGACTAAATGAAATAATACTTCCATGATAAGATTTCATCTTTATAAATCGATGTAAATTTTATAGATGAAAAAAGAAAAAAAGAAATCATGAAATAATTGAAATAAGAGAAGATGAGTCCCCAATAATTTCAATCTAAGGTTATTGAATTAATACAAAGAGATTAACTGAAGGACAGAGAATATTTAGAACAATTCTTTACACAAATAGTTGAGATAGAGAAGAATATGAAATTCTAATTTTCACAATTACCCAAGAAATTCATATAAGCTTAACATCATCATCAACCATCTCATCAGTCATAATAAATAATTAACAATAAATCCAATCTTTCAAGCGAAGTCAGAGAATTATCCCCATAACTATCAAATCGATCTAATAAATCCAAAGAACCAATATTCTCATAAAAATAAACAAGTCAATCTCCACTTTCAAAATAGTTGCTTTAAAGAGATCTGATGCCAGTCGGTTCATTTAATAATTCTAAATTAAAAAACTATTTCACAGAATAAGATTCATAAGTATCTCCTTAAAATTCATTCAAAATTGTTAAACCTTTTGACATTGATAAATCATCCAACTATCAAAGTAGAATCGAAGGAGATCGATCAAAATCAAAATCATAAAATGCATCATTCGATTAATTCAAGAAAGTTGAGCCATTCAAAAATGTCTAGCAATCATAAATTATTGAAGTCCCTTTAACAACTAAGTTTGAGAAATCTGAACAACTAGATCTACTATATAATCAAAAATAAAGCTCAAATAATCTATAAGAATTACCATAATAATAAATAGTTGGTTATTATTCAAACCAAAGGACTTTAACCCAAAAAGAGAATAAAGAGTCCCTTCAAAAGTCTCCTTCTAACACCAAAGTATAATTTTCAATAAAAGAGGAAAAGTAAGTATAATCAAATTCAAATCCATAATAAAGTGAAATCTATAACTAATTTTAAAAAAGTTAAGTGTATGAATCTTAAAATTTTGATTTTGGATAAAAGTTCTAAAATCAAAATCAAGAAGTTCAGCTATTTTAAACACCTTAATAGAGTACAATTATTAGAGAAAAGGAAACAAACAACTTTTAAAATGGTATGAAATTGTCAGCATAATCTGCCATATCAGGTATATAAAATGAAAATAAATCGTAATAAGATATATCTTTTATCAGTTCTAAGTATATTTTTTTAATATCATTAGATCATTAATTTCTCCTTAAATTAAAATAACCTAAAATTTACCAAATCCATTAAAAATTGAAAAAGATGAAACTTTAAAAGTTCATGATAAAAGTGTTAAAGATTTATGTTTTATGGATGATGATAAGATTATTACTTGTTCAAAGGATTCAACCATAAAAATTTGGGATAAGTATAGTTATGAATTTATTAGAAAGGAGAACTAAACAATTAAAAACGGAATTGAAAGATCATACAGATTAAATTCTATGCATTGCATTTTCATAAAAAAGAATAATAGTTAGTGGATCAGTTGACAAAACAGTTAGAATATGGAAACCTTCTCCTTCTTGGAGGATTGCATTTGTTTGTTAAGGACATTAAGAAAGAATAAGATGTGTAGACTTTGTGGGAAATTTCATTCTCTCTGGATCTGATGACACAACTCTTAAATTATGGGATTTAGATGGATAATTATAACATTCATTTAAAACGAATGGTAGAGTTAGTGCCATGATAACAGATAAAAACTTGGTAATTGTTGGAAGTGGTAAAAACCTACTGTATTAGATACCAAAACAAAAAATAAATAATAAGAGATAATAGGTCATAAGAATTTGATTTTGTGTCTATAACTAAGCAGTTTATAGAACAAAAGGATTTTATTAAGTGGATCAAAAGATCATTTTGTTAAAATATGGTCTTATCCTTAAATTTAAGAAATTAGAACTTTTGAAGATGATTACTCAATTCATTCTTTGTTCTTTGATCAAAGTTCATAATACTTATTTTTGGGTTAAATGGGCTTTGAGTAAGAAGGTAAAATTTCTATTTGGAAACTGGATGATCAGCCAAAAAAAAAATAAGAAATCATTTCTAATCCTTATGGATGTAATAAAGTATTATATGATGGGAGATATCTATATAGTGCGCATGAAAACAAAAGAATGGAAATTTATTCTATTAATGAACTTTGATTATTATTATATTATTCAATATCATTCGAATTTGTTTAATTTTAGAAGTAGTGTAAAATAATCTCAATTCAATATGAGGCACTTATTCCAATTAGATTGCAATCATTTTATAATTAAATATTATATTAAGTTAATAAATTGATCATCAGAGTTTTACTTTATTTTTTAAAGTATATCAAAGTTGATATAAAATCAAATGGAAATAAATTCATTTAGAGAGAGATTAACTAATCCTTTTAGAATCTAATTCTAGAGATATTTCAACAATTTTCTAAGACTTTAATGTATCAATTTTTTTCAATTAAGTCTTCAAACTTAATGTTAGTTCAAATTAAATTGAATTTCTTTAATATAATTGTATGTTGAAAAATTGATACAATGAACTCAACATTTAAATTAAGTTGTTCTTAATGAAAATGAGAACAAAAATTATTATAATTATACTTTTAGATTTTTTCTAGAATAAAATAAAATGCTGGTAATAATTCATTTTGTTCATAAAAAGTTGTAAAGAGATTAATTTTAAATTTTTCTATGTTCTAAAAAATATCCCAGTTGAGTTGATGACCCCTAAATATTGTATATATTAATTCCAAATATATTTTGGTAAATCTTTAATTTATATTAATTAATATATTATCTCATTTAAGATCCATGATTATAATATTAAATATATAAACTAAATTTATCAGACTATATTCAAAGCATAAAAGTACTTATACTCTTAAACTAGGCAATGAATTCAATCAATTAAATGAATTTTCTCCAGTCCTATAATTATTGCTTGTATCCATTTCGTCCACAATTATATTATAATTTGTATGCAGAAAATATTCAAGAATAAAATCAAGCTGCTACAAATTATAAGCAAGAAGTTATATAATGGTATATATGGTTTTGTTATATTTACAGGCTGTTCACATTAGAATAATCTGAATTGTACAAACTATTTCAGATAAAAGGATAATTAAAAACATTTCCAATAATGAAGATGTACATACACGATAAGCAATTTCAACCTTCAAACTATGCACTTAACCAACAGTTAGTATTTATTAAATATTCTTAGAACTACAATTAATTTGGAGTCTAAAATTGATGATTAGTTTTTTATAAACACACGAATCATTCACAAAAAAACAGATGTACATAGTACTATTAATTAGTATAGGAATTGTATGATAAGTTGATTATTTTCGATGATGAAAGTTTTCTCGACACAATAGTAGTAAGAGAACCTTATTTAGAAAATTTAAATGGTTTCCTTGAATTGTTAGATGAACTATCTGATAAATATTTTCTCAATTCTTCTGCAAGAACAAATTTAGAAAAAGCAGAAGACCCATTTTGGTTTCATTAAAATAGTTTTCATAGTTGTTCAGCCTGGATAATAAAGGAATTCGAAAAAAATATTAATTTTTATTACAATACTTAAAGAGACAAAAAGAAGAAATATCGTTTCTAGAATTAAATGATGAATAAAAGTAACTCAAAAGATATCTAAGAATATTTTGAAAGAAATCTAGCAAATAATAAAGAGAAAGTAAAAAATTGATCAATTTAATTAGTTGAACCTTTATTTTGAATAAATACAAGCAGATTTTAAAGAAAATCCATAAAGCTTAGAAAATATTTTTTATGACAATATATTCTCAGGCACCGCAATTAAATTATTAAAACCATAAATTGAATTATCACTTAACTTTTAATAAAAATGTCACACTGACTCAAATATTATTAAATCTATGTTAATTACATAGATGCCAGATTTATTAGATTAGAAAACATACTTCCTAAAGAAATTCTATTAGATAGTGATTCAATTGTTTTAAGAGCATTTGGAGAATGAATTATTTAGCAGTGAACTAGCAATTAAAAAGAAAAAAGATAAAAAAAAGTAGAAGAAAAAAAAGTCGGAAAAGACTGAATATAAGAAGGCTCTTGATCCAATTGAGTTGAATCAACGTCTCTCAAGCAAGAACTTATAAGAATCAAACATACTCAGATTTTAGAGATCATATTCTTAAAATAATTTTGCATATTCTTATGTTACTCCACCTAATACACCTTCAGCTTGGGAAAATAGCGATGATCAAAGGTATAAATTATGATTTATATTTAAGTGAGGTGAATGCTTAAAGCTATTAATCCCAGAATCAAAAATAATAAAATAACGAAAGATAACACAAAGTTAAAGAAAGTTAAAGTATTATAGATTACGAATAAGCGAATATATCGTAAGCATTTGTAGAAAATTTGTAAAATCCTACTAATGATGATTTTGTAGAGTATACTCAAACAATAACTCTAAATATTTTAAAAACAGTCTATGAGTCTTTGGTGGATGAAAATGCACATAAAGAAGAACTAATAAGAGAGAAAAAGAAGATTAAGAAGAAATAGAAAACTGTTTGGAGGTCTATTCCAGAAAGTAGAGATGAATAAATGTAATTATAATCTCCTGAATCTGAAATTACAAGATTCTCTGTAGAAACTTAAGCTTAAACAATAAGAAGTCTTTGTTCAAATAGAACAGCCTCAACTTCTGAAGAAGAGAAAAAGCAAAGACTGAAATCAAGAAAATCTGCATAGTAATTTGAGTAATAGGAGACTGAATCAATTTCATCTTCTAATCAGACATAAGACACCAGTTTAAAAGAATAGATTGAAAATGTCTAATAAAAAGCACAATAGAAATTAATTGAATAGATTAGTTATGATATTATTGAATTCACTGATAACATTATGAATGATTATGAAGAGATGTTACCCTTTAGACTTTTAGCTTTTGATAGAATTAAACTAGTAATTTAGAAAGTGTTCTATGGAATACCTGATGATATGATATAGTAAGAATATAATCACTATTAAGATTATTTGGTTCATGTGCTACTGGCTTAGCTTTAATTGATTCAGACATAGACATCGGCATTAGTGGCTTTTAACCTATGAATAGAACTGTTATTAAGGCTCTTTTCGACAACTTATTTTTTGAATTCTCTAAAAGAAAATGGGTTATAAAGTCTAAGTATTCTATTTACTAAATAAAGCCCCGTCTTTAACTCAGTTGTTCCAGTAATTAAACTCGAAATAGATCCTCAAGTTCCTTAAACTGAATTTGAAGGAAGAAATTTAATGGATACAGAGATTCATAAGTGGAAAAAACTTAAATAAAGAATAAAGAGTTGCATTAAAGTTGATATCTCGTTCAATTTTAGTGGAAGCACATACGATTCTCCTCATTCTGGTTTTATTACAACAAATTTAGTTAAATAATGGATGAAAGAATATCCAGTTATCTAATAATTAGTATTGATTTTGAAGAGCATGATCAAGAAATTAGGATTATCAGAATCATATACTGGTATATTATGATATTTATAGTAAAGGTGGCCTCTCTTCTTACTCTCTAATTATTATGGTATATTCATTTCTAAGAGAAAATAGAATAGCCTAAAATTAAATAGGAGAATAATTCATTGATTTGCTTAAGTATTTTGTTAATGAGTTCAACTCTAGAACTACTGGAATAGGTCTATTGGCTGATATCAAAAATCCATAATCAAGGTATTACTAGTATATATAGAATAGCTACTTTTTTAATTTATAAGATTATTGCTTACCATAATTACCCATAACAATCTTTAATCCTTTGAACAGAAAGCTTTTAACTAGTTCTTGTGTTCATATTGGCAAAATATTTGATTTTTTTAAGGTTACTTTAAATCAACTAGAACAAAAACGAGAATTTTATTGCAACTATGTAATATTAGGTAAAAAAAAACAATAAAAACTTAATAAAACTTTGGAAAATTTTATCACTAATTTATTGGAATCAATTAAATGAATTAAATATTGTATATAGAATATATATTAGTGTTACTAAAGATGAAAGTCATTTAAAATGAATGTTATATAATATAAAATTAATTACTTTTATACTTCGATAATCCTAACATTAGAGCAAATTTTTTTATATAATAATTATAATTAATTAGAATCATATAGTTAGATATCATGTGAATCTATAATTTCAAAGTCGATACTTTTAATCCTTATTTAGTCTAATTAATCCTACCAGATATTCTTTGTTCAATTCTAAGAATTAAATTTGGATGATTCGATTTGATATTTGTTAAAAATATTTTATCTAATGATTCTTCACTAATCAATACTTGAAATCATATCTATTTAAATTAAACCTTTCAAATATCCTACTGATTAATTAGGAGAAGAGGATTTAACATAGAAATATTAGATTAAATCTTAAACTCTATTATATCTCTTTCAATACAGTTAATAATAATCTTATATTATAAAATTCTACCTACTGTTTCTGTTTGTGAATTAAATTAAACACTAAAGAAATTATTTTTAAAAATCTTGAGAAATCAAAATATATAAAATATTATCCTAATAATTTTTCTGATTAAATTTATATCATATAATTATTGGATATATATATATCCATTAATTAGAACTTAGAAGATCTTTGTTTTCTCTGATTGTTACAATAACAAGTTTATTGTAAATGCAGAAAAAGTTCAACGGAGGTCAATAAGTTAGGGCCATAATATAAAGATTAATTATTATTATTATTTACTAAATGGAAATTAATTAAGACACTCTAAACTTTTTATTTAAAGAATTATGTGCTATGGCTTTCTTTCAACAAAAATCACAAAATGAATTAAATGACCTTTATCAATATTACACAATGCAATAGGCTAAGTTAATGAATCAGTTTTATCATGATTAGGTGATCAATGAATAAGAATTAAAGTATAATTGGAATGATATTATGTAGATTGGTGAACAGATTTATAGCAAGAATTTCAGAGGCTTTCTAATTAATGGTGGCAAAGCGATAAATCATTAGGTGCAAAGAATCTAAATTTTAACCAACAATATATAATTGTTTGACTTCTTCTTTTGAAGGCAAAAATAATCTTATTTGTTAGTTAATTTAAGCTATATATAGGGAGTGCAGACTTTAGATTGAAATGCTAACAAACAAGAACCAAAAGATTGAAGTTAAAAGAGTAATTCTTTATCAATATTAAGATACACAGTCAAGATAACAACAATGATGAAGATAAACTTCAGAATCAATTTTATTCGGTTTAAGTTACGAATAAGAAAAATATATAAAATGATTGGCAAGTTAATATTAAAAATAATAAAAAGTTGAACAATTACTACTCAAAAGTATTTCCTAAATTATATGATGCGATTGGCGGTGTTGATAAGTATATAAAACATCATTATGCTAGAGGTCAAGATGAATAAATCCTTTATTTCTAAAATAGAGATTAGAATATGGATAGGATATTCAATTAGTTACTTTAGCAGAATCAACATATCAAATAATCTTTAAATTGGTCAGTCAATTTGGATCAAGAAATGTATAATAATAAGATCGAATAAAAACTGTAAAAACTAAAATTATAATAATTAATCCCGAGTCATTAATTATCAACATAATCATCTCCAACAAAACCCTCATAACCATCAAATAAATCAATTAAATAGAATGCCCCAACAAGTCCCTTCAAAAATAGCATCATTAATAATAGTAAGATGCCGTCTATTAATGTAAAATTCAGAAGCATATCACAAAATGTTCCCATGAGCGAAACAAATTTTAAGAGTTAAAATATGTTCTTGAATTTTCAATAACAAACATAATAAAATCCATAATCTTATCAATACTATTCATCAGAAACAGAGAAAGCTAATTTGTTTTCAAAAATCATTGAAAGCTATAAATAAAATTAATTTCAACTAAATAAGATAAAACTAGAATTCAAGCCCAAGCGTTAGCATTGTTCTGTTCTGAAGAGCAAATTAATGATAGATCTCATCCCACTTCATAACTCAAAATTAAAGCCTAAAGGCACTCGAAATTTTTTATAATAAGTACCATAAATAATTAATTGATCCTTATCTTTGTGTATCAAATTTGATTTCTGTCATATAATAAATGGTTTAATTTATAAACTAATTTTATGAATAATATTTTTGATAATTACAATTTGTAAATTATTCTTTGGTCAATATAACTCATCCATAAAGAGAGGTGTTAAATTATAAGACTCTTATTTTTTTTGATTTAATGTAAATATACTTGATTATCTTTAATGCAACACTTAACATACTAGTTTTAATTAAAGAGTTAGATGACTGTTCGAATTACAAGAGTATTTTCCAATATATAAACTTTATTAATTAATAATAAAATATGGGCTGTGGAACTTCTGCAAATAGTGAAACTGTCGATACAGATAGTAGAAAAGATATCGATGATTTAATGGGCAAGAAAATACCCAAAGTATTTATACGTTATTGAAGTTTTAGTTTCTTATACAACCTCAATATACTACTTAGGGAGTTCAGCAATCGGAGATGTCAGATGGAGAGGACCAGAAAAATGATATTCAAGGGGACTATCATAGACAAGGAAAAAAGGCGTAGAAAAAATTTAAAGGTGGGGATGAACAAAATGTTCAAATAGTGGAGAACATTATTAAGTTGGATAAGACAATATAAAGTAAGAGATTCATTTTAAATTAAATAGAGAGTGATAGATAAATGATAGAGAAGAGTTTCAAGAGCCATTTTGTATTTTTTAATTTGACTCAATAAGCCATCGATTATCTTATAAAAAACTTGGTGTTCTGCACATAGAAAAGAGATTAGTTCATATTTCAATAGGGAGATTAAGTATATAAGCAAATGAATTTTAGGCTACATCTTACTTCATCGTACAGAAAGGACAAGCTGAAGTTATCATAAACCAAAAATAAGTTAAAGTGATATCAGAAGGAGACTATTTCGGAGAGATTGCCTTGTTATACAATGCCACAAGAAGTGCTTCAATCAAAACCATCAGTATTTACATATTTCATAAGTTTAGCTGACTGTAATTTTTGGATGCTCGACAGAGGAACCTTCAGGAAGGCAGTTGAAGATATGATGATAAAAGAATATGACGAGAACAGAAAGTTTATAAACGAGGTTACATTCTTTTCTTTTATGACTCCTGAGCAAAGGGACTCAATTGCTCATGCCCTAATTACAACTAAATTTGAACCAGGAGAAACAATTGTAAATGAAGGAGATTAAGCAGATTCCTATTATGTAATTAAGTCAGGCACTGTTGGAGTATTCAAAGGGAAAAAGTAGATTAACACTATGGGACCAAAAGACAGTTTTGGTGAACAGGCTTTGTATGAGAAAAGCACTAGAGGAGCATCCGTTAGAGCAGAAAGTGAGGTCAAGTGTTTGGCATTAGGAAGAGACAATTTAACCAAAATATTGGGAGATAAAGTTTAGTTGATTATCTTCAACAACATAATGAGATGGAGTCTAGAAAAAAGCAGCATTTTGAATTAGCTAACAAAATTACAATAGGAAAAGATTACCTTGAAGGCCAAGATATAAAATTACAAAAAAGGATAAGTTATATTTTAGAAAGATACTAAGTGTGAATAATTAGTAATAGTACTCGAAGGAACATTACAAAGTGATGATGATAAAATAGGTAAAGGAAATTGTTTTGGTGACTAATTTCTGTCTCAAAACAAAAAGAATGATTTGTTATCTAGTGATTATTTAATGGTTACTGATGGTGTTTTAGCAACCATTTCCTTTATTTAAATGTTTAAGATTCTTGGAGGAGATTTTGAAACTGCAATCTAAAAGAAATTTGAATCCCATGAAGTAAAAATTAAAAACATTGCGAATAGAGCAGATGCTTCTCATATTCGTGTTGAGGATCTAGTTTTCATTAAGAAATTAGGATCTGGCTAATTTGGATGGGTTTATCTAGTTAAACATAAGGATATTGATAGTTGTTATGCACTGAAGAGTGTATCTAAGGCTTCAATTGTTGAGTAAAGTTTAGAAAGACATGTTTTACAAGAGAAAATGGTTTTGGAATTATGCAATTTCCCATTTGTGATGCAATTTGTCAGAACATTCAAAGACGAAATATCTGTTTACTTCCTTGTCTAATATATCAGAGGAATGGAGCTCTTCGATGTGATCAGAGAAATCGGATTATTGAATAAGGAACAAACCCAGTTTTATATTGGAACCATGATCTTGTGTTTGGAATATCTCCACTCCAATGGAATTGTCTATAGAGATTTAAAGCCTGAGAATATAATGGTTAATTCTGACGGCATCATGATTATGATAGATCTGGGAACTGCAAAATAAATCAGTAAAGCCAAAGGATAAAGAACTTACACCATTATCGGCACTCCACATTACATGGCCCCTGAGATCATTCTTGGTAAGGGTTACTCTTATCATGTTGATTTGTGGAGTGTAGGCATTTGCTGCTATGAATTCCTATGTGGAGGAGTGCCATATGCTGAGGACATCGAGGTAACCTTGTATTGTTATAGAGTAGGATCCATATGAGATATATGAAGAAATCATGAACAACCAATTAAAGTTCCCTCATTTCTTCAGAGATCGATCGGCTAAAAGATACATTGAACAGTTGTTGTCTAAACAACCTGAAGCTAGATTAGGAACTTCCTATGCTGGTTTAAAAGCCCATGCTTGGTTTGATGATTTTGATTGGGATAAACTATTCAGTCATTAATTACAACCGCCTGTATGTATATGTGTTATGGCTTTAGTATATTCCCCCCAAAGAAAGATTGATTGGGGATTTCGAGATCGATAAAAAGTTCTAATAAGGCAAACTAGTTGTATCCGAGATAAAGACAGAATAGCAATAACAGAAAATAAAATACAGAAAGGAATTAGCAAAAGATCCAAATTGGGATAAATCATTTTGATGTAGAAAATATGCATTAATTATATTAAATATTTTTATTGTAAATGTACACTATATTATATTGACTCATTTCTTGGTTTCTTTGGCTTACTTTCTTTTCTCTTTAACTCCCACAAATTTAGCATTGTACCATTCTTGTCTTAATCTTCTGTAAACGTTTTTAGCTCTTAATTCCTTTGAAATAACAGTAGCCTTTTCTCTCTTTGGTGTTCTTTAGAAAGTGATGACCTATTAGTTATTAAAGTCAGTTTTACTTCTGGATTAGTATTCTATGTGACTGGTTGAGCTACAACCTCATTAGCTGAGTCTTTGACAACTCCATTCTTTGGTTTACCAGCAACTCTGGGGAATAAGACTAATTTTGACAAATATGCCTTAATTCTTTTAACATTAGCTGCCAATTCTTCTTAACTGTTGTTTCTTCTTCTGTGATCGACGGCAATACCAACTGTTCTGGCGAATTATGCATTAAGTCCTGCTTCTTTCAATTCAATAAGTGAGAATCCTCTTCCCAATTTCTAAACTCCATTGTATTTAATAGTTTGGCCTCTTACGACTGGTCTAAGTAACTCCACTGGTCTTGGAGATGCCCCTATTTATTGATCTAATTTTCATCTACTTAATGCATTGGCTTATCTTCTTTATTGTCTTCTTCTCTTTGCGGCTGGTTGATTATAGAAGGTCTTGACAAATCGTGTCCAGTGCTTTCTTAAATGGGCATTTGGGAGTTGTTAATTATGCTTCATCTTTAGAAAATTTAAAAAATAAATATATGGATATTTAAAAAATATATGAAATGTCTCAAATGAGAAATATTCAATATAAAAAATCATTTCTTTCAAAGTTAAGTAATTATCCTCAAAGATTGTCTACTCATTTAAATAACTAAAATACTTCACGGATTCCTTTCTACTTGATTTTCTATCAGTGATAATTGGAGTCTCTTTAATGTCTTGTCCCTTCCCTTAAATTATTTCGACAGTTTTCAGCTGAGAAATGGAGTTCTCAAAGCGTAATTCTGTTTTTTTGGTCTTATTCTCATCAAAAATCTCAACAAGTTTCGGTTATATCATAATATATGGTTTTTAAGTTTGGACTAACTTATTCTCAGATGGGGATTTCTTCATCACAATCTAATCCTAAGACTTGTCTCTAAAAGAGAGCATAAAAACAAACAATTTTACAATGTATTCAGAATAAAAGATTTCGCTTGTTTGTGTGAACGACTGGAAGAAATTGTTTTTGATGCTTTCATTAAAAGACAGCTGAAAGTAATAAAAATAATTAATTAATTACAAAAATTATATGAAAAAACTCCTTAAACCATCTCGACAACCTCACTCCACATGTCCGAATCCATTTAATCTCTGAATATCGGTTCATATCAATCCCTCTACAAGGATATTTATAAATCCACCCTTTAATAGAATACAACTTTTAATTTAAGAATGTGTTCAGAGAAATACAGACGTTTATCGCTCTATTTAGAAAGTATATACATAAGTGAAGTTATTAATAATTGAATATTGAATATGTATATATCACAATATTCAGTCTTTTGCTGCTCTGTAAATTTTATTGCAAGCATCTTCCAATAATCCTAATAGAGATTCTTAAGATTCTTCTCTTAATTTTTTTTCTTCTTCTATTTCACTCTTTACTCTAGAAACCAAGTCCTTAAGCATTTCAAATATAGCTGCTTCGGATTCTTCTCTTTTATGATTTATGCTATCAGTACCTCAATTTCTTCTAATTGCCTAGACCTTCATTCAATCGTTTAATTTCATCTCCTGCTCTTCTCAATGTTCCATTGTCATTGTCTTCTCTATCCTATCCCTCTGTTTTAACCATATCGTATAATTTTGGTAAATCATTTTCCAATGAGGTCGTGATATTTTCAACCTACTCCTATCTAATCTTCCCTTCAGTTTGGATGTCAGATTTCAAATATACAACCTAATTTTAATTTTATTATTTACCTTTTCATCCAAGTAGCCTTACAATTTAAGATTTCCATCTTTCCTTAAAGCAATCTCTTATTCAAGTTTAGTTGTTATTCTACTTTCAAAGGCAGCCACCTCCCTCACTCTTTGTTCAAACTAAGTTTCGAAGGCATTATTTTCTTCCTCTATTTGTTTTTAAAGACGTACTATTTCATCTTTTAAAGTGTGCTATATTTAAATAGTATTCAAATTCGTACAAGTTTCCTATTGTAAGATGTTATTGTGTCTTAAATTCTCTCCTCTACTCCTGTAATCCTTCCACAAACGGTATCTATTCTATGTGCTTTAGAAGAGTCATGTTGTAATTGAATTGAATTGAGTTTTTCAGAGATTTTAGCAAATCTTTCGTTGAAGGGTGTATTTGGATTCATTTTTATTGACAAATTTTATTTAAGTTTATTTATATTTATTAAAAAGAGTCATTAATAATAATTAATAAATAAAAATAGATTTTTGAATCAAATTGTCAATCAAATAAATAAAAGAAAGAATGAACACATATTATTTATGACACAGAATAAATTTCATCTGTTTTTGAATTTCTTCGATGGTTATGCAATTTACTTGTAATTACAGAATTTTATTTTTAAAATAGTTTTTTTCTATAAATAGGACTTTAGAGTTAATAGGAACTTTGTAACTGATCTTATTTTCAATCAGAACAGTTGAATTTGAAATTATTAATCCTACCTCACTAAACATGAAGGTGTTTAGAAAGATTTTTTAAAATATTACCTCAACTAATAATATACAATAAATGTTCTTAAAATATATATATCAACAAGACTCTCTAATAGGAACACAATTACAAAGGAATTTTAAAGATAATCATGATAAACTGAAATAAATTGTTAAAAAATTTCCTAACAATTTAATTAATTTATTTATTAAATTATATCTTCCAACAAATATAATAATAATCCTAATTGAATTTGCAATTATGTTAAGACCAGAATAACTCACTAACTCTTATAAAGCAAGAATATATATAGTATTCAGTTTTTAAAGACCATTAAAGATATGCCAAAGCGAGAGTCATAATTAAAATGATTTTCAAATTAAATTGAATTTTAAAATTAGAGAGGTTGATGATGAAATATTTAGAATAAGTTTCTAATTAAGGCTATTTTTATATTATTATATTATAAAAAAGCAAATAATTTTAAACTTATTATAATATTTTAAACAACAATACTCATATTATTATTGGAATGCCCGAATACAAATCTGTTGAAATTGACTATTCCAATAGTAGATTGATTAAATTAAAGCAAAATTAAAAGAAATCAAAAATTTTTTCTCTAAATCGTAATCCCAAAATGATACATTTATTAATGATATTCTGTCTCAAATTCAATTTAATTTTCAACAATTATATATTAATAATTATAAACTCAAAATGAATAAAGCTAGTGAAAGCGAAGAAATCTTAGATCTGTAAAATAATAGCAAAAGTTTCAAGTAAACTATAAAAACTCAACATTTAGTAAGAAAGCCAACAGGCCATAACATTATTAAAGGGTTGACTCCAATATACGACAACAAATAATTGAGCAAACCTGTATCAAAGGCTAACCGCTCAGATAGGTTTTTGCTAAACTTTTATTATGTAGATTGCTTAAAACTTAGGAATTAAGTACTCCACAGCCAAAGCAATAGTCTAGGTGTACTAAAATGAAGGCAGAATTGGAAAGAAGAGAACAAGAGATAAAAGAATATTCCAAGAAATAGAGACATACATTCTGCTTGTCAATAAGCAAACAGGAAAAATAGAAAAAAGGAGGCTGAAGTCAGAATGCAACGGCCTCAAGAAAAATCTTTTAGATGCCTCTCATAAGTAAAAGATTATAAATATAACAGTTTTGAAGAGGCTCACTATTCTTAGATTGCTCAATTTTTAGGAAACTATAATCTTGATTTAAGCCAAAGAAATATTGAGCATTAAAATGAAAATGTATTTAATTTAGTGAAAATCTTAAATGAATAATACAAACAATTTTAGGAATATAAAGAAAATGATTAATGATTTAAATTCAAATAAGCTTATAAATGATTCATTTTATTAATTTGAAAAGAATAAAATGTTTTATCAAATTTTCAGTAAATATTTCTTATCATTAATATTTATTATTATTTCAGATATATATTTAATTTAACATAAAAATGTATAGGCTTTGGCCTGTCAAACTAATTTAATACCTAAATGAGGAAACATTCTTTTAATCTATAAAAAGTAAAGGGAATCTAATCCTTATTATGCGAAGATTTAATTCTTTACTTAGGTAATTTGTACTTATTATCAATATTAAGCCTCCTCTGAAGTTAAATCTTTACTATCTGCAATCTAAGATTCATTCTTTGACTATTGAATGTTTGAAATTTCATGTTTTAGAGAATTTAATATATGATATAATATTTAATTTCACTTTACTTTTTATCTTGATTTTCCATATACTAATTAGATGCTTGCAATCCTATTTCAATCCCAAAAGTGGTTTTATGGGTAATATGTATTGTGAGACAATTTTCATATAAAATTGTTCACTTTTTTTAATTCTAATACTTTTCTATTTGCATATAGCGAATAGGTAGGATCTTTGATGAAGAATAAGGCAAGCTAATAATTTAAATAAATATTTTTGCGAATTTTTATTAAGAGAATTGTATTTTATTTAAAATTTCTAATGGAGAAATGTTATAAACTAATTGAACGACAAATGTATGCTGAAGCCTTGGCATCTTTAACGTAGATATTAAAAAGAGAGATTGAAAATCCTTAATTGGAAACAATTTATTTGATTTAGCATATTCTAAGCCAAAGTTAAAGATATAAGAATTTGCAAATCAAAATTTTAGAAATCGTAAAACAAGATGAGAACGAAGAAGAAGTAGATGACGATAAATATTTCAATCTAGTGCTGGATTTAATTAACCTTTATATAGATTAAAATAATATCTAACAAGCAAAAAATTGGTCAAAACAATTGAAAAAATATGTACAAGGCATCTAATATAATGAATCTTTGTTGTATCTGGTTGAAAATCTAGATAGCATGCTTTAATCCAAGTAAAAAAATATTGATTTGAAAGAACAAGTAAATAAGTTGTTTATGAAAGCTTCAAACATATGAAGAATTGTCTGAATTGGAGAGAAAGACTAAATATTTTGAATAGGATGGTATGCCTGCCTACTTGATACCAACTAGATGGTTCAATAAGTGGAAAAGTTATGTAACTGACACAGCCTTAGAATTGCCTAATGAAAATTTGAATATCGAGAAAGAAATAGAGGTCTTAGAGAACATATTTAATGTTTCAAACGATCTTGACATTGAAGAATAAATTACTGCTCCAGGTCCGATCAATGGATTTTAATTGATTTAGGCTCAGTCTACTCTTGAATTGGATCCCTTTGGTCCAAAGTCATATACGAATTATATTTTAAAAGAAAATATAAGAGAAGGAGCGGATTTTATATTGGTTGGACACAAAATATTAGAATATTTCAAGAATATTTATGGTGGATTTGAGATCAAAAGATTAATAGTGGAACATAGCCAAACACATTAAAAATATGTTGATGTAATAAGCTGATTAAAATATGAATAGTTAGTACCAAGGATGATACAATATATCATATTACCAAACGAGGAGAAACATAGAATTAGATTAATAACTGCAAATAGTAGTGATTTAATTTTAGATTTGTGTAAGAAAGTGAATAGAATATTGAAGTTGAATAATGAGGTGAGATGGTGGAAATTTAATGATTCTTAGAGTCAACAGGACTTTATAAAGAACCTATAAAGAAGAGAACTATATAAATAGATATCTGCAAAGGTCCTAGAAAAGACCACAATGATCGATGAAATTAATTTCTCAAGTTCAGATTTATTTATTTGTGAAATTAAATATGGTAGGGATTGGTAGATGAGTGAAATTGATACAAAGTCGATGTCTTCTTTCAAAAGTAAAATTAATATATCTGATGTTCCTAAAATCATAAATGATTCTCGTAAAGGTGTGACAGGTCTATAAAATCTAGGCAACACTTGTTTTATGAATGCTGCCTTATAGTGTTTAAGTAATACTTACGAATTAACTGAATACATGGTTAGCAACGAATTCTTTTAGCATTTGAATTGTGATAATCCTTTGGGAACTAAAGGAGCCTTGGCAACTGCCTATGCTGAATTGATGAAGATAATGTGGTATGGAAATAACTCAGCAGTTAGTGCTTACGATTTAAAAAGAGTGATTGGTAAGTTTGCTCCTCAATTCTATGGGTATGGCTAATAGGATTCACACGAATTCTTATCATATTTATTAGATGGTTTACATGAGGATTTAAATAAGGTTCTCGTTAAACCCTTTGTGAAAGAAGTTGAAATAACAGATGAAACTGATTTTGAAGCCTCTCGAATATTTTGGAATAATTATATTCTTAGGAATTAAAGTAAGATTCAATAATTGATGGTTGGTCAATATAAGTCAACTCTAGTTTGTCCAAATTGTCATAGAGTTTCAAAAACTTTTGATCCCTATATGAGTCTTTCGCTTCCAATCCCATCATACACATTAATACAATTATCCATGTATTTTATATATCAGAATGGGAAGATACCTTTAAAAATATAACTTAATCTTACAAGTGATCAAGATGCCAATTACATTGGATAGGAATTGTAGAAATCTTTAAATATTGAATAAGAATAGATGAATTTTATTTTATTAAAAGATCATTTGATAAGGGAGAGAGTTAAAAGAAAATAGAATGTAAAATGGATTCAAGAACATGAAGGACAATTGTTTATATATTAAGTCGAAAAAGAATTTCATTAATTATCAGATGATCAAGTTCATGTTGATTTCTTTTATTGTAACAAGACGGATCGATCGAATGTTAATGAATAGATCATATCTTACCCAAGACAATTTGTATTAGCGAAACAGAAAAACATAATTGATATTTACTTTAAAATTTATCAGCAATTCAAACCCCACCTTATATTGGTTATCTAAGAACTTGCCGATTCATTACTAAATGAAGGTGTGAATATTGAAGAGTATTGCCAGAGTGTTCCTGAGACTTTAGAAGAATTCATTGAAGAGATGAAGCAATTCAAAGTTGAACTATACAAATTGGTACATAATGGTAAGACATTGGAATACTTGAATTAAGATACGATTGAAAACTTTAAATAAAAATCACTCTCTATTCATGTGTTTTTGAATCCTCTTTTTGGAAAATCAGGATTACATAATCTGAAATTCCAGAGATGCAAAGATTTCAACAATGAACAAAATCGATAATTAAGAAAAGGGGAATATACTTTGGAAGATTGTTTACGATCATTTGCAAAGGAAGAAGTCTTAGGTAAGGGGGATGAATGGTATTGCAATAGATGTAAACAACATGTCTAAGCCACTAAATAGATGGAAATTTATAGAGCTCCATAATTGTTGATTATTCATCTCAAAAGATTTAGGTCTGGCAATAATAGGATAAGTAGTTATGGAGGCTTCTTTTATTCTGGTGGTTCTCAAAAAATAACAACGATGGTTCATTTTCCTAAAAAACTGAATCTGAACCCCTTTGTGCTTTCAAAAGTCAATGACAGTGATCCTATAGACTATAATTATGAATTGTATGGAGTGGACAATCATTTTGGTGGATTAGGAGGTGGACATTACACTGCCTGTGCTTATAATCAATTAATAAACAAGTGGGTTGATTATAATGATTCAAGTGCAAGACTCACATCAGCAGAGGTGGAAAGTGAGGCTGCTTATGTGTTATTTTATAGAAGAATAGACTCTCAAAAATGTAGTTTAGGAAGATGATTTATTTTATTGGTAATGTATAATATATGATTCAATCTTATTTTTCTTTATATCTTATGATTTTTCTTATCACCCAAGTTAATGTGAACACAATGACGAATGCGATTATACTAAGCAAGTTTAAGTAGATCTCCGAAAACACATAATACCAATTTCCGATGTATGGAAAAAAGGGATCATGGTCTGGTCGACAAAGCATATAGTTTAAATTAGCCCAAGTCATTAATGAGATTGGCAACATGTAAATCTAAACTTCAAAATAGTGTACTTACTCTCTAATAAAGGACATGAGAGTCCCATCCGAACATCTGATGAACAAAGAAGGTCTTCCATTCAAAAAAGAAAAATCTTCCACTTAATGTCAAAGCCAAGGGACCTGCGAATGCTCCAAGAAGGTGTTCTATCCAAAAGAATTCCACTTCTAAGGGCAATTCCATACCTGTAGTAACTGGGAATTTCAGTGCCTTGAGTTTAGAATATAATTCTATACTGCAAATACTCCATATAGCCACCTTAATTGGCATATAAAAATGACAGCACTGAATTTATGCTTTTTCGTCAATAACACATATCCCTACATCAATAACACTATATGACATGGGTTATTCATAAACACACCTATGTAATTGTCTTATTCTCACATATACCCCTTCCTGTATACAATTTATATCCGGTTTAAACAATAAATGTTCCCCAACATGCCAGACCCACCAAGTACTCTAAAATACTAGGCTTCTTCCCCAAAGCTCTTGTCAATTCCTAGGATGTTTTTATTTTCGCCCAGCATTTTTCTTTAATTGATCAAATTCTTTACTCATCACAAGGAAACAAATTATTGCAGAAATCGTTGAGATTGAAATACGAAAGGTGTTAGTCATATCGTTATAGCATTTTGGTCCACCGTCGGAAAGGTGTTCATAAGTCTCCGTGTAGATGTTACCATAGAGTCCCCAACGTACAATATCCATTAATTAAAATTCTATGACTTATTAACCAACTGTTTATGAATAATAGCTGATCAGAGATCAAGGCGAAGATTTCAGAATTAGAGTCAAATCAGCCATCAAGAAATTCGACTCTATTGCTAACTTTCTTAAATTGTCTATGAGAAACATTATCAAAGAAATGGTTAAAGAATTGTTGTCAGTTGATGATGAAACTTTAGTGAACAACTTCTATTTTGTAACATACTAGAATTTATTCGATAGAAATATTTCACAAGATATGAGGACTAGCATTTTAGATTTATGATGCAAAGTTTAAATTTCATTTTTGATTAAGAGACTCATTTCGACTTTAATAATGATCTCAATTATAAATACATTGCTATTATATACACAGAACAAATTAGAAATTACCTTAAGGATCAGAATGACAAAGGATTATCAAGGTTATGGAACAAATTAAATTTGCTTAAAAAACAAAAAGAAACCGATGAAGTCGAAGAAGGATTTTGGGATGGATTGGACACTGAAAATTGTAGTTAACAATCAAAGAATAAAAAGTTTGGCAAAAGTGTAAATCAATTATTCAATATCTAGAATGTAAATGAAAATGAAAATGAATTTTGTCATACCAGAAAGGAAATGCAATTGAAGGACTTATTAATTTAATCATTACAGACCAAACTATTCTAGAGAGAATAGAATCTGGTTTAAACGACATAAGGCTATCTCAAAGAGTTGTAATCTTTAAGAGAATAATTATTTCGAAAAAATTAGACTCTCATAAGTCCAGACGAACCTTTTGAAGTCTCTTTTATGGATTTTACAGAAGTTCTTGATGCAAACATTAAGAAACTATTCACGACTCACATAATCGATCTTAAATTCCAATTTAACAACAGGATTATTGATTACATCAAATTAATGTATTTTTGTTATTCATATTAAGATAGGCTCAGAGAGAAGAAATAAAAAACTATAAATTATAAATCTAAAAACTCAATCAACAAATAAATAATATTGATGGTCCATCTGAACTCTTAAAAAAGCTATTCTTAATTGATAATAATCCATATAGAATTTGGAAGTATATTGCAGATTAAAAAGGCAATCAATTTTTCAAAGAAGTATTTGAATAATAAAAAGCTGTGTATGGGATCAACTATCAAGAACTGAACAAACTATTAATGACAAACAAAGCCTTTGAAAGAGAGTATTAATTGTACAAGGAATAAATTTTATCAGAGCAATTGGTGTTTTTTGAAAGAGTTCAATAAGAAATAGAAGACATAAAGAAAAAATATATTAGGCTAGAATAAGAAAAGCAAGCAATTGAAAATCAAAGAGCATCAGAAAAATTCCAATATCTTACATTAGCTGCCTAGTATTATGATGAGAAGATTAAGCAAGAAATAGAAATACTTAATGAAACCAAGTAACAACAATTATAAGCAATTAATTTATAAACTACTCAGATTGATAAAATCAAAATTAAATTTGCATTCAAATTATGGCTAGTCATGAGTAAAGTTCATAAAAATGAAGATTTAATGAAAATCCTAAAGGAAAATGAATATTTTGATGAAAAACTAAAAAGCTTATAACTATAAAATTAAGAGATATCTCAATTATTAGCAAACGAAAAGAAAGCAAATACTAATCTAATTGCTAAGTCCACTCTCTTGGAATTGGATTTAGAAAAGCAAAAGAAAGACTTAAATCATTATAAATGTAATTTATTAGAAAATTATCATAATAGTTGTATTTGATGATTGGCAATAACAAAATTTAATGTTGTAAGAAAAACTAAACCAGAAAGAAAAGGAGTATTAACTACTTAACTCGTTCTCTTAGAAAATTCTAAGATTAATTGATTCTAGATTAGCTAACGTAAAATTAATTAGATAATTAGTTAAAACCTTAAGACATAAATTTAGATGATAAATCGAAAGAAGTAGTTAGAAGTATTATGAACTCAATAAAATAGTTAAATATTAAATCCTTAAGATCTATTGAAGAGATAAAGTAATAAGGCTAATTGAACTTAGAAGTTTATGTATTGATTATTTGTTAATTTTAAGCAAACTTTAACTTAGGAACTAAAAAAGCATTAAAGTACATAAACTGAAGGAATAGTTCCTACTTAAACAAAAGTAACAGAATCTTCAGATGAATAAAATAAAAAGGCAAATATAATATAGTAATCATAACATACCTAAGGTGAGGAACTGACTCAATAGCAATAATCAGATTAAGTAATTAAGAAAAATCAGTAGTAAATTAAACCTAAATTGATCGTCAATTAACCTCATGATAGTTAAGAAGAAATGTAATAGTAAAAAGAATTTGAAGAGTAATCAACTAAATTATCTCCTTTAAAAGTATTGTAGAACTTTGATTATAAAAATGCTATCCCTTAAAAAAAGTAATCTCCAGATAAAACAGGAAAAAGATTTTAAGAGTATTAAGATTATTAAACAGATTAAGTGATTTAACTTTTAGAAGTAAGTGAATAAGTTGAACAAGAATAAAATCAACTTCAAAAAAAAAACTAAAAAAGAGCTGAACAATCAAAATCATAAAATTAAAATAGAAAAAACTGTTTTACTAGTTAATTATAGAAAAGGTAGGATGATTCAAATCAACAAAATTTAATGTCGTCAACAAGAAATAGCAGATCATTTAGGCTCAGAGCTAGTTCATAAAATAACAATTCTTCAATCCCAGTTGTTCATGAGAAATTATATGCCGATAGTTAAGAGAAATAGGAAAGGATTAAAAATTTGAAGGAAAACCTAGAACTTTTGGAAAAAAACCATTGGGATAAGATTTTGGATTTATTTAGTTAATAGCCATCCGGCAATTATGTTTTGAATAAATGCATTCCATCCAAAATTGATGAGGCTTAATTTTAGTTTCTTGAAACATCAACATATTTCTCCTAATAACATAAAAAATACTACAATTCAACAAAAAGTAGAACACCAAATAAGGAAAAATATAAATCATGGATTATGAAATAAACAGGATGTATAGATAAAATGTTTGAAACTTTAAATAGTATATCAAAGCCAAATTCTAATTAAGCAGATTCTATTATCAATTAGTCAACTTTATTACCAAATCACATTTTTGCTTTTAAAAAGAAATCTTGATTATATTTATAGCTAATAAAATTTATCAACATTTTTGAATAGCTTATTATCTGATCTTCAATTATTTGATTCTCTTTTTTTTTGATTTCATACTATTTTTAGAGATCATTATATCTATTTATATAAGATCCTAAATCCATCATAGTGTTCAAAATTATATAATCCTTGAAATCCAAAAGGATTTAAATTTTGAAAATTATTTCTTTAACAAAAGATATCTTTTTACTTAATAGCAATCATTTAAGGATATAAAGGATTCTCAGTAAAAAATAATGAAAGGATTTAAATTTACTGATTTTGGTTTAATCATATCTCAGGATTATTTACCTAAAATGATTGGTGTGTATTATTTTTGTTGAATACTATCACAATTAAATTTTTATTAAAAAAGATTCTCAAAACAATTACTATTCACAATTAATCAAAAGTAAAGTTTGGATCATCATCAAATAAATATATTCAGAATTAAAAACTTAATTATCATTTTAAAACGGAAATGCTTCCTTAACAACGAGTATACTATAAATTATTTTCTATTTAATATTATTTTTTTTATGTTATTTACAATTTTAGATTCTTTGTAGTTTGACTTCTCTTAGCTTTTTCTCACGAACTTATTCTTATTAATAGAGCATGATTGAATAAGTATTAAATGGATTAAAAATCAATAATTGATTTCAAAAGAAATTCAAAATTAGAATAGATAACAAACAAGGGATAAATGTTATTGAATATTAGTACGTTAGGCTGCTCTAAAATAATTGGATCGGATTCGATTTTCAATACTTTAAAATGGGTAAGTCAAAATTCTTAAGAATTATTAATTTTGATAAGGCTACTTTGCTAATTAATTTTACTTTATTTCTATAATAATTCTTATGATATGAGTGGTGTAGGCACCACATTCATTAAGATAGTATAGTTAAATATAAAAAGAACTGAAATGTTTGCACATTATTACTTAAAATTTGATTGAAAGGTACCATAAAAATTGTTTAGTTTTCATATACGATTTATCTAATTAGATAATGCTATTTGAAATAAGATACATTGAAATGTTAGAAAGAATATTTTATAATTTTAACGATTATCATAATTTTGATAAAAATTGTTTTGTGATAATTGGATAAGCGACAGGTCTAGCATGGGGAGAAGTGTTAATATGCTTATAATAATAATATATATAAAAAAAGTATTAAGTCCCCCCGGTTGGCTTTGTAATTTTTAACCTGATGTAATTGAGGATTTGATATTAATATTATATTTAATTACTTTTCAATATCAGTTACATGTTGAATAGTAAGAGAGCGCGTTGGATATTCCAAACAATTGCTGATTCATTTCGATTGAAGGATGCAAATTTGGTGGCGGTGAGTTTTGTTGTCTTATTTTGTTAGGAATTCTTAAAGGACAAGACTAAACTTGAAAAATTCTTAGAGGGAGAAGGTCCATCCAAGATAATTATATACTACCAGATTTAGGATAACCAGCAATCTGATGATATGAAGGAGAATCAAAATGAGCCTTCACTCTTTATTTAATCTGGAGATTAAGAAAAAATCAAAGAGAAAGCCGTATGGTTTTTAAGAATGTAAGTACAGACATACATTTGTTTATCTATCATCTTCCTTATATTTTAAAATTAAATCTTTATGAATTTTATTTAGGACTCCAGAGGGCAAGACCGCCGTGAATCTCAATGAGACATACGATAACTAAGTGATTTGGGGAGAAGTTTCACCCTCCTCGATTTCCTAATTGCATACAGTGATGGAAAATGTGTACTACCCATTGATAATTAACATGATGGATGAGCGGGAATGGGGATAATGTGATGAAGAATCCTTAAAGGAATTCCATAGTCACACCAAGAAGTTTTCTTAGGAAGTATCAGAGGCAGTCAAACTAATGAGGCCAGGACAAGAATTATTCAAATTCGATCCTGAAGAAGTGTAGAAATACTCCAATTCAAATAATGAATAAGAAAAAAACTAATTTTATGAAAGAAAGTTTGCCTAATGGATTGCAATCATTAATAACAAATTAGCTGAAGATCAAAATCCAAAGAAGGATAGTCCAGATGCAGGTCCAGAAGTTGAATTGAATTATTGGAAAACAAGAATGTAAGAAATTACTAATTGGTCTGAATAATTAAAGGGCAAAGACTTTGTGACTGTAAAAACTACACTCCAAAGAAACAAATAACATGATAAGTCAACTAATAGAGGAGAGGAGAATATCAATAAACTCATAATGGAATATAGTAGACTTGATCTTTTGCTTACTGACAAATTAAATGAAGCCAAGGACAATGTTAAGTATCTCTCAACTTTGGAAAAGTTCCTTGATCCATTATACAAAGGAACTCCTCAACAAATTATTGACACATTACCAGCACTTATGAATGCTATTAAGATGATCCATACTATTGCTAGATTTTACAATACAAATGATAAAATGACTGGCTTGTTTGTCAAAATTACTAATCAAATGATTAAGAATTGCAAAGAGAGAATATTAAATGGAGGAAAGAATTAAGATATCTGGAATAGAGATCCATCTGAATTAAATGAAGTTCTTAGACAATGCATACAACTCAATAGAGAATACAAGGATAGTTATAAAGAGACTAAGGAGAAAGTGGCTGATATGCCCAAAGGTAAAACATTCGATTTCCCAGAAACACAGATATTTGGTAAATTTGATACTTTTGTCAGAAGATTGGTTAAACTAATTGACATATTTTAAAATATCTAATAATTCTAGGCTTTGGCTAAACATAACCTAGAAGGTATGGAATAATTGACTGCTAAATTCAATTAAATCATTAAGGATTTCAAAGCCAAAAATCATGATTTGTTAGATACAAACAGTAATAAATTTGATAGAGATTGGGTTGAATTCAATGTTGAAATCTCCCATTTGGATATGTAATTACAATCATTCATTGATAATAATTTCAATAGATTGAGAACTATTGAATATTCACTTAAATTATTGAAGAAATTTGAATAAACAATCAAGAGAGATCAATTGAAAAATTCATTGGTATCTAAATATAATACAATATTGCACAACTATGCAACAGAATTAGACAAGATCTAACGTATATTTACTGATCAAAAATCAAGTCCTCCCATTGTTAGAAATATACCACCTGAGGCTGGTAAGATCATTTGGGCTAGACATCTATTTTTAAAAATCACAGGGCCTATTACTAAATTCCCTGAAAATGCTATTGATTAAGGAGAATTGAAAAAATATTATGGTGGATACAACACTTTGGGTAAATAATTGACAATCTATGAAATGTGGTATTATTAGAATTGGTCAAATGAAATTGAAAGAAGTAAGGCTGCATTATAAGCCACTTTGATTGTAAGACATGATGAAAACAAAAAATTATATGTTAACTTTGATGTAGAAATAATGCAATTAATTAGAGAAGCTAAAGTATTGGATAGATAAGGAATTGAAATCCCAGAAAGTGCAAGAATCATTCTTTTATAAGAAGATAAATTTAAGATGTATTACAATGAATTACTTTATGTTCTGAAAGAATATGAAAGAATTATTTCAAAAATAAAACCAATTTGCAAAACATTGATTGGTCCACATGTTGAAGATTTAGAATTGAAATTGAGACCTGGTATGGTTACATTGACTTGGACATCAATGAATATTGATAGTTATTTGTAAAGTGTTCATGCAGGATTAAATAAATTGGAATAATTGATTATCACAATAAATGACATCATTGAAAATAGAATTGAGAACAATTTGAAAAACATTAGTAAAGTATTGTTGGTACATTTACCATAAGAAAGCAAACCTTTGACTTTGGATCAATTTGTTAATTTGTAAGAGGAATACATAAAGACCAAGACAGATTATTTGATGAGTAAGAATTTGGAAGTCGAAAGAGCAGTTGATGATTTACTCTCTGTGATTAGAGAATATAAATTAGATCCACATGTTGAATATGCTGATCCTACAGAAACCATCAGAATCAAGAGATATTACTTCTGGTATTTGTATTAAGCATTACTTAATTCAACTTAAAATTCACTCAATGCCATGAAATACAGAGTATGCGGAAAGAAAGGACCAGGACAATCAAGCACTTAAAATTTGAAACCATTCTTTGAAGTCGATGTTCAATTATTCAATAATCAAGTTAGATTGAATCCAAGTTTAGATGAAATATAGAAAGCAATCAATAGAGCAGCCACTGCAGTTTTGAGATGTTCTAAGAATCTTTATAGTTGGAACCTGTAGTAAAAGGAAAGCAAAGGATCATTTTATGAGATGATTGCTCAAGATAAGGAAATTGTAAAAGTCATATTGTTATTGACTGGTTCAATTTAAGGTACAAGAAACAAAGTTCATGATTTCTTATCATCATTCAAGAAGTTCTCATGGTTGTGGACTGAAAACATTTAAGATAACATCAATAGTTTCAGTAAGAAGAATCCAACTTTGTAAGATTACGAAGATGCCTTGAAGAAATTCACATCAATTGAAGAAGAAATCGATAAAATTGAAGCATCTCATAAAATTGGTGCCATGGAATTAAAGACAGGAAATTTATGTAGTGGATTGAAAGTACATGCAAAAGATTGGAAAAATTTCTATTGTTAAGATCTTCATAAAAGAGCTAGATAATTATTAGACTAATTGACAGATTTAACTAATTAATATTCAACTAAATTATCCAAGGAAGTTAAGGATATTGATTCTTTAGGATACGTTATGGAATGTTTAGAAGATATTCGTAAGATTCAAGCAGAAATCGATTTGAAATTTAATCCAGTTTAAGACATGTATGCTCTTTTGGATATCTATTTACCAGGTGGTATTTCAGATAAGGATGAGATGGATCAAAGATCTATGTTAAGAAGAAATTGGGATCAATTGATTAGTTAAGCTGAAATTAAAGGAAAGGAATTACAATAGAAATAAAAGAATTATCTCAAGTAATTGAAGAAGTCAATTAAGGAATTTATTTAAGAAGTTAATGATTTCCGTAAGGATTATGAATTGAATGGACCAATGGTTGAAAATATTGCACCAAAGGAAGCAATGGAAAGATTACGTAGATTCGAAGATGAATTTTCAGTTAAATAGAAATTCTATTAAATTAATAGGAAGGGTGAAGATCTGTTTGGTCTATAAAATTAATCCTATCCAGCTCTTAAAAAGACCTAGGATGAATTAGCAAACTTGAAGAAATTGTATTCCTTATTTTCAGATGTCATTGATACAATTAATAGATGGAAAGAAGAATCTTGGGCTGATGTTTCAGTTGAATCATTGAATTAGATGGAAGAAAATTTCACAAAATACACTGCTTAATGTGGTACATTACCAAGAGATTTAAGAGAGTGGTAAGCCTATAAGGAATTGAAATTAGAATTAGATAATTTAAATAAGATTTTGCCAATCATCAAGGAATTGAAAAAACCATCCATTAAACCAAGACATTGGATGAAGATTGTTGAAACAACAGGAAAGCAATTGAATTATGAAAATCCAGATAACTTCTTTATTTCTGATATCATAAACTGTGAGTTATTGGCTCATGAAGACGATATTGTAGATATCACAGATTCAGCAGATAAATAAATTAAGATTGAGACAAGTTTGAAAGATATCGTAGATAGATGGTCTACACAAGAATTCAAATTCTCAATTTGGGGTAAAAGAGAAGTACCATGTATGCTTAATGGTTTGAGTGTGTAAGAAATTACAGAAACTTTGGAAGAGGATCAAATGACCTTATCTTCATTGAATGCTCAAAGATATGTTGCACCATTCAAAGTTGAAGTTGAAATCAAAATCAGAGAATTCTCAGATGTCTCAGAAACATTGGATATGTGGATTAAAGTATAGAAGTTATGGACTGCATTGGAACCAGTATTTACAGGTGGTGATATTGCTAGATAAATGCCATTATAAGCTAAGTAATTTGCAGCTCTTGATAAGAATTGGATGAAAATTATGGAAAAAGCATTTGAAAGCAAAAAGGTTATTATCAGTTGTTAAAACGATATGTTAAAGGACTTTTTACCAGATTTGTAAAAGAAATTAGAAGATTGCTAAAAGATGTTGGAAGCCTATTTGGAAGGTAAAAGAAAGAAGTTCCCAAGATTTTACTTTGTGGCTAATCAAGATTTATTAAAGATTTTATCTCAAGGAAGTGATCCAAAGAGTATTCAAGAAGACTTTGAAAAGTTGTTTGATGCCATCACTAAAGTCACATTTGGAAAGAATACAGAGAAGAAAGGATCTACTGAATTAGTGATCCAATAAATTATGTAAAGTGCAGGAAAAGATGAAGAAATTGTAGATTTGAATTAAAATGTTAAGTGTGAGGGAAATATTGAAGGTTGGTTAAAGACTTTAGAATTACAAATGTAATCTACACTAAGAGATATTACAAGAACAGCTTGTAGTGCTTGTTTCACTATGGGATTAAAGGATTTCTGTAAGGCTTATTGTTCTTAAGTTGCTTTGTTGGGTATTCAAGTCATTTGGACTCAAAAGATCACAGAAGCATTAGAAAAGACAGGAAGATAAGAGAATAAGAATATCATGGAAACAAAGAGAGCTGAAATTAGAGACATGATGGCTGTATTATCAGCGATGTGTTTGGAAGGATACAAAAGTAATTTAGAAAGAACAAGAGTTGAAACTTTGGTCACAATCCATGTCCATCAAAGAGATATTGCTCAGGAATTGAAATGCAAAGACATTAATGATTTCGATTGGTAAAAGTAGACTCGTCTTTATTGGAAATAAGATTAAGACACTTGTGTTATTTCAATTACAGATTGGGATTAAGGATATGCCTATGAATTCTTGGGATCTAAGGAAAGATTGTGTATTACTCCTTTGACAGATAGATGTTACATTACATTGGCTTAAGCTATGTCTATGTATTATGGTGGTGCTCCTGCAGGGCCAGCTGGTACTGGTAAAACTGAAACAGTTAAGGATTTGGGTAGAACTTTGGGAGTCTTTGTCGTTGTCACAAATTGCTCAGATTAACACAGATATAGAGATATGGCTAAGATTTTCAAGGGATTATGTTAATCAGGTTTATGGGGTTGTTTCGATGAATTTAATAGAATTGATTTGGAGGTGCTTTCTGTCGTGGCTATGTAAGTGGAAGCTATTACAACTGCAAAGAAATAACATCTCAAAGAATTTATGTTCCCTGAAGAAGTTGCTCCAATTGAATTACAATAATAAGTAGGATACTTCATTACAATGAATCCAGGATATGCTGGTAGATAAGAATTACCAGAAAACTTGAAAGCCTTATTTAGAGGAGTGTCTATGATGGTTCCAGATAGAGAAATTATTATTAAAGTCAAGTTGGCTTCTGTTGGTTATAACTCAATCGATGCATTAGCCAAGAAATTCAATGTTTTATATCGTTTATGTGAAGAACAACTTTCAAAATAAAGACATTATGATTTTGGTTTACGTAATATCTTATCAGTGCTAAGAACAGCAGGTAATACCAAAAGAGAAGAACTTAAATCTGACGAAGAAATGCTTTTAATGAGATCCTTAAGAGATATGAATTTGAGTAAGTTGGTGGCTGATGATATTGCCTTGTTCAATGGATTGTTACAAGATATCTTCCCTAAATAAAGTGATATCAAAAAGAAGGAATATCCAGATGTTGAGAAAATGATCCCATAAGTCATCTAAAGAAAAGGAGGTTTAATCAATAATGATAAATTCCAATTGAAGATCATTTAATTATATGAAACAGCTTTGGTTAGACATGGTTTTATGTTAGTGGGACCATCAGGCAGTGGTAAGACCACAATTATGTCTGTATTGACAGATTCATTAACTGATTTGGGTCTTCCTCACAGAATCACAAGACTTAATCCTAAAGCCATTACAGCCTAAGAAATGTATGGTGTCAAGAGTGAAATCTCAGATGATTGGATTCCAGGTATCTTCAGTACAATTTGGTAGAAATCAAATAGCAGAAACAATAAACATACTACTTGGATTACTTGTGATGGTCCAGTGGATGCTATTTGGATTGAAAATTTGAATACAGTGTTGGATGACAATAAGATTCTTACTCTAGCCAATGGTTAGCGTATACCAATGACAGAAAATTGTAAATTGGTGTTTGAGGTAGAAAATCTGAATAATGCTTCACCAGCAACAGTCAGTAGATGCGGATAAGTTTATATTTCACCAACAGATTTAGGATATGAACCAGTATGGAAAGGATGGATATTACAAAGAAAATTAGATGCAAGAGTTGATGAATCAGAAAAATTGAATGTTCTACTCAATAAATACTTTAACACTCACCTTATCTTAGAAACAATAGACAAGACATGCAAGAATCCAGTTATGGATATCTCTTATGTATTAAGGGTCTATCAAACCTTAAATCTTCTCAATGGTATTTTGAGACCATTAGTAAATGCTAACAAAACATTGACTGAATAAGACTATGAAAAAGTAGTTGTCTTTGCAATGACTTGGGGAGTAGGTGGCATCTATGAAGTACAAGATAGAATCTTATTCCATGAATTCCTTAGCCTAAAAAGGTGCCCCAATTCCATACAAAGCTAAAGATGGTGAAACAGTCTTTGATTACTACATCTACTTGGATGAAAGAGGTACTTGTGAATGGAAACTCATATAACCAGAAGAATGGAAAGCTCCAGATAAATTTTATTTCTCTCAATTACTCATGCCTACTGTCGATTCATTCAGAGCTGAAATGATCTTATCATACATTCTTAATCAACCAAAGGCATCCCCATAACCACCAGTCAGTTGCAGTTATGTTATCTTAGTGGGAGGTAGTGGTACAGCCAAAACATCAAGTGTGCTTATGTATGCCAACAAATTCAACAAAGAAAAGATGTTGTTCAAGAGAATCAACTTTTCATCTGCTACTCTACCTAGTCACTTCTAGGCTGCTATTGAAGCTGAATGTGATTTCAAAATAGGTAAAGATTTTGCTCCTCCTCAAAATAAAAACATGACTGTATTCATTGATGATCTTTCTATGCCTTTTGTAAATAAGTGGGGAGATTAAGTCACCTTGGAAATAGTTAGACAACTCATCGATTAGGGTGGTTTCTATATGTTAGACAAAGCCTAAAGAGGTAACTTCAGAGGTATCAAAAACCTTACATACATCGGAGCCATGTAACATCCAGGAGGTGGTAGAAATGATATCCCTAACAGATTGAAGAGATAAGCAGTCATTTTCAATATGATTTTGCCACTCTCAGTTGAAGGCATTTATGGTCCCATCATCAAACATTAATTCAAGGCTAAATACTTCTCAGCTGATGTCAATAGAGCTATTGATACATTAACTGGTGCAACCATTTAAATTTGGAATAAAGTCAAAGCAACTATGTTACCAACACCAGCCAAATTCCATTATGTGTTCAATATGAGAGATCTATCCCGTGTCTTCAAGGGTATCTTATCAGTAAGAAAGGAAACAATAAACACTGCTGCTTAAGTTGGACCAATGAAATCAGATGTATTTTTAGTTGGATTGTGGATGCATGAATGTGAAAGAGTCTTTGTAGATAAAATGACTAATCAAAAGGATAAGGATCAAGTATGTAATTACATTAAGGATATTGCTTTGGATCTATATAACCATTTAGATAGTGAAATCTAAGATAAATACAGCAAGGAGAAGTTATTCTTGATGTGCGATTTCTTGAAGGAAGATATAAAGAATGAAGATGGATTAGTTGAAGTTGAAGCTGAAAAGATTTATGAGGGAGTCAATTCTATTGACAGATTAAGATTAAGATGTAATAGTCTTTTACAAGATTACAATGATAAATACCCAGCAAAGAAGATGAGTCTAGTGCTTTTCGACGATGCTATCAAACATTTGTTGCGTATTTCAAGATTAATTAAATAACCAAGATCCAATGCTTTATTAGTAGGAGTTGGTGGTTCAGGTAAATAATCCTTGACAAGATTGGATGCTGATATCTTGAAGAACGTATGCTATTAAATTATTTTGACTAAAAATTTCAGTGAGAAAGACTTGAAAGAAGAAATTAAGAAATTGTTTGATTGGGCTGGCCATCTTGGTAAATAGGTTACGTTTATATTGACAGATAGTGAAGTGAAGAAAGAGGAATTCTTAGAATATATCAATATGATCTTATCAACAGGAGAAGTGGCTGGTTTATTGGCTAAGGATGAAAAGGAAGTTTGGTTGGCTGATGTCAGAAATGATTATGTCAAAGAGAAACAATTGGGTAATATTGATCCTCCTTAGAGTGACTTATATGCCTATTTGGTTGATAGAATAAGAGATAATTTGCATATTATTTTGTGCTTCTCACCAGTAGGTTAGAAATTCAGAGACAGATCTCGTAAATTCCCAGCTTTATTCAATGAATGTACAATTGATTGGTTCTTGCCATGGCCTGAAGCTGCTTTGGTTAGTGTTGCTGAAACATTCATCAAGAATTTCAAAGAATTAGACACAACTAATGACATCAAGGAAGAATTGATGAAACATATGGGTAATGTACATATCATGGTTAATTCTGTTTGTGAACTTTACTTCCAAAAGATGAGAAGACAAGTTTATGTTACACCAAAGAGTTATCTTTCTTATTTGAATTCTTATAAGGAATTGTATTTGAAAAAATATGCTGAATTAGATCTTCAAGAAAATTCATATAAGATTGGTTTGAATAAGATTAATGAAGCAGCTAAACAAATAGAAAAGATGGGTGTGGCTTTGAGAGAAGAAGAAGCTTAATTAAAGGAAGCATCAGAAAAGACTGAAAAATTATTAGAAGACTTGGAAAAAGAAAGCAAGAAGGCCAATTAAAAGAATGATGAAGTCGAGGCTACCACTGCTTAATGTATGAAATAAGCATAGATGATTGCAAGTGAAAAATAAGCTGCCGAGAAAGATTTGGCTGCTGCTATGCCTGCTCTCATAAGAGCTTAAGAAGCCGTCGATTCTTTGGATAAGAAGGATATTGATGAAATGAAGGCCATGAAGACTTTGATGGACATTATGAAAGCCATTATAGACTCAATTGTTGTATATTTCATGGGTAAATTATTGCCAGTTCAATCATTCACTGTGAAGATCAGTAAGGTCGATTATCAATTCTTGAAAGATTCATTTGATGAAGGTGGTAAATCAGTTCTTTTTGATATGAACTTCTTAAACAAATTGAAGGGATTTGAGAAAGATGGTATTAATGAAGAGACTATCGAATTATTGTAACCATACATGTCATAAGAATGGTTTAGTGAAGAAAAGGCCCAGAGTGCTTCAAAGGCAGCTTAAGGTCTATTGAAGTGGGTTAAGGCTATTTATGAATATCATGAGAAGTCAAAGATCGTTAAACCCAAGAAGGTCTATTTGTAAATCTAAGAGGGTCGTCTTGAGATGGCAAGAAAAGAATTGGCAAAAGCTGAAAAAGATTTGAATGAAATCAAGGAATATTTGGCTAAATTGAAGGAGACATTCAACAAGTAAATGGAAGAGAAATCATTTTTGGAACAGAAATCAAATAAAACTAAAAAGAGAATTACTACAGCTAGATAATTGATTGAATCACTTTCAGATGAAAAGGCTAGATGGGGATAAGGAGCCACAGAAAATAGCTGATCAAAAACGTAAATTAATTGGTAATTGTTCATTGGCTACCTCATTTATTTCTTATTGTGGTCCATTCAATGCAGAATATAGATAGTTATTGGCAGGAGATTATTTCGTAAATGATCAAAAGAGAAGAGGTGTTCCAGTTACACCAGGATTGAATCTGACATAGTTTTTAGTCGATGATGCCACAGTAGGAGAATGGAACTTATAGGGATTGCCTAAAGATGAATTGTCCATTCAAAACGGTATCATGGTTACCAATTCAACCAGATATCCTTTGTTAATTGATCCATAAGGACAAGGTAATTACTGGATCAGACAAAAGTTCGCTGACAAAATTGAACCCTTCAGATGCATTACTACATTGAATCATCCTAAATTCAAAGATAACTTCTTAAAACCATGTATGTAAGATGGATTATGTTTGATTATTGAAAATATTGAAAATGAAGTAGATCCTATGTTGGATCCAGTACTTGAAAAGTAAATCTAAGTCAAAGCCAAGAAGAATAAGTATATTGAAGTTGGAGGTACTTAAATGGACTTTGATGATGGATTTAAATTGTTTATGTTTTGTAGATTAGCCAATCCTACATTCTCTCCTGAATTATCAGCCAAGACAACCATTATTGACTTTACTGTTACTCAAGGTGGTTTAGAATAATAATTGTTGGGTAAGGTCATCAGTAAAGAATAAAAAGCTTTGGAAGACTCTCTCAATTAATTATTGGCAGATGTCAATTAAAATAAGAAAGATCTATAAAGATTAGATAAGAATTTGTTAGAAAGATTGACTCAATCTTCTGGTAACCTTCTGGAAGATGAGGGTCTCATTGAAGTGTTGGGAAGCACTAAAACTTAAGCCAAAGAAGTTTCAGTGAAATTGTTGGATGCTGAAGTCAAGACCAGAGAAATTAATGAAAAGAGAGAATAATATAGACCAGTTGCAATCAGAGGTTCAGCCTTGTATTTCACTATTTTGGAAGTCTCATTAATCAATTGGATGTATAATTCCTCTTTGGAATAATTCTTGAAGTTGTTCAATGATTCTATTGATCAATCTGAAAGAAATACATTACCCTCGAAAAGAGTTGATAACATCATTAAATATCTCACTTTCCATGTTTATAAGTATGTCAATAGAGGTCTATTTGAAAAGGATAAGATTTCCTTCATTTTAATGATGTGTTTCAAAGTTAAACAAACAGACAAAAAAATTAATGCTGGAGATGTATCACAATTCTTGAAGAGTGGTGCTGCTTTGGATCCTAAAACAGAGAAATAAAAGCCATTCTAATTCTTGGATGAGAAATAATGGCTCAACATTTTAGCCTTGTCTAGACATCATTTCAATGGAGATCAAATGGCCTTCTTTAGAGATCTACCAGAATCCATTTCTAGAAATGAACAACAATGGAGATAATGGAATGATAGAAATGATCCTGAAAATTCACCAATTCCAGATTTTGCTGAACGTATAGCAGCAGACAAAGAAATTGGTCCATTCATTTCCTTATGTCTCGTAAGATCACTTAAAGAAGATAGAACCTTAGTTGCTGCTACTCATTTTATTAATGCAACTCTTGGCAAAGAATTTACTGCTCCTATTTCATATCCTATCGATTCTATTTGGGCAGAAAGTTCCAAAACTGATCCAGTATTATTCTTATTGTCTGCTGGTGCTGATCCTACTTCATCTATAGATGATCTCTCAAGAAAAAAGAGAAAAGTATTTTGTGAAAAAGTGTCAATGGGAGAAGGTCAAGAAGAAGCTGCCAGAAGAGTCATTAAGAATGGTTTCGAAACTGGTATGTGGGTTATTCTCTAAAATTGTCATTTGGGTCTTAAATTCATGGAAGAAATCGAAACCATTGTTAATCCAGAGGCAACCATAAATGATGACTTCAGATTGTGGATTACTTGTGAATAGCATCCTAAATTCCCATTGGGTCTCTTATAAAAGACTATCAAAGTTACCAATGAACCTCCTAAGGGATTGAAAGCAGGTTTGTATAAGACCTTTACTACAATCATCACATAAGAATTCTTGGAAAAGGTTGAACATCCAAATTGGAGAAGTCTTATCTATACAATTTGTTTCTTACATTCAATTGTCATTGAAAGACGTAAGTTTGGTCCTCTTGGATGGTGTGTACCTTACGAATTTAATAATCCAGATCTTGAAGCCTCCCTTGCATTTATTGAAAAATACTTGAATTCATTCCTTAGTGGACCTCCTTCATAATCACCAAACTTGAATTTGAATATGAATGTCATTAGATACATGATTTGTGAAGTGTAATATGGTGGTCGTATTACTGATGATTTGGATAGAGAATTGTTTAATGCCTATGGTGAAGATTACTTAAAGGAAGCAATCTTTGGAAACGAGTATGTTATAGCTGAAGCACCATTTGATGCAGGAGGTGGTACTAAACCAACTAAATTCTAATACAAAATCCCTGCCACAACTTAAATGCCAGAACTCATTAAGTATCACGATGTCATTAAGTAATTACCTGACATTGATAATCCTGAAGTATTTGGATTACATGTTAATGCTGATATAACATTTAGAAAGAAAGAATCTACTGAAATGATTATAACAATTATGGACACTAGACCAAAGGATTCCGGCGGTGGCGGTGGTAAAACAAGAGAAGAAATAGTCTAGGATAAAGCTAGAGAATTATTAGCTAAATTACCCTCAGACTATGTTGATCTGGAAGTTAGAGAACAAGTTCGTAAATTAGCAGGTCCAAAGAATCTTCCAGATAAGGGATTGACTGTGCCACTTAACATTTTCTTATATCAAGAAATCCAAAGAATGCAAATAGTTATTGCCATTTGCAGAAAAACATTGTCAGATGTCATTGATGCAATTGATGGACAGATCATCATGACTCCTGATATTTTAGAAGCTATCAATTCGATGTATGATGCCAAGGTTCCACTTACCTGGGTTTATGATGCTACAGGAGTAGAAATCTCATGGATCTTGCCCACTCTAGGAGCATGGTTCAGTTCATTGATAGATCGTAATAAGCAATTAAACGATTGGTTGAAGAGCAACAGACCCAATCACTTTTGGCTTGGTGGTTTCTTTAATCCTCAAGGTTTCTTGACTGCAGTCAAATAAGAAGTCACTCGTATGCACAAAGGTAAACCAGGAGACAAGGATGCTTGGTCATTGGATGATGTTGTACAATCCACATAAGTTAAAGAAAGAGAATATGAACAAATCAGAGATATTCAATCAGAAGGTGTCTATGTGAGTGGATTATCTCTTGAAGGATGTAAATGGAGCAGAAATGGACTTGACGAGTCTGAACCAAAGAAGATGTTCGCTCCTTTGCCCATCCTTTATGTCACTGCTATCAATAAGAAGAAGGGTGCTGATGCTGAAAAGAATTCCTCGACTTATAGTTGCCCTGTTTATAAGGTATTATTTTATGTAATTCATCTTAGTATCCAAGAAGAACTGATAAATATCTCATTTGTAGAGTTGGATTGCCTTGCGAAGGTACAGGTGCTCATAAATGGAAGTTAAGAGGAGTAGCACTCTTATGTTCAACTGAATGAGATTTTAATATATATTATATATTATTTTATGAACAACATGAATAAAATGGGGTATCCATTCCTTAACAAGTTTTAACTCAAATATTTTTTAGAATTACTACAGTATTAATTGTATCATAATATTGTTAACTTTTTTAATTATAAATTGAGAGTATCTATTTTAACAATGCTGTAGGAAAGTTATTTTTGGCTTATGGAAGATTATTTTGAAGATCTCAAAACGAAATTATTAATATTTCTATTCTAAGCTTTAAATTTGTCAGGTAGATTTTTTTATTATTGAGAGAATATGTAATTGAGAATTCTTCTGGATAATAATTAAATTCTAAAAATAACAGATTAGAAAATACAGTTAAAATTGGCTATTTATTATAATTAGTTAATAAAGCAAAATTTCTTACTTTTTGATTAAATCCTACAATTCAAACTTAGATTTTAATTTTAAAAGTAGATTTAAAATTGATTGATATTAAATAAAACATATCTTATAATATCAAATGAATGAAATGTTCCAATTCTGAATGAAATTAAGCTTTTCCTATCCATCTTTATAATCTATGTCATCAAGGTCCTAAAAATCCTACAAATTAGAGTACATTTTTATTTTCTAAGAATTTAAAGCCGTTTCTGCTGTTATTACAATTGTTTCGAAGTGTTAACCCTGGAGGCTTATATTACTTAGCTTGCAGTCTTGTCCAATCTATCTCAGCAAAGAACAAATGTTTCTTTATTTTATGAAGGTCTACTTAGGCTAATCTTTCCTTAGGAGATTTAACAAGCAATAATCTTAAAAGGTCTGCAGCTGTAGCACTAATTCCTTTGGGAATTTATAATGGTTCTATAATTTAAAAATTATTTAATTTACAATATTTGATATTTTCAATTAAAGTCTTAATATTGGTGTTAAAATACGGAGGATAGCCAGTAAGCATTTCAAATAAAATAGTTCCAATTTAGTAAATATCAGTTGCTTTGGATGATCCAATACCTTCAATCAATTCAGGTGGAAGATAGGCTGGAGAGCCACAGAAGCTTTTGGCAATAATCTCTTAGCCTACATGACCTTGTTTGCATAACCCAAAATCTGTAAGTTTGATATACCCTTCTGAATCAATCAAGATATTTTCTGGTTTGAGATCTCTATAAAGAATGGATTTGGAGTGAAGATATTCGACAGCCAATACTATTTGAGCAACAATGAATTTGGCAGTATATTCATCCAAGATCTTGCCCCTAGTCATATACCTAGCTAAGTCACCTGCAGGACACAGTTCCGTAGCCAAGTATAAGTAATTTTATGTCTAGAATTATTGGTATAAAAACTTAGAAAGCAAAATACAAACGAACAATGAAAGGATGCTTAATGGTTTTTAGAATTTGAAGTTCTAAAAGTGTATAGTTTAAAAAGTCATGTTTGATTAACATGCTCTTTTCTTATTATTTCAAAGCGCAATAAAGATTCTTGTATTTAGCCTTGTACACCTTTCCAAAACTGCCTTTACCAATCAATTCAAAACTTGATAAGCTTGATAAACCAATATTACTTAATTTTTTTTAACTTCCCTTTTCGTCAACAAGATCGATCTCATATTCTGCTTCACTTACACTGGCTAATGATTATTTAAATTTTTCCTTTTTTGCTTTCTATTGCTATTAGATATATCGTTTTTATTCGATTGCTGGTGAATCTAAGATATTCATAATTTAATTAGGTTTCTGTAACATTAAATTGTAAGCTCGTCTGGCATTCTTTATTTCATCAGTAGAACCTCTTATTAGGAAATTTTAGTTGATGTAACGAGCATATCCTACACAATTCTTCAGACCTTCATACCATCTACGAGCAGCATTTGTTTCTTTGAATGCGATAAAGAGATGGTTGCCTGAGTATTTGATTTCTAAGTAATGATATTAATCTTCCTAGAACCACTCATCTTTTGCCACTCTGATCTCATTTATTTAATCTAATGCAATTACTTCACTTAAAATATTAGGTTTCAATACTTTGGATTATTTGGAATGTCTTTCTCAGTTTTGAATCTTACCAGTGTTCCAGAATCAGGATCAGCAATCAGAAATCTTTGATACATAATCAATTTGAAATAATTAACCTTCAATACTTTTCCAGTTAGAATTGGTGGCCTAGTTGGTTTGTTTATTATAAAAGTCTCTTTTATACAAAATCATTATACATCTTTCTACAAATCCTCCAGATTGATTCCATTCATTGACTTCATAAATGAGTTTCTATAGACTGTGTTCAACTTCAATTCATTTTCGTATTTTAATAGTTATCTAACTTGTGTACCTGCAATTTCAATTGGTCTTCTATTAGTCTTATCTTGAATACTGAATTTATTAATGATTAACTACTTTACATCAATATTCGGATGTTGCAACAGAGACATTGTTATGTCAGCATCGTCTATTTGGGCAGCCAAATGCAAGGCAGTTCCATGTTTGCTTGCTTTGTTGATGTTGATATCTGGTTATCCAATTAAAAACAATACAACTGATGATAATTACAATCGCAATACTTTATTTTAATTTTAGACAAACAGCCAATGAGAGACAATTCCATCCATCATTTGTCTCTAAATTCACATCAGCCCCTTCACTTAATAGCCATAAGACTATCTTTTCATATCCAGTTACTATGGCTACATGTAGAGATGACCATCCAAATACGGATAGGTCATTTAGGAGCAGGGTCTTATTCTTATCATAATTATCTAATAAGTGTTTTGCTTTCTAAAAATTATTGGTCTGAATAAACTCATAAAATTTTTCAATGTCATTATGCTAATTAATATTGGTACTCGATTTAAATTGATTATTCTTAAAGGAGTTACGAAAGGAATCATTCAAAGTGTTCTGTAGATCTGCAGCGAGACTATTTGAATTGCAGGACTTAAATTATTATTATTATTTTTGAGAATTAAAAGAAGAGTTTATGCTAAATTAATCATCAACATTTTTGACAAATACTATCGATTCTGGACTGAACTGAATCGAACTTAAATAAGAGTGCTTTTCAATTTCCATCATTTGAGATTTAGTGAATAAATACAATTTTTGATTACATACCTCAATTTATGTGACCTTCTGTATTTCAGCCTACAAATCATCCACTGTTCCTTTTGAAGGCACCTTAATGATACAAATTTATTCTTCTCCCCAATCATCGTAATACTTTAACTTGATTTTCATTTAATTAAATTTATGTTAATTTCTGAATTACTTAATAAACTAGAAAATTATGAAGAAAACTTTTTATGAATCACTTTTTAATAATAATTGTACATTAATATTAATATTAAATTAAAAAGTATGTGTGCAATTAAAGAACCTCAATTGAGTTTTTTGTTTTACTTTGAAATAAATTAAAAATACTAATCAATATTCCATCATCTCCCTTTATTCAGTTGTCAAATGTTCCAATTTTTCTTGTTTCATCTTCTGCTTTTTGATAGTCTGTAATTATTATTCAAAACTTTCATCCAATTACAACTCTATATGACTGGGAGCTTAGAAAGACTAATTTAAAATTGATCCTCTCTATAAATACTTAATTTCATTCTTACTTCATTATCTTCCTTCACTTAAATGTCATCTAAATTTATTATTCCATTTTAATTGTTCTAATTGGATAGATTGTCCTTAAATTGTTTCTTAATCTTCTCGAAATCAATCGTGCTTATGGAGTTGCACTTCGATAATATTTCTTGAATTTCTGTGTTAATGTTATTTTTCTATAACAAACTTGCCAAATCCTAACTTTTAATGACATTTATATTTACTATGCACCAAATCCTTTCTTCTTATATATTTGAAACTATGCACCCAGAAATGAATACAAAAGTTCATTGAAATCCTTAGACATTTCATCATCCAGAAATGAAATTAACTTAATTATCATGCACAACCTTAACTCTTTGTCTTTATAAATATCAAAGTTAACTTTCCTATTAGACTTTGTTAATTTGCTATTTCCTAATTTAATTGTGGAATCATCGATCAAATAAGCAATAATAGAAACTATTTGTTGATTTGTCAATCTACCAGGAATGAAGTCAAAAAATTAATTGATTAGTGTTTTTACATATTCTGGCTCATTATAACTAATTAAAACAGAGTTTGATAAAAAATATGCGCTCAATCCAATAATATTGGAATTGGGTACAATATAGGAATTGATCTCATTATTTTCATTTGAGTTTATTTTTCCTGCTTGTAGAAATAACGATGTTAAGATCTAAGCACATTTTAATGAAATCTAATGATCATACTCAGCTATTTCAATTAGCATAACAATCATTTCTTCGGTTATAATGATTGTCGAGTTGAATGTCTCTATTTTTAATATGCATTCGTGTAAAATGATTAATAAGTTAATTAGAATATCAAGGTTAATGGCTGTGTTATTCATTAAACTTAAGTTGTAATGATAAGTAAAAGTAAGTGTTTATTGTATGAATGACTGTACACTATTGGTATCTGATGATATTTATTTGAGTAATGCGATTAAGCAGAGTTTGGTATCATCAAAGGTTTCAGCATCTGGATTAATTCTTAAATTATTAAGAACAGCCTTTATAGTTTAAGTTTGTTGAAATAAAATAAACTAATTTGTTTCAATTGAATTGAATAGACTAATTAATAATTTGATGATTGAGTTTTTCACATTTGAAGTGACATGAAAGCTTTTATATTCCGAGGTTTTCTTCATCAAAGCTGGGGCACTTGGACTTTCAAATGGATTCTTGTCATTGGGACTATCTAAATAATCAACCAATTTAGTAAATATAAATAGCTCAGTATTAGACAATTAATTGATTTCTTTGGCTACTTCTAAAACTAGGAAAGTGATATCAAAGATATCCTAAGGATTCTTCCAATAATCTTCATCAAAATTATTGAAAAGCATTTAAAACAATTCTTCATATAACTACTAATTTAAGGCTCTTTCTAGAAATGTTTCTGTCAATTTGTGCCAAATAGGTTGAGATGCAAACTTCTTATGATCCTTCATCAATATATTAAATAGAGCTTTTTAACTTTTTGTCACAAACAATCTTTCTTGGGGTATTCTTAAAAAGGCATTCTTATATACAGACATCACTACAAATGGATCTGAAATGAGATCAAGTAATTCTTAGACTGCTGACATTTCTTCATTTGTCTTGGTTACCCATTCACTAATATAAGACTCATTATTTACAATTGATCAGAGTAACCTAACTTAGTGCCTATTATATATTCTAAGAATGTCAAAATGCATTGAATGTTTTCGCTTTAGAACTATTTGTTGGCTTTCTTGTTTGAAAACGATTCCAAGGTTTCCAAAAACTAAGACCACCAAACCCTTAAGAAATTATATTATTCTTACATTGCATATGTCATTTTGTCATTAATCAACTAGGAGATTATATTAGAGAATGCTAATTCAAATTTTAAAAAGTTATCTGATACTTAGGTTAAGGTTTATAGGTGCTCTATTTGAATAGACCTCTGACTTATTTCAATCTTAGATTCCTCATACAATTAATTCTAAACTGGAATTTCTTTCAACTATATAAACTTATCTAAGTTAAGTATGAGCTCCTGTAATATGTGCATGCACATTTTGATGATAATGGGATTTTAAGACAGTTTCTAATTAATTGTTTTTATTATTACTATTTTACTTTCTACATATAATGCAGAGTCAATCAGTCTAATTTTATAAGATTCGATGTGATCTATCAATGTTTTTACTTCTAACTTAAATTGCGGCTATATCTTTGCCCAGTCAAACTCATTAAAGTATTTCATTATTTCAGATTTCTTGTTGAATTCCTTTAAAGTTTCCTCTCTCGGCACTAGTTCAAAAATCTCTGTCAGAATAGCAGAGAATGTTGGCTATTACAAGTTTCGAGAAGTACTTCCAATACAACCCATATTATGAATATATTAATATTATATTTATGATAATCGGTTATTTCATAATATCTCAAACAACTTAAATCCATAAAATATCCAGTATCAACTCAGTGTTTCAAATTAAGAGGCGATATTTCTGTGATAATGAATATACTAATCAAATATGAGACAATTTAAAAATCTTTTAAATTTGTTATTTTTAAATCACAACAAAATTTGATCTTAAGCCATCTCCTTTGAAACCGCATCCAAATATAATCCATTCAAACTTATCAGAGCGATAAATTCATTGTATTATTCTAAGATTAGTTTAAATTCGGTTTCATAATCCAAAGATTCAATGAAAAAAGCTACAGCTGTTCTTTTGAATGGAACAGCCTTCTTCAACTATTAAAACAACCCTATTGTTAATACACAGAAGTCATCTCCTTAAATGGCTGATGATCCGCCTTTAACCTAAGATATTACAAGAAATTTATACTCCAATATGATCATATTCTTTAGCCAAAGCTGGATTTTACATAGAAACATATCCCATCAAAGCATAAAAATGTGAATAAAACTGTTCATTAAACCAAAAACCATTATTTAATTTATCAAGCATTTTAGAGTATTCTGAAGTTGTTGATTTTGTGAAATATTTTGATTGAATTTTTAAAACTTCCCCATCTAACAACTACTTACCTCTACTTAAATAATCTTTAGCTAAATCATTATTTTGATTCAATTAATCATGTATTTCCATGCTTTTTAAATATACCTCATTTTAAGATAGCTTCTAAATATTTTATATGAATTCTTCCTTTTTGCTTTGTTCGTCTTTTGTGAATACCGATAAAAACGAGCTTAAATAGAAGATTTAACTTTATTTTAACCCCAATTAATCGACCGTATTTTCAATAGATTGTAAAGTCAATAGAGTTTGTAAGTATTCAGTACAAGCATTAGAACTTAATGCTATCATTCCTATTGCGATTTCCTTCAATTACAATTACCCTTCTTTTAACTTACCTTATTGTTCCCAAATTTACAAAAAATTAGCATGAGACAGATCTAATTCTTTTATGTAAAACTTATTAACTTCATTTAAATTAATCCAATCTTCTTCATTTATTTTACCTTCGTTTAATTATTTGCAATATTCTATGGCAACAATTATTTTGAAAACACTCATCAAAGTTTATTCTCTATAACCGAAATAGTCTGCTATTACTTTGTTATCTGCAATAACAGAAAAAGAGAATTTATTTGGATAATGCTTTATCCATTAAATCATTGATGGTTACATATGATCATTCATACTGAAAGAGGCAATTTTACCTTTTTGATCATATGACCAAAATAAAGTACCAGTTCCCAAATGTTTCTAAAAGCCTAATAGAACGCTTGGTTTTTCTTTATCCACAGTTGAATAGACCCAATAAGATATAATTCCTTATCTATTTCTGATTGCCTCTATTTGTGAAGAGAAAATTTCTAATGATGTAGCCTTTTGTGTGTCTCTAGAAAATAAGTTATAAATTAATGCTGCATTGCCTTAAAACTTGATTTTATGTCTTACCTTCATTGTATGCACTCTTTAACAGATCAAAATAGGCTAGATTAGATTCATCAGAAGCAACAAATACCCCTTCAACAAGATTTATCATAAAAATGCTGAATAAATAATACAACATAGATTAAAAATATTTTCATTTATGGAATATAATTTATCATTAAAATTCAATAATATTTAATGAATAAGTAATCTATCCATAAGAATTTTCATATCAACCAATTAATAATTATTAAAATTCTTTTAGACTGATTAAAAGCTATTTCTAATAAAAAAAATCAATAACAGAACATATCATAATATTTTTATATATTAACACATCTTTGTTTATAGAAAGATAATAACAAATAATAGTTTTGCTAAACATTTAAAATGCTATCTTTTAATATACTGTTAATTCTTTCAAATAATCAAGATTACAGTTAATTTCTGAAAGCATTTAGATATGAAATTCATATTAATTCTAATAATAAGAATTCTAGATAATAGGTTTAATTGGGTGAGTATATCATATATCTATATTCATTAATTGTTTTAAATATATTATAGCAATTTGATTTATATAAATTATATTATGAAACCATAAATTTGTTTATTAGGCATTCAGAAGTTTGCTAAAGATAAATAGGTTTTGAAATAATTGTAAGAATAATTAGGAGATAAATTTATTAAGCCTAGCGAAATTATTAAACCTAAAATGAAACCATTTTGTTTTTTGTAATTTAGTGATGAGGATTAAAAAAATGTAATAGTTAAATTAATTATAAAGAATTTCGTTAAGTTAATTGAAGATAATCCAGAATTGAAACTTAGGATAGGAGAGGTCCATAATGAGAATGCTTTTGAAAAATAATTAGAGAAGAAAATTAAGCAATAAAAATAAAATGAAGATGAAGTCAAGCAATTTTAAGAAAAGCATTAGAATAGAGATGTCATTGAAAGAAAGGATAATGAATTAGCATTATAAACAGCTCCACTTTATTAAGTTAAATATGAAGAATAAGTTGAACAGAAGATGGCTGAACTAAAAAAGGTAATTAAAAAATTAAGAAATTAATTTATTTAAAAAAATGGTAAAGAGTATGCCCCTGATTGGATTCTAGAGTAATTATATATAAAATACTAGTACGAATTTAATTAAGCTAAATGACCCTATAACTTGTGATGAATAATTTAGATTTAATTATAGAAACAAATGTGAATTTACAATCAGCTATAATAGTTAAAAAGAAGTTTGTGTCGGTTTTAATGTGGGTTCAGTTCAAAAAAATAATGATAGTGTTGAATAAGTATTAAATTATCAATATAAAAGCCCAACACATGTCCAGTAACACCTGCTGTTGCTATGGAAATTGCCAATAAATTTTAGACTTACTTATAATCCTCCAAGTTTTAACCTTTTAATAGACAAAATGGGAGTGGAGTATGGAGGATGTTGAGTGTTAGAAAGAGTGATAGGACTAAGTAATTATTAATAAGTGTAAGCATAAATAAGGACAACTTATAATAAGATGAATATGCTGTGGTTTGTGATGAATTAATGACACTATTTAGCACTTCTTATGGCGAATTCAGCTTACAAGGATTATTATTAATGCATTCAAATAAATTGGGTTAGGATTTAGCTAGTTCTGCCGATGACACAAAAATATTATTTGGAAATTCATATTACTAAGAAATCATTTTAGACAAAAAAATCAATATATCATACAATGCTTTTTCTTAAAATCATACACCTCAATGTGATAAGTTATATTAAGTAATTATTGATCTTTGTAAAAACAAAAAAATCACCAAATTTTTAGATTTGTGTGCTGGTAGTGGTACTATAGGGATTTGTGTGAGTGATTAAATTCAAGATATTTTAGCAATTGAAATGAATAAGTCTTCATGCGAGGATGCTTGTGAAAATTATAAATTAAATAATCTTCAAAATTGTTAAATTATTTGTTCAAAGGTGGAAGATGTTATAAAAAAGGTTGCCCAAGATTTAAAGAGTTTTGAAGGAAAACAACAATTGATGGCTTGTTTAGATCCCCCAAGAGCTGGAGTCCTTAATAATGTTATTGAAGCTATCAGAACTTGTAAAGGTATAGATCACATTATTTATGTTTCTTGTTCTCCTCCTCAGGTAATTGATAATTTAATTTAACTCTGCTTACCTCAGTGTAAAAAGAACAAAGCACCTGGATTTAAGTTAGTCAATGTGACATTAGTTGATATGTTTCCTCAAACAAGTCATTTTGAAGCAGTATTCTATTTGGAGAGAGATTATGGTATATTATCTGAGCTGATGTGAGATAAATATAAATTTGTTGTATAATAAGAATATAAAATGATATTTCTAAGGAATTTTCACCTTATGTTAATTTAGATGTGAATGATTCAAATATTTAATAATCTAAGATATATTTGTATGATTAATATCCTAAAAAATAGTGGTAATCTCAAATCTAAGCAATATTTTCATCTTTTTTGTGAATTTAGAATTTGTTCATTTGTGTTTTATTCAATATCATCTTCATTTTTTTATATTCATTAGTTTTTAATATGATGTCAATATGATGACATATTTTTTGTTATCCTTTTAACACATTTATTACGAAATCAGGTTTTCTTATTTTGTGCAATGCAAGTTTAAAGCTTAATTTATTTAAGGGAATTAATGCCTTATTCAAAATAAGGCTCTCATAAAGAATATCCATTTATAAGTAACTCTTTCGATAGTATTTAAGTGTTAATAAGTAAGAAGTCGGGATTGTCTACCATTTTGGATAAATAGCTTCTCATAATTGGTTAACATTTATTTATTCCAACACTTTAAACAAAGTCTAGAAATTAGATTGAATAGATGGACATGAATATGTTGATTTTCTTTTAGTTTAATACTAGACATATATAAAATCGCTGAATTTTCAGAGATTAGTAAATCCTGAGGTATTCAAATAATTGGCAGTTTCTGATTCTCATTGTAAATCTTAAATTTATTAATTTGAATATCAATTTTCGAAAATCGTAAATATCATAATTACATTTTTTCTATTATAATAATAAATTATTATTGTAATAATAAGAATAATTAAGAGAGGAATTAATGTCGGATAAATTAGAATATAATAATTAGTTGGTGCAATATGGTTTTTAAGGCAAGCAATTTCCAGTGTCAATTAAAGCAAAATAACTATCAAATTATCCCCTTGTTATGGCATCGCTATTAGTAATCACAATTAAGTTATAAAAGTAAAAATAATTCCCACGTAAGATACAGTTGTAGTCCCCTTTGAATAGGAAGATATCAAATCATTCATTCAAGAAATCATTGAGTATTAAAAGGATTTCCACTCCCAAGAGGAAAAACCCAACTTATGAAGACGCATTATTCATAACGTTGAAACCTCTGACATTTAATCAGATAAATGATTCAAGAGCCTAGACTGCTCACTAGTTTAGACCAGAATAGGACAGTCTAAAGGACACTGGAAAATTATGGTCTTGCCAATCAAAGAGAGCATCCCATTTTTTTCGTTCAAGAAACAGATCTGCTCACTGTAATTAGAATCAACAATAATTCAAAATAACTAGAAATGGTAGAGTGGAATTTTTATGAATTTTTAATTTACTATATTTGTTTATTGCATACTTCAATATCTCATCTATCTCATTATAATATAGCATAATTGATTCAGATGTAAATTCAATGATGTAAAATCAGATAAATTTTAAGATTTTGATTAAGGTATTTATATTATTACATATAATGTAAATAAAATATTCAAAATAAAAAATGTATGAGTTTTGGTGAATTATGCTGAAACTTGTTGGTGTGTGTATTGAAAATCTCAATTATCAAAAATAAATTGAAATAACTATTAATTTAGTAGTAAAATATAAAATTAAATTTATTTTAAACATGTAATGTTGCAAGATACTTTAACATTAATTCTAACTTTGAAAATTTTACAAATTGGAATTGCATGAGAAGGGGGAATAAAATTAGGTGGTGTATGATAAATGGCGTCATTCAGTGTAAATAAATGAATCGAATTTTGATGATGACACATTTTCAAATAAAAGTTTAATAAGAAGAGAGTATTAAATAAGAAAATCAATGAATTTTTGATAATAAAATTTTAATTAAAAATAATGGCATCTTAGCTAGATGAGAATCTTCTGGTTGGAAGTACATTGTCTGACTTTGGAATGACAGCAAAAGAATTATCGTAAAAGATATATTGAATATTAAAGCAACTTGTTTATTTCAGAAAGTGTGAGAGATGGATCAAGTCTGGTATAGTTGGGAAGACATGGAAAGATAGACGGGTTGATGAAGAAGTTGAGAACAGATCCAAAGGTATATCAGAAAATATATATGTATAGAAAGGGTTAGATAGCAGCAATATCAATGATATGGAATTGAGAGTCAAGAAGTAAGATATGTATATTTAACAATAGTTTTGGTGACAACAAGCCTGAAATAAAAGAACCAAAGGCACTTTTGGAATATGTAAATTTATTAATTGATGGATTAGATCCTTGAAAACTTTGAAGATCCAATGCTTAGAATTCTGTGTTTGGCTGCAGCTGTGAATTTGATCATCGGTGTATGGACAGAGGGATGGAAAGAAGTATTGATTAATAAGATTTGATTAGGGATGGATGGATGGAATGGCAATTTTCATAGCAGTTATTATAATAGTATCGGTTACAGCAGGAAATAACTATGTGAAAGACTAGCAATTCAGAAAATTGAATGCAATAGCAGAAAATAGAAATGTGAATGTGAAAAGAGGTGGTAAAATAGTGAGCACTAATATATATGAATTGGTTGTTGGAGACATTATGATAGTAGATACAGGTGAGAAGTTGCCTGTTGATGGAGTTGTTATTGAATCAAGTGATTTAACAGCAGATGAGTCTTCAATTACAGGAGAGACAAATCCTATTAAAAAGAATGTTCCAGTCATATATGAATAATAAGATAAGGCTAATCCATTTTTGATAAGTGGGTCATCAATCATTGAAGGAACAGGTGAAATTCTGATTTTGGCAGTTGGAGAAAACTCTTAATGGGGAATTTCTAAAAAATTAATGACTCAATAAGCTAAAGATGATAAAACACCTTTGTAAGAGAAGTTGGGAATTTTGGCTGATTAAATTGGTGAATATGGGTTAAAGGCAGCCGTAATTACATTTATTGCAATGACACTTCATTTACTTTATGATGCAGTGTTTAATGAATATCCATTGTTCTCTGCTCATGCCATAAAAGAAATACTCAACTTCTTTATTGTCTCAGTTACAATTATTGTTGTTGCTGTCCCTGAAGGATTACCATTGGCTGTTACAATAGCTTTGGCATATTCTGTTGGTAAAATGAAGGATGAAAAAAATCTCGTTAGATTTTTATCTGCATGTGAAACTATGGGAGGTGCAAACAATATTTGCAGTGATAAAACTGGTACATTGACTGAAAATAAAATGACTGTCACTAATTTATATGTTGAAGATACTGATTTTAGTAAGTTGGATCCTAAAGCCATTAAAAATTCAACTTTAGAATTACTATGTGAAGGTATCTGTTTGAATTCTATGGCACATCCATAAATAGATGAATCAGGTAAATTTGAACATATTGGTAATAAAACTGAGTGTGCTTTATTGGAAATGTGTTACAAATTTGGATATGATTTCAGATAAATTAGATAGAATATGGGAGAAAAGATCAAGAAGAAGTTCCCTTTCAGTTCAGAGAAAAAGAAGATGACAATCATTTTAGATCCAAAAGGGGACAGAACACAATTCAAAATTTATACAAAAGGTGCTCCAGACATGCTTTTAGATAAATGTTCTCATTATATTAATGCTGAAGGAAGAGCTGTTGTGTAATTATAAATACTAATATTTTTAGGATTACCAATGATTATAAACAAAAAATTAATAGTATTATTAAGAATTATGCATCCTAATCATTAAGATCAATCTTATTGTTGTATAGAGAAACTATGATCTAAGGTAGACCATCAAAACCAGAAGAATTTAATAATGTGGAAGATTTAATTGACAAATCTTATACAATCATTGGAGTGACTGGCTTGTAAGATCCATTGAAAGAGGGAATCGTCAAAGCAGTTTAACAATGCAAGGAAGCAGGAGTAACTGTAAGAATGGTTACAGGTGATAATTTTGATACTGCAGTTGCCATTTCTAAGAAGGCAGGAATCTTACCACCAAACTATGAACATCATGATGATTCACTTGCTGTAATGGAGGGAAAGACCTTTAGATAAATGGTTGAAGGATTAGGGTATGAAAAAGATGAAAAAGGAAATGAAATACCAAAAGTGAAGAATTTATAGAATTTCACCACAATTGCTTAAGAATTAAGAGTCTTAGCCAGATCTTCTCCAGAAGACAAGTTTTTATTGGTTACTGGTCTGAAATAACTTGAGAATGTTGTAGCAGTAACAGGAGATGGTACGAATGATGCACCAGCACTAAAAAAGGCAGACGTTGGATTTGCAATGGGAATCTAAGGAACAGAAGTTGCAAAGGAAGCAGCAGGTATTATACTTCTAGATGATAATTTTGCTTCAATTGTTACAGCCATGAAATGGGGTAGAAATATCTTCGATTGCATCAGAAAGTTCCTTGTATTTTAAGTCACTGTCAATGTAGTTGCAGTTACTATGGCATTTTTGGGAGGAGTCTTCCTAAAAGAGTCTCCATTAACTAGTATTCAAATGTTGTGGGTTAATCTCATTATGGACACATTGGCATCTTTGGCTTTGGCCACTGAACCTCCCACTGATGAATTATTGACTCGTAAGCCTTATGGAAGAAAAGAACACATGATCACACCTGGAATGTGGAGAAGCATTATATGTTAAGCAGCATTCTAACTATTTGTTCTTTTGATCATTTTATTCAGTGGAGATTCCATTTTTGGTATCGAATCTAGTAGAGGACATAGATTGGATGAAGAATATAAGTATCTATAATAATTTATCTTATTTTAGCCCTGTCTATCAAGAACATTATACTATCTTCTTCCATATTTTTGTGTTCTTGCAAGTCTTCAATGAAATCAATGCTAGAAAATTGAAAAAGACTGAATTGAATGTATTTGATGGATTCTTTAACAACTATCTTTTCATAGGTGTTATTGTTGGAACTATTGTTGTTCAAATTCTTATTGTGTAAACTTTTATCTTATAATCTAATTAGTTAATTTGGTGGAAAAGCAATCAAAGTCACTCCTCTTGATTTTGGCCATCATGTCGCTTGCATTATTATTGGAATGTGTAGTTTGGGTGTTGGATACTGTATTAAATAAATTCCTGATCAATACTTCTAATCCATTGAATTATTTAAAGAACAAGTTGCTCCTGAAGCCGATCCTGATACTATATAGGTACGCTTATGAATTCTATTAATTTTAGGGTAAAATCAAAAGACCCTCAACATTCCTGAGAAAGAAGAGAGCCATAGAAAACAAATAACCACGCAAGGGTTCTTAAGAAATAGAAATGAAAGCTGGAAACAGTGGTTTTAAATAATGAAATTTTATTATTTTAAGATTAAGAATTTAAATTATAAAACTTAACTATCAAGCTTATAAAAATGATCTCTATTACGTGTATTTAATGAATGATTGTGTCAACTAGGTTTAATCTGTGTAAATGTAGAAACTAATCTTATTTTAATACAGGGTTTGTTATTAAATCAAGTCTTACATAGGGGGGTATTGCATCAATGTTTATTCACATTATTGACCGCAGTAGATACTTTAAGAATATTAAATCGAATTGTAAGGGCCAATCTTCTTTAGTAAAAAATTAGTAATAGGTTGATTTAGTTGTAATTCCTAACTGTTGTTAAAATGAAAATCTTCATAAGTTTATGGATTCAAAATTAAATTGGTTTCTAATTTTAAATCAATCTTCTTGCTTGTCAAAAACGAAAACTCAAATTTGATAAGCTTTTAAACTTCTATTTTACTCTGACTCTATTGCGATTCATCAGCCACCTTTTTTATAAATTCTAAATCTTATTGGCATTTCTTTTCCAAGGTGTTATTATTTTGTAATGGATTCAGATTCAATTCATTTGTAATATTCAGATTTATTGTTGAATTGGAATTTGCTTACTTCAAACATTATTCAAAAATGTTAACTATAATTTAGGAAAGGAATTTAGAGTTTACATTAACCTTAATATCCTCTAAATACAATTGGTAATGAAATTTCATTTTTTATTTCATACTCATATAGGAAAAGTGTTGTTACAAGTTAAAAAGAAAGGTTTTAATGTTGATTTTGCTATAAGCCGCCAAAGCATTGTTGATTGAAGCGGAATGAACAAAAAAGAAAAAGTTTTAAAACTGGTTCATTATAGATAAATTCATGCATTTAATTTACCAAAATTTATGATTATCCAATGAACTCAGCTTTAATCCTATTATTTCTTTATAAAAATTTTAGTGTGCAACTGAAAGTTGATTGGAAGCATATTAAATGACTTTGCTTAAGAATCGTATTTGTTCTTCGCTTTTAGGCAATTGTTAAAGTGGTTTTTCTTCCTTAACGACAATCAGTAAATAGTTCTTGCCATAATTCATAGATTTGATATCAATATTCACAATTATATTGCTTCCTTTGATTTAATTATAAAACACGCCTTCCATTTATTCAGTCTGTTCGTTAGATTATTATTGTTCATCTGAGGAATTTTATTTACACTTATAGAAGGCAAATTCTTCCAAGGTTTATTTCTTATTGCCTAGTCGTCTTATAGACAATTCACTTGATTTTTAAATGTTTATGTTTTATAAATCAACACAAGTGGGTATTTAACCTTTGGGAACAACATAGGTGTTTCTCAACATTTCAATTAAAGTTTTAGTATCTTCAACATTTAAGTTTGTTTGACTGATTTGATTTTGGAATTCCAGCTAGAAAGAATTGTTTCTGGCATTAAGACTTATTGCTATAAAGGAATGTGGAATGTATCCCTGAGATATGTCTCTTATTATAAAATAGGTAATTACTTCAGTTTAAGATTGTAGATCATATACGAAAATGCCAAGCGAAACATGAATTCGTTATAATGAGAATAGAGTAAAATCAGAAATTACGTCATGAATGTTAGAATGATGTTTCCAAAATCTTAGACAGTAAATAATCCTAAAATATAAAGTTAGACAGCTGGTACAATTAGTAGAGTCAGCATCCTCAATTTAATATGACTAAAGAGGAATTGGATTATTGCGATTATCGCTGTTGCCTATCCGTAAAGAAATTACTATCTTAAATATATTGATCAACAAATTACTTTTGCTAACTTTGAGATGCTATGTATAAGCTTATTGCTAAGGACAAGATATACATTAAAAAGTAATAGTACCCAACTTTTGAAGCAAATTTCTGAGCGTAAATCAAAGCTAAGAAAATGACTAGACTCGAAAATGCTAATATCACCATTACAACGATTTATCCTCCTTAGAGCAAATAAAATATGAAGAAGAAGATGCACAATAGCAAAATGGTTACATCTATGATCCTAAAGTATGATTGTCTGTATTTAATCATCTCAGACTCATAAAGATCCTCGTATTATTTGCTAATGAAACTTAGGGTCCATTTATTAAATGGTAAATTATTCATAATTATATGATCAGCTGCATGACAAAGAATATAATAATATTATACTCAATCCAACTTAGACTCCTAGAAATCCATATCCGACCTTTCGACAAATACTCTCATAATCCCCACTCTAAGGCACTTCGATCAGACTCATGGCTATAAACAATCCCCCCAAAAAACCTCCCAATTCGCCCAAATTGTCATAAAAACTATTTTATCCTGATCCAAAAGTGAACATCATTACAAATATTACCACCATAGCGACAAAACAAACTAAAGCACATTTCATATCTCCCAATGCATCTAATTTTTGCCAATATAAAATTATGTACTATTAAATATAATTAATTATATACTCCTATCAAAAACCCTACACAAGCATAGATACAAGCAAAGGTTTCGGAATATGTCGTATATTTGCAAATGTTACACAAATCTCCAAATATTGCACCACTTACACCTGCTCCAAAAAAAACTACCATTGTTAAATGCAATCCTTATGTGGCCTCTACGATTGAATAACAAATTATTATCATAAAGATTGCAATCACTAGATTATAGAAGTCTGTAACCAAGAATAAGGATGTCACCCATCTGAAAACCTCAAAGTTATATTTAACATCATTTGGATCATTTCCACCAAAATCCTTCAATGTTTTCTAGTAAACTGATAAAAATCGATCCTATTTATTGACTCCTCCCACTCCTAGCATTGTGATATATAGAATTATAATCAGAGCTGAGATTATTGTAGTAAACGAAATAGGTTTAAGTTTTGGACAGAACGATTTCTTCAGCATGTGAAAAAAATTCTCACCTCTTGGGTCTCCATCAATTCCTCCTAATGGTTTTAGATGAAGTCAATTACCAAACATCGACATCATCTATGATCCTCCATTGCTCCTTATGTTCTGATAATTATCTTACTGGTCGTTGTCATCACCCAATCTGTGTATATTTGCCATTTTATATTTAAATTATTCAATTTTATAGATTATTATAAATTATACAAATTATTAACTGATTATAGAAGCATGAAAAAGAAATGTTAAAAATATTTATTATTCTAAATATTTTCTAATTTTTTATGAAAAACTAAAACTAAATTAAACCATAAATGTTATATAATATTTTGATAAACCATTGCAATATTTGTCCTACTTAAACATATATAGGGCTCTCATAATAATTAATTTAACTATTATGAATATAAAACATCCAGTTGAATTATTGAAGAAAAAGATCGATCCTGAAGCCATCATGTATAAGTTTAGATGGAGTAACAACTCAGTCTCAATCGAACCCATGACATAATTAACTCCTGAAATGCTGGTTCTAGTCCACGATTACGAATTAAAACAATTAGGCCATGACCCTCAAGAACCTAAACCTCAAAAACACATTAAATAGGATACTTAACCAATAACTTAATTTGCCAATGGAAAAAAACCAGAGGAACAAAAAAGGGAAAAGAAATCAAATGAAAAAGTTGATAAAGCAGAAAAAGTTGTTGAAAAGCCTTAAGAAAAATAAAAACAATAATTATCATAGAAAGATCTTGATAATGCACTTAATAATAATATAGGAAATGGTCCTCATAAGCCTCGAAAGAGTAAACCTTGCTAAGTGAAATAAGTTAGACATGACAATGGAAGAGTAGATTTTTTGGTGTGTTTCGAAGATTCTGCTGATTAAAAGTGGATCTCATTAGATGAAATGAAAGAAAAGGCTCCTGTAGCCGTTTGCGAGTTCTTATTAGGGAAAGTGAAATATGGAGGGACAATGAACAAAAAGTGATTGAGTAATTATCGTATTAAATAATTATCAATATTAATATAATATAAATTTAACTTTTCTTGCTCTTTGAGATTATTAAATTTAAATTATATTTAGTAAACCAAATAATTAATATTTATGATAATATCGAGAAAAACAATAAAAATAAAAATTCAATAATCGTATAATCATTCCTATCACCTCAGATTTATGTTATTAAATATCGATTCATTTTCAATAAAAAAATAATTCATTCAATCTGAAAGAATAATATAGGTTGAGTATAATTAAACATTTAGGTTGAAGAAAGAACTTAAATTATATAATATCTAAAGAACGATTAATTATAAAGGTGTTTTGAAATGTTAATTTTTAAATGTAAATTATTAAAAATTGATAATAATAATAAAATATTTGAATCTCATTGATTTATCAGGAGTCATATCAAAATTTAATTAAACTAGGAGAAGCATTTTTTCTGTTTACCAATTTAGAAAAGTCAATATATCTTCTTTAGAAATTAGGTCTTTTTTAATTATTAAGTACTTCAATTTTAAATACGTTTGTGCCACTTTGCCGTCATCTATTTGATGATTGTATTTGGGTCTTTCTTTATTATATGTAGCTTTAGTATAATTAACAAAGCAAATAGGTTTAGGTTTTTAGTAATCGGCAACTGGATCATGAAGAACTTATAAAGTGAACCAAGGTTTTCTCTTGGTTTACTTGTTTAAGGGGATAGGTTTCTGAATTGGTTCCCAGGATAGAGAAATGTTGAGTCCTTGTTATTGAGAAATGTCTCTCTTCTCATCAAAGATAGTGACCCTAGGCTTGCAATTAAATGATATAGAGGGAGTACGCGGGCGTATAAATTTCCAATTCGAATCAGAATTTTAATCAATTCTGGTTTTAAAACAGGGAATGGAGACAAACTCTCTTCCTGCTGTTGTATGAAAATGTTGGCTAAATGATTTTAATGGTGTAATATCCTCATCTTTTTAAATAGATTCTATGGGTCTATCGACTTTTAGAATTTAACCTAGAGATTTGTCAAGAAGTATTTATTTAATTTTTGATTTTTCTAACATTAAAAATAATATAATTTACGTGTTATGCTATCTGTGCTTCCAGATAAAATTGGCAAAGCATTTGGAAATGGTACACTTTCGATATCCTCAAACAGAAACAATAAATTGGCTGAACTTATCAATTCTAAATACACTGAAGATCTGGTTGAAGCAATCAGAATTTTGTATTGCGTATCCATCTTATTTATAAATGTAGTAATATTTACAAAACAAAGATCTAACTCTATATATGTCTAGAATAATTAATTTACTTCCAAGAGAGGATCTTGAATTAAAGAGATTATGCCAAATATTGATTAGTGAATTTGCAGCTTAGGCAAATGCAAGAACAAGCAAATCTCAAGGGGATGTCCTAATATTGGCTACTGCTCCTATTTTTAAGGATTTAACTAATTTAAACACGTCAATAAAATTAAATGCTCTGAAAACATTGTCAAGTTTGAGAATCTAAGAACTCACTCCAATGTTATTCACAGCAATAAGAAAGATATAAGCAGATAAAAATCCATTGGTAAGAAGAAGTGTTGCATTATCAATTCTGAAAATGCATGATTTGTGTAGTGATGATGTTTAGCCTGATGATTATAATGATATTATCAATTTTCTGCTTAAAGACACTCATCAAACAAGACTATATGCTATCTATGTGATTTTCAAAATTACGGGAGATCTTTCAATATTACATAAATATTATTTTTAACTTATCAAAGATTTGTTAAATTTTAATAACTTTGATTTGGAAAGAGCACTCCAATTATTATATTAATATAGTGTAATGTACTTCAAAGAAGGAGATAAAGATCTAATCAAATTATTGGATGCTTGTGAAATCCTTCTAAGATTACCTTATCCAGGCATCGTTTTAGCAATATCTAGATTATATCTTTAGTTCCCACAAGAATCAAGAATTAAGAAACTTATCAGAACTGTTGTTAAATTTTTAAATATAGGATCTGAATCCAAATTTATAATCCTTTAGATGTTACATCAATTAGCTCTCTCATATCCTTAATATGTGAAAGAACATTATAGAGCACTTTCTATCCTTTAAATCGAAAAACTATATTGTAAATTACTTAAATTAGAAATTCTATCCTTATTGATAGATGAGAATAATTTTAATAATATTCTAGAAGAATTGTTATATTAAGCTAGATCTAATTAGCCATAATTGGTAGCTGTTGCTGTTAAGCTATTATCAAAAACAACGATTAAATTCCCAAAATTCATTAAGCGTACTATTAAATCTCTTCTTGATATTCTAAAAACGGGTAGTTCTGATACTAAAAATCATGTGGTCGCTTCTTTTTGTAATTTGATTAGCACTTAAGATAATAAATTACCTCTTCTAGCTATTTGCCTTTAAAATATAGATGATATTAGTGATATTAGATATAAGGCTACTGTTATTAAGCTTCTAAGATAGGAGATTGAGTAAATACCTACCATTGCTGCTGAAAACTTAAGAAAATTATCATTAAATTTTTCTTAATAACATGAAAATGTTAAATATGAAGTAAGCCTATTTCTTATTTTATAGATTTTATTGCTTAGTCATTAATTATAAACTATTCATTAAGAATAATAAGTTGAATTACTTCATTAATACATAATGACTCTAGCCAAATTTGACTCAAGCCTCTTGGTTCGAGATCTATTTAGAACATTAGCAAAATCTGTGGATTTTAAGGAAGACAATGTTTAAGAAGAAGAAAAAAGTTCTGCCCCTCCTGTAGAAACCTAAAAACTTCCTATCGGATCATTATCGCATTTGGTTGGTATACATTTGCCTGGGCTTAAGTTGCCAACCTATTTAAACGAAGATACAAGTGAGAAAAGAAAGGCTGAAATAATAGTAGCACCTTAAAAAGTTGAATAACCTTAATAACAATAATAACAACAATAATAAAAATAATAACCACAATCCTAAAAATAACAATAAACATAATAAGTTGAAAATAAAAAAGAAGTTCTCAAAAAAGTAGAAGAAGATGTTAAAAAGCATTATTAAAATTTAGATTAAGTTTTAAATGACTTCTTTACCGATTGATATTATTAATTTATGTATGCTAAGTATTATCAAAGTAATAGCTAATTTTTAATTATATATCAAGAACATTCTCTAATAAAAATCTTTGATTCAGAAAGAATTATAATATCTTCTTCTCTATATTGCTGATCAAAGATTTCTTCAGGGAGGATGAAAATCTAACCATATTGATATTTAATACTTGATATGAATTTTGTTACTGATGAGTTATTTATTAAACATTCCAGATCACTTGCAAGTTTTCAAATTAAGCTGCAATAACCTTATTTTTTTTATCCATCCTAACATGTTAAAAATTTGGATAATTATATATTCCCATCAAAATCAAATCTTCAGGGTGTAACTAAATTATAATTGGAGATGGCTTCATATCTAACTTTTACTTATAACCATTCTAATGATTTGTTATTATTTACTAATATTGGATATATTAAGAATTATTAATTATGATAAACCTATTTTACGACTTATATTTTACTGTTCATCTGTACTTAATACAATATCTTGGATAAGATCTCCTAATCCTTCGAAAGTATTTACTTATTTCATCGTTTAAATATTATCAAATACAAGCACTAAACCTTAAAATTTGCCTATAATAATAGATCCATTAATCGAGCATCTTATAATTTGGTAGTTATCAATCAAATTTTAATCTATTTCATTAACTAATAATATCAATTTTAATTTTACTTTTTTAAATAGATTTCCCCTCAATTAAAACATATACTGATTAATTACCTAATAATATAAATTACTTTTCATAAGAGCAAACATCTGCAATCTAAAAATTTAATTTAATAATATCGTGAGTTTCAGTTCCTAAATCAATTATGTGTAATACATATTAAAACTATATATATAAAACTAACTTTTTAGAATTACTGTCAAAATATGTTTTATCAAATTTAATATGTTAATTAATTTAATAGGTTCTATTATAATTGATAAATGAAATCGTTTTATCTTCTAAAATTATTAGAGTATCAGCTTCATTTTATAAAATCTTTTTAGTAGTTGCCTTCTTTAAACCTCCTTTTATTGTAGATAGATCATCTTTATAAATGTATTTCTTTTATTTTTTAAATTAAACTTATTAGTTATACGATTCATTTACATTAATCGTAGTTATTGAAATTTAACTAAATGAAGAAGAAGTCTCTAATAATAAGTTTTGTTTCTTTCTCATGCTTATTTTTGATTTCGATAAAATTGAAGCCATAGATTTAGCTCCATCTAAAGTATCAAATTTCAAATATAAAACAATCTAATTTTATCCATCAAAATTAACCCAACTTAGAAAGTTCTCAATTGTATCTACTTAAAAATTGGCTAAATCTTTTATCGATTAAATTAATAGTAATTGTCTATCTTAATTGTATAGTTCTATCCTACTCTCTGTATTAGATGCAATATTTAAAGTCATAATGACCAAAGGGCTTATTAGCCTTATTTCTGCCGATGATGTGTAGAGTATATATAATTTACCTGCATAAATTTATTATATAGAGTTATCGTCTTGCTGCAAAAGGTAATTGATAACATCTCCTATAGTTTCTTAATCTAAAATAGTTCTAGTAGTTGATAATGATAAAATTGATCTATCTACTCTCATGTAGGTGTTATTCATTTATTTTTAGTGTACTTAAATAGGCATCTCAAATTTGGAGCATTACTTTGAAGGAATCAAATTATCTAGTTCAGTTATACTTTTTGGGAGGGCCTTTTTGGTTTTTTGAATCCAAATTAATTTATTTAAATACAATTTAAAATTTAAAATTTTTAAATTGTCTTATTTTGTGTTTTTTGGGAAATGGATCCTTACACTCCATTTAATGCCTTTAATGTCTCTATTTTTAAGTTTAACTGATACATCAAATCTATACTAAACTCATCTATAGAATCGTTTAACGGTTAATATTGTATTGATTTAAAAAATGAAATATTAAAATAAAAGTCTCCTTCCTTTGAACCAACTGCGTTATTATAAGATTTAGAGGCTCTGTGTAATCGAACAATCAGAATATGATCAAACTCATCATTTGTTAATTTATCAAACACAAATTCTGAATTGGATGATCTAAGCATATCAAAATTTAAATACAATTTTGTATATTTGGCTTCATCTTATTTAAAGATTGTTCCTAAAATTACAAAATCAAAAATCTCTTATTCTACTAATGGTTATTATGTTCCTACGACTTTATTGAATATATCCTTAATAAATTGCATTTTAATATTATAATCATTTTTTAATTTTCCAAATAGTAAAAATATAAATTAATCGAGCATGCATTAATAAATTTTTCTGGACAACATTCATCTAATTTTGATCTAATTTTCCTCCTGGGGGGGACCATGGTTTAGCTTTAAAGTTAAGTAAGATCTAGATTTAAATAGATATATTATTTACTTTAAAACAATCATTAGAATTCGATTTGAATGCATAATATAAAGGTGATAACTATTTATTATCTAATGCTTCAATATTACTGCAATTTTTAATTAATAATTTAACCAAAAGTGCATTATTACAAATACAAGCAATATGTAATGGAGTTTACCCATCTTTGTTTCTGCTATGAACCAGATATGGATCTTCTGATAAAGTATTAATTATCTTATCATAATTGCCTTCAATTATTTGTTCATAAAATGAGTTATTATACTTGATTGGGTATTCAAACCAGAAATTCACTCGACATTTATATTTGGCTACAAATAAAACCTGTTTGAGAATATTTATAAATCTCTCTCGTACTTTGTGAGAACAACTAATGAGTCTAGTCCTTGATTTAAGCATTTTATGAGATGTAATTGGCACTCTTTTTTTGCTTTATTCATTGGTAAGATGTTAAATCTATTAAAACACAGATTTAAATGTAGATTATTTCATATTTACCATATCATTTATTTGGTTATCATATTTTTTCTCTGGTACAAGTTATTTATTTGATTAATGAAATTGAAATCGAATTTATTAGTTTTGAATTGATTTAATTTAAGCTGTAACCATTTCTTTATCTACATCTTCAGCATAAATCTAATTGTCTTACCTAGATAAACTTCTTTTATGGATTAAGTTACAAATCTCATAATTCGATAAAAATCTACTTAATCTTCTTCTTGATTATTCATCAATATAATCTTCTCGAAATTACTTTTTATTTGTTAATCTTTTGAAACCTAGCTAACTTAGTTAGTTTATCTAGATTATCTTGCTGTTTTAATTTAGGATTCATATCCATCAACAACAGAAT